CGAGGCAAATCAAGGTACCTTTGTCTGGATGCAGGCAAAGGTGATTGAATTCAAAGCTTTCGAGGCCCAACAGATTCAAATTGAGTTACCTTTGTCTGGATGCAGGCTAAAGGTGTTTGAAAGCAAGGCCTTCCACTAAAACTTGCTCATTTGGGGCACAATGGTCAAATAAATTGAATTCCGGCCGTGTTTGCAAGGCAGTGAAAGAGTTCGCAGTGGCAGGCTCAGCAGGGGCTTCCTGTTTTTGTGCAAGCTGCTTTTGGTGTTTGTTCTATATCAAACTGATTTTGGTTGGATTGCATGTTGGTGTTTGCTCTGTTAGACTTGGCTGGACTTGGTTGGATTTGGGTTGGTTGGTTCATTGAAATTGCGCTCATGGCTAACATGGGCACGTTTTTCAGATGCGCAGCCGAAAGGAATCCGACCCGGGCAATGGAAAGCGGTGGCGGCGCCGTTTTCTGAGGCGGAGGTCAAGGTCCTGGGCGCCAGCCGCTGCAGGTCAATCTCTGCCACGAAGAGTTGACTTGCAGCGCTCGGAGCAGGCGGCTTCGGCCCACCCACCCTAACCCACCCTAACCACAGCCACCCACCCACCCTAACCCCGCCCACCCTGACACCCTGACCCCAACCCCACCCACACCACCCACCCCAACCCCACCCACCCTAACCCCACCCACCCTAACCCCACCCACCCTACACCCTAACCCCACCCTAACCCCCAACCCCACCCACCCCAACCCCACCCTAACCCACCCACCCCAACCCCACCCACCCTAACCCCACCCCACCCTCACCCACCCCAACCCCACCCACCCACCCTAACCCCACCCTCCACCCCACCCACCCTAACCCCACCACCCTAACCCCACCCACCCTAACCCCAGCCACCCCAACCCCACCCACCCCAACCCCACCCACCCCAACCCCAACCCCTGGGCCTCAGCCACTTTGTTGCCGCGCCAGTGGGACTTCCGCCACTTGGCGCAGCTCAAAGAGATCTCCTTCCACGGCATCACCGCCGCCTCCTCCTCTTCCGTGCTGCAGGACGGGGTCGCCTCAGGGGGCTCAGAACCGGCACTTGGGTCCCAGGCAGGGCAAAGACAATTAAACAGGGCTCCTTCAAAGATCTCCATTTTGCCACCATTTGAAACATGGCAATTTTTCAACACCAAAATAAAGAAAGGGAAGCCACCATTTACAAGTTGCAATGTTCAGGTGTATAATGTAAGGATCCCTGTTAAACAGGAGGCGTTACGCAGGCTTTGGCCTTTGTTTCCACTTACCAACCCATTTTGGCACCGGTTGTTTGAGCAGCCAAATGGGTCTAACGGGCCGCCTGCCCCAGGAAAAGATCATCCCTCTGCTGTTTTGCCCCGAGTGGCTCGCAGGGAATTTCACCAAAACAGGTAGCTAGCAATTTCCCTTTGCGGTTGTCAAAGGGTGTTGTGTGGTGTACTCCTACCACTGCCACTACTACTACTGCTGCTACTGCTACTACTACCATTACTACCACAAACACTACTACCTCTGATACTACTGCTACTTCTGCTACCGCTACTGTGGGCTATGGTTCAGGTAAAGCTTGGCGGGAGTTGACACAGGTGTTGAATGCGGAACCTGCTCAGAACCAGTCCGAATTAGCACACCCCTTCGCAAAGCCTCCAATCTGTGCAACCAAAAACAATTTCGAGAGTTCAATTTGAACCATGCAAGAAACCCTAGAATGCTGATTCCACTGTAAATACCAACAGAAGGGCACTGGAATGCACCCCTTCCCAAAGCCTCCAATCTTCTCAAACACCCATCATTAGTTCAAAACCAGGCTCCCTGTATGTCCCCTTATGCGCTGGCTTTGGACATCACCTTTTGGCCAATTCAAAACCTTTGGCTACCATTTGGGGTGATGTTTAAAGGGGAAGTAAAGGGAGCCCTGTCAAAACAATACTTTGGTGCATTTTGCTTGGATGTTAGGACTTTAACTTTTTGCCAACTAATGAGTTTCCATGAAACCACGAAAAGTTAAACTTTTAGCGGGGGAGCAGAAAGCAACCGAGAATAGTCATCCGAAAGCGGATTTCCCAGGACTCTGCGCAGCTGAAAGACTTGGAGGGCACCGCGGGCAACTTGGCGGAGGCGCTCAAGTGCACCGTGACCGAGGACATGGATGCCATGTCTCCTGGCGGGAGAAGGATGGGTGTTCACTTTCTTTCTTTCTTGTCTTTTTCCCGGGGTAAAGGAGTGCCTGAACAAACATGGAATCAAATAACTCATTAAAATCATTCATTTGAAATAGTTAATGGATCACTTGCTCGGATCTTTCTAGCTTAATTATTAAATGGGTTATAGCCCCGAAATTCTGGTTGGTGAGTTCCAACTGTTCATGGCTAGTTTCTTCGGGTCCAGCCCTCAACAGCACACCCAAACAAACTGGCCGTCGGTCAAAATCCAAATCGTTTATCCCCCAGTGAACATCCCAACCCCCACCAAAAGATAGGTTCTAAAATGGGTGGTGAATTCACCCACCAACCAAAATTGGATCCCAAAACGGTTTTGACCGTGGCACAGCCAACCTAAGTTCCGGCTCGGCAAGGTACAAAGCCATCGATGCGGCGCTCACCTTGGCCAACCCCAAGTTGCAGCGAGGCCGGGAAGGGCATGCGCTCGCTTGGGCGGCTGTGCGGTCTTTCTTTGGAACCTCCTTGGGTCCAGCATGATGGATCCGATTTTGTCACAAGAACCTGCCCTGTTCAGTGCCTTTGGCCCAACTCACTCGCCCAAAGCGAATCGACCTTTTAACCCTTTATTTTCCCTGATGTGGTCCATTTAGTCCTGTCCTTAACTTTTATCCTTTTGGTTTCCCTGATGTGGTCCATTTTAGTCATGTCCTCCAAAGGTGAACTTTTCATGTCCAGGTCCTTTGGGCAACTGAGTGAAATTTTCTCTCCTACTCACTCCCCGAGGATTGAAAGAGTCGTGGATTCGCAGGTTAGGGCCTCCACATGGACACAATGCATTAATTTGTCAACGTGCATATTATGCCATATGCGTGTTTGACACTATAGCAGTCTACTGTTGGCTTGGTTAGGACAAGAAGGCAAAGAGAACCCTTCGCCAGTTGCTCAGTGGCATCCTTTCGGAAAGTTTGATGTACCTACCCAGAGGGTCCAAGTACCTCATGAGGTTGGGCTTTTCGGGAATAAAAAGGGGTAGAAGGTACTTGGACCCTTTGAGTGGAGTCGGATTCTTGATTCGGGCCATGGAGACTCCAGGTAGAACATCCAGCATCTGGGCAATCAGCAGGATTTCCCGGGAGGACCAGCTCCACGTTCCACGTAAACCGGGTGCTTCAAAAGAAGAACTCTGCAAGTCGTTTCTTTCTGGGATCCCGGGCTTCAAGCTTAGTTGTTTCGTGGCTAATAGTTTTTTTGACACTCAAGGCATGGCATAGGTCCCTGTACCCTTTTTGGCTTACATGTAGGAAATCACCTGACGCAAATCCCCACCGAGATGACCCAATCTGCCGGGTCACCAGGCAGCTGTCAGAAACTGGCGGCGGGCTTGCGGAGCTTTGCAGAGCCGGCCCTGCGCTTCCAGGATTGCCTTTCGTTCAGTTTCACGTGGTACTTGACACGTTCGATTCGCCAAGTTGGTATGTGGTTTGCCAATTAAAGTATAACCCTCCAATAAAAACCGCCTTTGGGGGGCTTGTAAGAGGGTTAGAACCTGGGTTACCAAAAACTACGACTGTCCTCCAGCTAGGTGCCCTTTCTCGCCTTGTTTTTGGTTGGGAGGGTTCTCCTAAAATAGGCAAAACTGAAAAAAATGGGTACCCTTATTCTAACCTCTCAAATCTGGAGGACCTGGTGGTTAGCCAATTGGGGTATAACCCTCTAATGGTGAACCCGACTTCGGGGGGCTTGTAGGTGGGTTAGAACCAAGCAACTTGAACGCTACGGATGGACAACATCCGCATCGTTGGGTGGGGTGTCCGGTTATAGAAAGATTAATCTACTTCAACTGGGGCGCTGCATGGATTTCGTGCACCGATTAAGCTGGTTCTTGAACCTTCCACTTTTTGAAAGGAACGCTCATACTTTCCCACAAAAACAATGCCAAGCTCCCACCTCTTTGTCTGCGCAATCCTCCCCGCCAAGTCTTCCAACCAAGCCTCTTCACCTTGCCCAGTTCAATATCTCCAAGCACAACCTTCAATTCACAGCTGCTTGACATTTGTTTGAGGATCCCCAGCCACAGCCTCGACAAATGAAGTTGGCTGTAAACAGCTGGACGTTTGGCTCCCAAAGTTTTTGGGAAGCCGTTTCTTGGTCCCCGTCCGGTTCCTTAGAATGAACTTTCGTGGGACTTGGTTGTTTCACGCTCCGGGTTGTTTGGCTTGCAGTGCTGCCAACTTGAAGGCCAACGCCAGTCAGGGACCCAAACTACTTTGCCCGAGATGGCAGCAGGAATAGCGGAACAGCAGAGCAGCAGTCAGTCAAGAGCAGAAGAGCAGCAGTGGCAGTATGAAGCGGACAGCGTCGGCGATGAGGGCGATAAAGCGGCCGGCCGCGAAGCCCAAGAAGAAACTCGCTTCGAGGACTGCTGGGCTCAAACTGCAAAAGCCGAATCCTTCTCGGGAATGTCCTTGTCTCCTTCTTGGCCTTTTGTTGATCAAGCAAATGTTCTACGCTTCGGATGGGGAGCCAGAAGCAAGATCTGTTTCAAATCTTGCAAAGAGCCAGAGCCATACCTCGCCTCATGTGAGCATTGGTGAGCTGCCGCTGTAACCGGAAAGATTACTTCCAGCAATTGGCAGGGCAGAAGGCCCAAGTAACCTAAAAACGTGAAGAATGGGGCAAGATCAACTCAGAGGACACAGTCTGACTGTCAGTTGTCGGTGGTGTTTGTTTGCTGGATGGCAGCAAGTACGGTTTCGTGGTTTCCCTTACTTAGGGAAAAGGCATAGCGCTTTTGGTGAAAGCAGGTGCCTCTAAACCTAACTTTTTGTGGAAAACGATGCCCTAAAACTAAGGAGCCCGTGGTGCGGGCAATGTTCAACTCGACCAGCAGTATGACCCTGCAAGCCAACCCCCGCCGATTCAGACTTATTTCTCGCCTCTGATATTTAACCTGAACGTTCCAGCCTATCAGAATCTGAGGCACCCGCGTGTGCCAGACACGGCGGCCGTCAAACCCCACCTCTCGACAATCCTGTTTGCGTATCGGCGCTACAGGCCCTGCTTCGGTACTCTCCAAAGAACTCGCTCTGGGGAGCGTGATGCACGAACCACAGGCGGGAGAAGGCGCCGAAGCACCCAACCTGCGGTTTCAGACTGGAAAACAGTATGTTTGCCAAATGGGTTTGAGTTGTCGTGTTTCTCTGGGAGACTTACCAGTCCTGCCCTGAATTGATGCCTACAGACTTCAAGCTGCCCAATGGGCGATACGTGGTGTCCCAGCGCTGGACCCTTCTTGGTGGGAAGGACTGGCTACTTTTTGTTTTGCAAACCCTGCGCTTTCTCGGCGCCAGGAGAAATTGCGCCCGCAGGCGGAGGCTTTCCTCCGGTATTCTCTCGAAGCCTTGAAAAACAGCCAGCAGAGCAAGTTGGCAGGAAACACGCGGCGCCCCTCAGTTGTGCAACATGGAACTTTTTTTTCTTTGATTGATTCGTTGTTCAGTTCTTGTATTTGTGCGGCAGCAGCTTTGACTGTTGTGGCATGCCGAAAGCCTACTGTCTGGTCATCCCGCGATGCGCACAGAAAGCAATCATTTATTCAGAGCCCGTAGAAGGCTCACCTGAAATGCGGGCGGACTAGGACCATAGGCTGTTTAGCAAAAGGAATCTGTCCAATTTGGCAAGTTGCGGTGAAGGAAAAAGCCTGCGACCCTTCCATGTTCTGTCCGCTTGTTGCAACGCCTACTTACTTTCCCACGTTCTGACATTGAATCTTGAGATTTGGTTCAAGGGCCCAGGAGAAACACCATGACCCCCAAGAAGATTGCCAGAAGCGGGGGTACATGCGGGTGCCAGCAGACCGTTTGCAACAACCTGGATGATGCTTGCCCTTGGACGAGGGCCATGGAATCTTGCGTGGAAAGCGCGCATTCATTGAGGCATGCTTCTGGAACGTCTCTCCCACCTGATGCTGAGCCTTTGCCGGAATTGCCTTTGAACGCTGAGGGAGCTCTGTACCTTTATGGCCATGCCTTACGCGGGGACATTGAAAGACATAGCTCACCGTGCTTGGCTTGCTGATTCCACAGGGTGCTGGGACATGGTAGCACCAGGTCTCTTAAATGACGGTTCTTCAGCAGCTACACTAAAAGAGAAGTTCTGCAGTATAGAGGTGGCCCTTCCACAAACCCTTCAGTGTTTCGATTGGTTTTACACTCTTCGCCTGCCAGGCTTGGACCCCTCGGAGCCAGGCTCAACCTTTGAAAAGCTATATCTCGGTCACCCGCCTCCGGGAACACAAAAAACACGCTTGGGTGGCACCGAACACCCAATTCCTCGGCGAAACTTGTGGGGAGAGTAAAACCGAAGTTTGGCTGAGGACCTCGCAGAGGTCCTCGGCGAAACCCCACCCCACGGGGTGCCAGAAAGCACTTTCCTTAAAAAACAAAAAATGGATAACAACACGCGGCTTCTTGGGGGGGGTGGTGGGGGGGTGTTTGGCTGAGGACCTCGCAGAGGTCCTCGGCGAAACTCTGAAGCCAAGGGAATTGAGTTTCGCTGAGTTTTTGGGCTCCCGGCAAATTTCTTATGGTTTCGATCTTGCTCAACTTGAACGATTATTCATCTTTAGCAACCTGGTAATTTTCTATTTTTGAAGTATTTCCAGACCCTTCCTGAAACCAGGCAGCGCAGAACCATTTAGCGTAGCTGCTGAGGAACCGTCATCTAAGAGACCTGGTGCTACCATGTCCCAGCGCCCTTCCAAAAGTCGATCTGTGGAATCAGCAAGCCAAGCATGGTGAGCTATGTCTTTCAATGTCCCCCCGTAAGGCATGGCCCTAAAGGTACAGAGCTCCCTCAGCGTTCAAAGGCAATTCCGGCAAAGGCTGAGCATTAGGCGGGAGAGACGTTCCAGAAGCATGCCTCAATGAATGCGCGCTTTCCACGCAAGATTCCATGGCCCTGGTCAAAGGGCAAGCATCATCCAGGTTGTTGCAAACGGCCCTGCTGGCATTCCCCCGATGTGATAGCTTTCGCTTGGGAGGCAATTCCTCCGCTTCTCGCAGTCTTCTTGGGGGTCATGGTGTTTCTCCTGGGCCCTTGAACCAAATCTCAAGATTCAATGTCAGAACGTGGGAAAGTAAGTAGGCGTTGCAACAAGCGGACAGAACATGGAAGGGTCGCAGGCTTTTTCCTTCACCGCAACTTGCCAAATTGGACAGATTATTTTTGCTAAACAGCCTATGGTCCTAGTCCGCCCGCATTTCAGGTGAGCCTTCTACGGGCTTTGAATAAATGGTTGCTTTCTGTGCGCATCGCGGGATGACCAGACAGTGGGCTTTCGGCATGCCACAACAGTCAAAGCTGCTGCCGCACAAATACAAGAACTGAACAACGAATCAATCAAAGAAAGGAAAGTTCCATGTTGCACAACTGAGGGGCGCCGCGTGTTTCCTGCCAACTTGCTCTGCTGGCTGTTTTTCAATGCTTCGAGAGAATACCGGAGGAAATCCTCCGCCTGCGGGCTCAATTTCTCCTGGCGCCGAGAAAGTGCAGGGTTTGCAACACAAAAAGTAGCCAGTCCTTCCCACCAAGAAGGGTCCAGCGCTGGGACACCACGTATCGCCCATTGGGCAGCTTGAATTCTGTAGGCATCAATTCAGAGCAGGACAGGTAGGTCTCCCAGAGAAACACGACAACTCAAACTCATTTGGCAAACACATTGTTTTCCAGTCTGCAACCAAAGGTTGGGTGCTTCGGCGCCTTCTCCCGCCTGTGGTTCGTGCATCACGCTCCCCAGAGCGAGTTCTTTGGAGAGTACTGCTCCCCACCCGAAGCAGGGCCTGTAGCGCCGATACGCAAACAGGATTGTCGAGAGGTGGGGTTTGACGCGGGTGCCTCAGATTCTGATAGGCTGGAACGTTCAGGTTAAATATCAGAGGCAAGAAACAAGTCTGAATCGGCGCCATCTTCAGGCGCCATCATGTGCTGAGGTTGGCTTGCAGGGTCATACTGCTGGTCGCAGTTGAACATTGCCCGCACCACGGGCGCCTTAGTTTTAGGGCATCGTTTTCCACAAAAAGTAAGGTTTGGGGCACCTGCTTTCACCAACAGGGCTATACCTACACCCGAAGCAAGGGAAACCGCAAGAACCCGTACTTGCTGCCATCCAGCAAACAAACACCGCCGACAACTGACAGTCAGACTGTGTCCGCTGAGTTGATCTTGCCCCATTCTTCACGTTTTTAGGTTACTTGGGCCTTCTGCCCTGCCAATTGCTGGAAGTAATCTTTCCGGTTACAGCGGCAGCTCACCAATGCTCACATGAGGCGAGGTATGGCTCTGGCTTTTTGCAAGATTTGAAACAGATCTTGCTTCTGGCTCCCCATCCGAAGCGTAGAACTTTTGCTTGATCAACAAAAGGCAGAGAAGGAGACAAGGACATTCCCGAGAAGGATTCGGCTTTTGCAGTTTGAGCCCAGCAGTCCTCGAAGCGAGTTTCTTCTTGGGCTTCGCGGCCGGCCGCTTTCGCCGTCATCGCCGACGCTGTCCGCTTCATACTGCCACTGCTGCTCTTCTGCTCTTGACTGACTGCTGCTCTGCTGTTCCGCTATTCCTGCTACCATCTCGGGCAAAGTAGTTTGGGTCCCTGACTGGCGTTGGCCTTCAAGTTGGCAGCGCTGCAAGCCAAACAACCCGGAGCGTGAAACAACCAAGTCCCACGAAAGTTCATTTTAGGTGTTTAGTCCTTTTTGGGTTTGGTGGTAGTTTCCACTTTCTCCACCAAAAGCTAGACTTTTCGCAGGGATCTGGAAACAGCCCAGAATAGATATGATCATACAGTGCTTGAATGCTATTTGGGTTGGATCTTCCGCCTCTTTTGTGCTGTTTTTTTTTGTGGGAATGAGGGAATGATGAAAAGGGCTCATCGGTCAAAGGGCGTCATCGGCTTCCATTCCAGTGCCCTTCTGTGGATGCACGAAATCCGTTCGCACCACTTTGAAAGGTAACATGCAAAACCATAACGATCGTTGGTACTCACAGGGGGAGTCATCATTCCAGGGTTTCGCAACGGTGGTGCGCTGCATTTATTTCGTCCATGCGCAGTTTCTCGAGTTTCTTCTAGGGGTACCTTCCCCATTCGTTCCGGGCACCTGGGAAACAGCTGGTTTTTGAAAAGAACGATGGTTGAAAATAATGCTTGGAATCAACCTAGGTAAAATGGCCGATGGCTGCGGTGGCTAAAAATCGGGCAACCTCAGAAATGGATTGACCTGGTAATAATGGAGCCAACTACTCCAAACCTACTTTTTGCGGTCCACATCCTGGTGGCCTACCCAGATTGGTGGGGAATTCTGCCCAAAAGCCACTGTCGTAGCGCGGCTCGCACCTGGACATTCAGTGGACCGATTCCAAGTGTTTCTTCCTTTTACCGCCGAACAACGGCCATCAAAAAGAGGTAGAAACGCGGAAACCAAGGGTTTCCTTGGGGTCCAAGAAAAGGGGGGGGGTGGATCTGTCTGTTGAGAGTTGGTTCCCCTGTTAGCGTCCTTTGGAGTCCAGAGGGCGCAGTTGTTTCGAGAGCTTCCCTGTTCTTCAGAGTGGCACAGTGGCAACTGGGTTTCCTAGGGCTGCAACAAGTCCCAATCCCGAGGCGTCCAGATCCTGGCAGGTCAAGGTTTGGTGCCATAAGGGTTCCGGAAGAAAAGAGAAACAAGAACAAACAAGCAGTATCCATACTACCCTATTGACCAAGACAATTATGGATGATTGCGCTTCCGTTGGAAACAGAATGAGTCTCGTATATGTCGTATGTCTGGAATCATAGTTTTGCCCCGTTTCTGGGGCTTCCTTTCACCTATATACCACTCAACACGGGTGACTTTGATACTGGTAGAGTAATGGGGCCAGTATACTCCCTACTCCAAATACCCTCTTTTTTCAGGGTATCATGTCGACCCTCTACTAAAAAGGAGATAGTTACCATGGAAATCCAGGTTTCCCAAAAAATACCCTGACAAAAAGCGGGTATTTTGAGTAGGGGGTATGCCAAAAACTCTCACTTGCCCAGCAAATCAGCCTTTTGACCCTTTGAGCTCAGGAAGCGACAAACAGTTTGGCTACTTTAGGCCGTCCACTCGATCGGAAGTGAGCTGGTTCTCCGATTTTGATCCGTGCAGGTTGCAAAAGGTGATCACCTTTTTCTGGGTATCCGTAGGGTCAACTGAGCAAAAGCTTTCCTGGGTCCCTCCGATGGTTCAGTCAAAGCTAGGGTCACTTCTTTTGGACTGGGGGCAAGCGCAAATTTCAATCAACCGGGTTGGAACCCCATGTGTTTACAAGGGGGATCGCAGATCTAGAGCTGGCTTGCCCGGGTACGTAGCTGTGGTTGTTCTCAATCTCTCCAAACTTGGCGACCCCTAGAACCGGCCGGTGTTTACAGTATATACGAGTTAGTTTTCCTTCGAAGCCCCTTTCACGCCCCATTCCAAGACAGAACCGCAGAGTTGTTTGAGGTGTGAGAACAATCGGAGCGGTTGCATGGTATCGGTTTTGCCGGAAGTTTACCTGCTGAAATGGCAAGTCTTAATATGTTTCTGTGTGTGTGTGTGTGTTGGTACGTAGCTTCATTATTTGATTCTGAAATCCCTACTGTAAGGGGGGTAGGTCCAGGGGGGGGTAGTTGACGGGCCTAGGGTTCGATTTCATTCTGAGGGTTCCTTCCGGCTCTTTCGGGTCCTGGGGCTACGCCCTCGAGGGAATCAGCCGACTCCAGCCTGGTTTTGTTGGTTTATTTTTGATTAGTTGTGGGAATCTCCCTCAACAGTGTGTCTCAACACTTGGCTGTGTTATTCGGGAGTATTGACCAGTTCCCAAAATGATATCATAGTCATGTACCCGCTATTCGTATTTTTTTCAGCAGTGGCCCATATTCCTTGCTCACAACATTTCGGAAGCCTGTCCGATCGAAACGAAAGCAGGGCGAGCCGAGACACAGCGGGGTATGTGTCATCAGGGGAAAGGGTTCGGGCCAGATGTTTTTGGTTTTTGGTTTGGTCCAGTCTGCCTAGGTACCTGGACTCCGGACCCTCAAACCACCCATAAGAAAGAGTTGGACTTCACCAACTTCATACTTGTTGGTTTGCAATCACCCATGCTTAAGTTGGAATTTGGAGGGTCCAGGCCGGTTTTTGTTCTTCTTTTTTTCCGGATCACAGCTTTTTGGGAAGGAATCCGTGTGACCCGGTGTTCGGGTCCGGAAACACGTCCGTAGGACGTCTTGCATTTGCTGCTGATCAGTGGGGGCCTGGAGCAAGTGCTGCCCCATTTGCGACCCACCATGGAGGCGGCCTCTCGGTCGGCGGAGTCAGCGGAGTCGGCGTTCGGCGGGTGTGAGGTGGCGTTCAAAGTGGTAAATGTTTTTTTTGTTGGGGGGAACCCAGGAATAACCCCAGCCTTCCATGTGCTGAAATGAGTATGGTTTTTGTTTTCCCCTAGTTGGTTTGAAAGGGAATCTATCATTGTTGGAAGTTGTTTTTGTTTTTTGATATTTTTCCAGGGCGCTTGAGCAACTGGAGGCAGCCGATTTGTTTGGGGGGTGTCACCCACAAAAGTGATGCGGACTCCCACTAAAAGGGGAGTGGCCCCCCAATAAATTAATCCAGGGGTTGAGTAATCCAGGGGTTCCCGGAGGTGAAACACGGGAATGGCAAAGGATCAAACCCCGGGACCCATCCTACTTCCCGTTCTACAAAATCAGGTGAGGCCTTATCAAGACCTTATTTGGGTATGTCTTTTTTAGGGGACCCCCAAGATAGGTGGTTTTCCTGTTGGTGTTCTTTTAAGACACCTAAAGTGGGGTTCCCTCAAAAAACAAAACACGTATTTGGAGAAAGCCATGGGAGGAGTCCAGGGCCCTTATTCCTGACTCCATGAACGACTGGCAACTGGGAATTGTCAAAAGCCATGACTCACGTTGCAGTTGTGACATGAAGCATTATTTCCATGTTATTTGACCTCGATGACTCGCTCCTATGCGCATAGGTGCAAAAGGGAAGCTCATGCTAATGGTTTTCAATTACCTCGGAGTTTTGTGGTTGGACACGTCTCAGGGCTGCAGTTTCCTTTCGGTTTGGATTCCGACCGAACTGCGCCTTCCACATTTTGGTCGCTAGGTCGGGGTTCTCTAAAGGTCCTATGAAGCAAGGCTGATTTGCACCCGGGTTCCTTTGGAATGCGACCCTCTTTGTTTGTATTTTTAGACAACTACATGGGCCCAATCCATTTGAGTACTTGAAGGGGCGATCGGGTACTTAGTAAGTGGTGAGTACTTTGTCTCCGTTCAGTGGGTTATTTCACCATGGTTACGATCACCACTTACCTGACGTACCCTTCATCGATCGCCCCTTCAAAGTAGTTTTGTGGATTCGATTCCTAGGCGCTTTTCTCCCAGTTCCAGCCCGGTGCCCTGTGAGTGGGGACCGTATGGTTGCATCCTACATGAACAAGGGGGACCGCAGGTGTTAGTCCATGTTTCCAGCTAGGGCAACCCATTTTGGGTACCTGGACTCTCAAACTACCCTTAAACATGGGTTCTTGCCCTAAAATGGGAGTGAATTCCCTTCTGAGTCTCCATGTCCCTTCGGAAATGGGGTCATTCGCCAAGCTTCCAGGGCTCCAGGCACCAATTTTTGTTTGACCCAGGTTACTCCCGGCTTCGTTGCTTCGGGTACCGAAGCACTTCGGTTCAGGCCAAGGACCTCCGGGATCTGGGCGCAGCCACGGTGCTGGCCATGCTGCTCGCCGGCCGAGCGCCTCCGCAGAAAGAAACGAGCCGCGGAAGTCCAGGGGTTTGAGGGATGAACTACACTTAAAGGGGCGATCGGGTACTTAGTAATCGGGTACTTAGTAAGTGATTAGTAATCATGGTTATAACCAACTTAGGAGACTTATAACCATGGCTTTGGTGGGTTGTAACCATGGTTCCTAGCCACTTACCTGACGTACCCTGCTCCTTTAAGCAAGAACCTGACGCCACCAGTAAATTGATCAACTTTTGCAGGGCTCCTGAAAAGAAATTCATGTTGCAACCATTTGAAACATGGCTGGCTTTTTAAACACCAAAATACAGTTGGACACCACCATTTACAAGGCAACGGTCAGGTGTAGAATGTAAGGATCCCTGGTTTGAAGGGTGATTCCTGTCCCCTGTTGGATTGCAAGGTACCTGGAGTCTCCATGGCCCTTGAACATGGGGCGAATGACCCCACAAGGGTCATGGAGACTCCAGGTAGGCGCGAAAAAGCCCGGAGGTTGTGTGAGTTGATTTCCTTGGACCACTCACGTCCTGAGTTCCGAAACTCGGACGAAAAGTCACTTGTTGGGTTTGGGAAAACCATGTTAGTCGAAATCAACAGTTTGACATTTTGTGGAACCTGAAGCCACCAGTAAATTGATAAACTTTTGAAGGGAAATCCAGTGACCCCTGGCCACGTTTGGATTGCAGGGTAGACGCAGAAGCCTAGCGTCCATTTCCCCCTTTGAGAACCCCTGGGTTCAAGTCTTCCTTGGCGTAGCCAAAAGATCTAACCCCTGCTGCTATGTTTCCCTTAGCCAGTGTAAACAAAATTAAAAAGAAACACTTTTTGAAACAACAGCTGAGCTTCCTCTTTTTGAGGTGAGGTTTTCAGAGGGACTATAGGGAGCCCTTTGGGGGTGTTGTTTTGTTGTTTTTTACTGGACCCCCAAAATGGCTTCGGTTGTCGTTTTGGTTTCCTTTGAATTGAAGCCACAACAAAGAGCAATAAATTACCATAAAAATGGCCACAACGACATGGCGGCGTGGCAAACTAGAGGGACTGTAAAAATGGTGGTGTTCCTTTTGGTTCCGCTTTGGACCAAGGCTAAAAGGGCGCACACAACCCTGGTCATTCTGTGTCATCAATCTTTAAGAGCCACCCCGCTTTTGGGGAGTGGTATCAAGGGAATCCAAGTGGAATATTCATATCTTTGTGGAGTCTTGCTACGTGGGTGGAATTCCTCTAGGGTCTCCACATGGATACCCTTCCTCGCCAATTTACTTTTAGGTTGCAAAGGCGGTTCGCGTTTCCCTAAATCCCCTACCGCGCAGGTAAATGGAGCTAATTAAGGTTGTTTCCAAGCGAAACAGTGGGTAATTATCCAACCGCAATCTAGCTACTTCACAAGACAAACCCCTGAACAGCTCAGTATACCATCCAAGGTGTTGACATAGTTTGCCCTCTTAGGCCATTTGTTAGCCTCCGCGAGTGGGCATATGTGCAAACCGGATCCCCCCTGTCGCGTCGGTTTGCAGTGTCAAACCACATACATATGTTGAAGTATATGCGTTGTTGTCCCTTGTTAGTTTTAAGGGGAATGGATTTCACTACTGAACATGATTTATGGGCTTAAGAAAATGGAAGACGACTTCAAAAAAGCGTAGTGAAACACCTTGGCCTCCAGGTCACGATGCTTGTTGCCGAGAAATCTGGATCCACTTCCACAATTCCCCCATTGTGATTTGAACCCCTTGACCAAATTATAACTTCACCCAAGCGAATTGGCCTGAAATGACCTTTTGGTTTTTCCTTAATTCACTTTCAGTAGAGGTTCCAAAAGGTGATCACCTTCTATTTCTAGGTTGGTAACTGAGAATCGTCCCGTTGCTTAATAATATTTGTTATGGTCCCCTGCTGATTTCAACGAAAATATATCACTACTGGAGATATTTGATATTTTTTTCCGCAGGGGGGGTTAGGTAAATGGATGGAATTGTGCCATCTGCCTGACCCCGGATTTAAACAGCTGGGTATGGGTCAAAGTATGTTAAAACAAATCACCAGGATATGGACCGCTGATTTTTGTCCATGTTTCCATTTACCGATCGGGCAACCCCTTACCCTACTGTGGATTGACAAAATCCTGCACCACTTTGAAACGATGCTTGAACCCACAACGAGTGTTGGTATTTACAGGGGAATCGACTGATTTTTGGGATTCGGAACGGTGGTGCGAAGTGGATTTCGCAACCATCACACATCTTTCTGGGTGAATTACAACGACCTCACACGACCTCACCCCAAATGGTGTTTTATGGGGAATGGCGCCCCACCTTATTTCAGGCTTGTGAATTGTTATAATTCACCCAGATCTTTTGGCAACCCATTTCTCACTTGCCCAAAGCCGACCTTTTGGATTCCCAAATTTGGTCCACTTTTAGTCATGTCCCCAAAAGGTTCATCTCTTTTTTTCTGGGTCCCCACTGGGCAACCAAGTTCTTGATGGGTTACCAATTCGACTTTTGACCACTGCCTGCAGGTGTTGTTGTGCCGTCAGAGCCTCGCCGCCTTAACGCGGCTGCAGTCCTTAGCCAGGCGCTTGCAGGGGCCCCGGCAAACGTCGCGGGCGGGGGACCTTCGGGCCGAATCACTCGAAATGCGACAAGCTTCATCGTTGCTTTTTGTTTTTTGTTTTTTTTTTTCTGAGAGCAACAGGGGCGAGTGCTTTTGGGGGTTGGAATGTTTTTGTAGACACCAAGGGAACCCAAGGCTCAGGCTTAGAACTTCCCTTTCCGAGTCGGATCCCCGCAAAAATCAGATGCCAGAGGCCAGATGTCTGTGTGGGGGCGCGTTTTTTTTGGGACTTGAGGTAGTTACTCTCCTTTCCAGGATGGTCTTCGGAATCATCTTTCCTTTGTGGCCCAATCCTTTTTTGCCCAATCCTTTTTTGATGGATTTCGAGATGGCGTTTTTCTTTCTTGCCCAATCCTTTTTTTTAGCTGCTGTCTGATGTCTTCTGGGCAACAACAGTGATCTTTGTGCACAGAGATGCTGTGAGACAATGAAGTTGGATTGTGAGGATGAGGATCGAGCGAGTGATTGACTGAGATGTAATGCACGGAGTTAGATGCCAGAGCGCCCAAAGCAGCCATCAAGGAAGAAATTGAAGTCGAAACGCCCCACTTGGATCCAAGACATGTCCATCCTGAGGAACACGCACGAGGACAAGGTGAAAGACCGAAGGAAGAGCTGGCGACCTTGGCTGCATTGCAGGCAAAGGGGTGTCGGAGTTGCAACTCCCAGAACCCTGAGATTCAGTTACCACCGTGAAACCAATGGGGGCGAGAACACAACCACTATTGTTTACCCTGCAGGGTTCTCAGAATCATCCAAAGTGGGTTAACCCTTCTTTTAATGGGGGTTGAACCCAACCTTTGGATGGCGTCTAAACGCTCAGAGAGACTTCGTAGAGCCCAACCCTCAGCCATTGCAACTTGAGAAGACTCCGTTTGTCTTTTTGACGGCACAGCCAGCAACTTGAAGCGATTTTTCCCCTGAACTTTGGTGCATTTTGCTTGGCTGTTAGGACTTTAACTTTTTGCCAACCAATGGGTTTTCCACTAAACCACTAAAAGTGAACAACTTTTAGCAGGGCTTCGCAGAAAGCAACCGAGTGAAGGATGTTCCCATCTGCGGGGTTCCTGAGGCTTGTGAAACAAAAACTGCCCCAAAAGAAAACAACACGCCAAGAGGCGCGGATTTATTTCCGCTCCCTCCCCCTAACATGGCATCTGACGGAGGGTCGCTGAACGAGGAAGTTGATCTTCCAGGTACCTTCCCACGAAGACTATGATAGTGGGAGGAAGGGCATCATGGAAACTTAAGTTGCAAAGCTGTATGCCCAAAAGCTCACAACTCCTGCCCGGGCAGTCCAAAATGAGGCTGTTTGAGGGCCCTGAACTGTCCCCAAGAGGGGTCGGACCCTCCCTAGGGAGGGCTGGGTGTCAGACATGTTTTGGCCAGTGAACGATGGTGTCAGTTGCCTCTGCATTCGTCAGGGCACATGGGGTCGCGTGTAGCTAGGTACCTTTGGACGGATGGTCCGTGCTACTGGGGATCTTCTACAGACACCGCGTGTCTGTGTCACCTTTTAGCTGTTCACCAGCATTGAAGGTTACTGACTCACTGACTATTCTCTCAAACTACTGTGGATGGACGCGAAATCCATGCAGCGCACCCCCCAAGAATGGTCCGATTCCCCAACGCAAATACCAACGCGCAATGGTTTCAATCATCGGTTTCAAAGTGGCGCAGTCTCGGATTTCGCAACCATCCATAGTAGGGAACGCCTAAACTTCTGCACGGGTCAGCGGCCAAGCCAACTTCACGAGATGGCCCTTGCCCGCGTGACTCGGAGGGAGCAACTGGAGCCCCACTTTGGTCGTTCCAAGGGGCCTCAAGTATGGAGCGTATCAGCAGCGAATGAATTTCCCAATTTGAGGCGCTAGCAAGTGAGCGACACTGAGCTGGCTGCATTGAAGCTAACAATCTGGGTGAATTATAACCACCTCACACGACCGAATCCACCCCAAATGGTGCTTTATGTGGTTGGAATAGCCCCCCAACCACCTCACTTCAGGCTGGTGAAATATTATAGTTCACCCAGAACAATGAGTCCAGACTCAGGTCACAGTGGGGATCCACCGCGCGCTGGCCTGAGCCGTTTTGCGGTGTGCGAGTGAAAAGGCGTGGGAATGGATGAGGTGAGGCGACAGGCCGTTGGTGGGCCGGCCCATTTGGGGGGGGGTCCTTTAGTTTCTCTTCAAAACCAACAAAGTGGGTACCCTCAAACATCTTTGTTTGTGCGGATACTGTTTTTAGCGTTGGTGTAAAAGGAAACCACAATTTCTGGGGTCCGATTCCCTTAGAACACCATGTCCGACAAGTCCCGGAAGACCGCTTGGGGCGGGGGGGGGGGGATAAGGTTCGAGATCAGTCAGCCAAGCCAAACAAGGCCCTAGCCGGCCCTAGCCAGCTTCAGGGTCTTGTCTTCAGGGGCTCAGAGGATGCCGCCAGCGGCCTGCGGCGTTTTTGTTTTCTCATTTGTTGTGTGAATGCGGATTGGGTTCCATGGTTGGTTTCATATAGCTTTTTATCCGGTGAGGGTTGCATACTTCTAAGGTTCCTGATTTATTCTTGCCTGCCTCAGGATTTGGCGTCAAGGATGTAGGGCTGGATTATGGCGATAGAAAACTTAAACTCTTACCAACTCAGACTTGGGCCATTGCATAGCCCAACACCATTGTAGTTTGAATGAACAGAGCCTTCAGGTGGAATGCCACTCAGAGTAAAGCAGCTCCATACAGGCGTACTTTGTTGCGGGAACCTTTTGCGGTCGGTGTAAAGATGAAATCGCCGTATCGAGCGATGCCCTAAAGAGAGAAACGTGGTGGTGTGGAGGTCTGGGGGCGTGTCAGACGCGCCCCCACTGATTTGCAGCTGGCATTTGTTTCACAACCGGATATAAAGAAGGATCCCTCATGTGAGCACCTACCCAGACATGACTTGCATGATGCTCGGCGCACAAGCCAATCTTTGTGCGCATGTCAGGTGGATTCTCTTGGGGCCACTTCGCATGCCAAGGCATTGCCGCACCTTTCCGTTGGAAGGCTCATTCTCTAGCCTACAATGGTAGCTGGGGGTAGTGGGTAGAGTAGTAAGGTGAAACTTCGGAGGAGTTCTCCAACTAGAGTCCTCCGTATCTGTCAACATTAATTAGCATGGCCCTGGCCCATTTAGTTGTGCCCGAGCAGGCACTATGGTTTGGCAGTTCGCCCAATGGCTAGTAACCCTGGTTGTAACCCGCTTCATTGCAATGGTTGTAAGTAACCAGGATTACTAGCCATTCGTCCCAGGCCATCTAAGTAGTCTTCAACGGATAGCCTTGACATGCGCACACTTGTCAGAGCTTTTTTTTTTAAAGACCCTGACCCTCAACCAGGTCGCAAAAGAACTCTACACAGGTCGAAAAACAAAAACACAAAAACACAAATCAAGGAATTTGGGTTTGCACATCTGGCGGGGACACCTCAAAATGGGTTTCGAGGCTGAAGCGTCTGAGCGGCACATTCAAGCGAGAGGACGACGAGCAAGAGGAGACGTGAAACGTGGCACCTGGACCCTTGAACCCGTATTCTTTCCAGCCATCCCCTTGTTTTGATTTTTGGTGTTTAGAGGGGATGTCCCCTTTTAACCCAAAGTGAAAACCTGTAGCGGGATGTGAGGACGCCACAGAAGCTAGCCTGAAAAATGGGACATCGGGCAATTTGAGGGTCCCGGTAAAGTTGAGGGGTTCGCAAAGTTTCATTTGGGGATTGGTTTTGCTTTAAAACTACCACTTAACGACTGAGGGTGATTTAGAGGGTAATCACGGGTGTGCGTGCTTTTTTGGAGGCTTCGGCTTAGGATGGATTTGAATGAAAAAAGAGGAAACAACACAGCGTTTCTGAAGGTCTCCCCCAAACCTTCTGCGGTGAGAACTGGATTGGTGATGTTGACCCCATATAAATAAACCCCTGATTACTGTTTAGTAATATGTGGGTGTCCCTGGTGTTGATGGAGGGGAACACCGCCCGCACATTGAAAAAAATGGGTTTTAGGAATAGGGGGTCAACATTAATTGAAAGGGTTTGTGGTTCTTAAGGGTTTTTGCGGCTTTCCACCCATTCCGTGGATCTTTTCAGCTTCCCTCTTGAAAATAAGATAGGAACTGGATTGGTATCTGAAGCCCTGGTTCTTGGGCAAATGGGAAACCACCCCGGGAGCTGGATCATTTTTCCAATCGGCCGACGCCCGCCTTCCTTTGAATAGAAGTCGAGTGTTCGATGTAGATGCCCGTGTTGGCCGTGTTTAGCCCATGCCACAGTTGATCGTTGCTTACCTTCCATTAGCTGAAATGAATATTTGTTGTTTCACCCTGTTAGTTTTAAAGGGATTTTCTCACTACTGGAGATATTTGCTTATTTTCCAGGGGGCGCAAGCGCAACTGGAAGTTACCCGGCCAAAAAAACAACAACTGCACACCACATGTTGCAAGGAGCATTTTTTGTTTTATCCGCAAACAAAAGTACAGATCTCGGCGCTTGATCAACGCTTGATGGTTCCCAGCCTTCCAGCTCCTGAGGTTGCTTGGTTTTGTGGGGGAGGGGGGGTGTTCATTTAAACCACAAGTTGCTCACGTTTGCTTAAGAACAGTTTCCAAAAGTACCTTTCTTGAAACGGAAGGAGATTGGTACGCCTTTGATTTTAGGGCATCAGAAAACCAACAGCCCGGAACTGCTGTTTCTAAAAAAGAAGAGCCATCGCCTCGTGTCGGGCTTTGTGCCGGTGGAACATGGTGGCAATTGTGTTTGCACTTTCTGTGACTACGTCCCCCAGTAGTGCCCTTTCTCACCAACTTGTTTGGGGGAGGGTTCCCCTACTAAAATAGACTACAGAAACAAAGGGTACCCTTATTCTCTCTACTGGAGGACCTAGACAAGTTGCTCACTTTTGGTCGGGCATCAGAAAATGAACAGCCGGGAACATGTGTTTCTGAAAAAGAGGAACCATCGCCTCGTGTCGGAGGGCTTTGTGCCTGTGGAACATGGTGGCAATTTCGTTTGGCTCTTTCCGTGATACTGTGGAAGGTTGCGAAATCCATTTCTTCCGTTTAGAAACCCTGGAAACATTTCGATTCGCCTGTAAATACCAACAACCAACTGTTTCAACCATGGTTTCAAAGCGGTGCTGTCTCGGATTTCGCAACCATCCACAGTACCAAGGGAATCCCCTTATATAGTGGCGCGGGCACTTTGGTATCAAAGGGTTAAGACCCGTCCCCCCAACCTTCTAAGAGCTAAGAAACTGTCTTGCGACCCTCTTCCTGGGTGTGGCTCTGGGGGAGTAGGTTTGTGCAAGTCACTTGAGGTTTGGTCGCAAGATGCATGTTTGGTCCATCTGGGACTGTGGAGGGACTACATTCTGCAACACGTGGGTGAACACTGGGATGAACCAGCTACCAACTCGATTTTGTGCATCACTAGAAAACTCACAGCTTTGTCCCATTTCCTCTTGGACAGTATGCGCAAGCATAGGTGTCCTTTTTGGTTGTGTTGCTATAGAAAAATAGACGGCCTGATATGCCTGGTGGTTTAATCATCTACCAGGGACATCTGTTTCCCTCCAAAGGACACCTATGTGCGCGAGTGTTTGACCAATGCCGCCGGGGCGGCTAGGAGCATCCCGCGAGCTCGGAGCTGTTGGAAGCGGCGCAGGATGCGGCGAGCGCTTTGTCGGGCTCAGTGACCCTCGGAGTCAAATCGGATCGGCGGATCGCTGGTTGGCGTCATCGACCTCCAACTTGCGGGTCAGTGGGTGTTTTTTTTGGGCGAACGGTCTTTTGGTTGGCTTTCAAGGGAAACCAAGAGGACACCTACATGTATTTATTTGTTTGGGGGGGTCCCCCAAAAAGACACCCAGTCTTGTGGTTTGCTCAATGGGCAGAATGTGGTGTAAGCCACAGCTGTAGAGGAGCCTCACTTCTGGGTCCATTTGTTAACTGTCAACATTTGAGGGGTTCTCACGCTCTTTTGGCTCCTGGTGATTTCGCTGCTCTTTAGAGGGTAGTTCTGAGGAAAGGGGAAGCATCACTCCAGTGAAGCCCTGGCGTAAAAATAAGGGACTTGATGGGATACTAAACCAAAACGGAAACATGCAAGCAACCATTTTGGAAGGCTCCCTTGTTGTGATACATGGCCAAGTACTTGAAGAATGTCGACCCAGTGAGTAATAGTAGGTAACCAGGAGAAGCCATGATTCCATGATGTAAAATCTAGATGTAAAAATAGTGGTAAGTGGAAGCACCGGGGAAGCATACGCATGTTCCTGGACTCGTGAATGTGCCCTCCAGGTTGGTTTTGTCGTGTGGCGGTTGTTGCTTGGTTCACTCCTGCAGGGCTAGTGAGACAAGTGAATGCATCTGTTTCATGTTTAGGGCGCGGCATGGAGTGCATGTATTGAAACTCATCTTCAAGTATCTCACTTTCTCAGTTCCTGGACTATATTTTTTGGGGAAGGCGACTCTAGTGGCAAATTCCAAGCTTGGACTTTCTTTGGGCCGCCCACTCCGGAAGTGAGGTATGTCAAGTTGCACCCCCTTTTTTTGGGGGTTGCCAGTTTCTTCCTAATTTGCCTCTGCGTTGGATTCGTTGCGAACAAGCTCCCTTTCCGTGTCCCAGACTTTCTCGTGAAAACCTCACCCTAAAAAAGGAGGCAGCTCGTTTTGACAAGCGCCGATATGGCTTGCGCTGAACACCTGCAAGCGGGTAAGGGGTCGGAGTTTCACAAAGCTTCAGGGAGGACACAAAGGGCACTGGAGCAATGCAGACGAAGCGACGTCAGCCGGCAGCAACATCTTTCATTTTGCCCAGTGGTTCCAGCTACCATGGCAAGTTACCAGGTATTTTTACCTCTAGGTTTTACATCATTGGGTTTTTATGGTTACCCACAAAAATGGCAACTGGAATCACAAGTAGACTCGCTCGAACGCGGAGTTGATAAGGACTTACTGTGGCTCACCTGATTCCAAACCGTGTGGAGCTTGGGAACCTTTTGAGGACGAAAACGCATGCCAATTTACCTAGAGTCTCCTTCTGACCCTTTAAAAATGGTTGGTCATTACCCTAAATGATTCTCCAGGTGGATGTATTTTATTTATAATGTCCGCATTGAGTTGCGCAACACTGCTTCATCCTTTAACATACAGCTTCTTGTTCTTCTGTGACTTGACACGGAGAGCGTCGAGCGTCGTTGCGAAAGTCATGGGTGCAGCGAAGTCGATTCCTCGGATTATCGCGATGGATATGGTTCCTTCATCGGGTTGTACCTGGACCCAGAGAAACTACTCGTAAAGAAGCAGGGGAATTCACGAACCATAGTTTTTGGTTGCTATAACCAATTCTTTAGCTGGAATTTGGTGATAAACGAGAGTGGTTCTTTCAATTAGATACTGCAGTACAGTCTTCCTCTCGATAGTGCAGGTGGTGTTTTCCCTCCGACTTTCTCAGAATGATGCCGCTTCAAGGACCACCTTTGTGCCCGCATCAAGCGATTGAACAACAACCAGCAAAAGCCTCCAGCAACCCAGCATCGTGCATGGATCACTCGCGGTGTATCCCCTCTTCTGTGACATTTTTTTTGTTTTTAAATGGCGGAAATTTGTCTCGGGAGGCCCTTTTTGTTGTGTCACAGAGTCAGAAGTGGATTCCATTTTCCACAGCCCTGATGCCAGCCGCTGGGGTATGAATCTTGATGGGGACCCGTTGGTGGACATCATTTTGGTGGGGATTCATGTCTGCCAACCGCTTGTGAGGTAGTTCCCCATTGAAGCTTTACCAGTCTCCATGACCCTTTAAAACTAGGTCCATGACCCCAATATTATGAGTAATGAGCAACCATGTTTAAAGGGTCATGGAGACTCTAGGTAGAGCTATTTCATTCGTTTCCCGTTCGAGGAATAGCATGGAGGGCATGCGCTACGACTCGCGGCTGATGATCTTCGAGTTCATCAACCGCCTGGTCTTGCGGAAGAAGCAGGCGGGACGCGGCCTCGGAAGCGCTCGCTGCGTTTGCAGCTTTGGTTTGGTTCGACTGGTGGGTTCCACTTGCTTTTTTGCTTGGGAGGGAGGGCAATTGTAGGGATGGTCAGCTAAGCAGCTAGGTAGGGCATCGAGTCATGCTTGATTCTGATAGGCTTCCTGTTTCTGGCATGGCGCACACAAGCAGTTTTGAGAGTAGCTTATTCTGTGCCAGGTGGTTTTTGTTGAGAGTCTATGGAGGGCAGGCCATGGCAATTTGAAATGAAGGCATGAGGAACATCTTTTGCTCCATGCCCGGACCCTACAGCAGGGCTCCTTAAAAGATACATTTTGCCCATTTGAAACATGGCTTTTTCCATCAAAATACAGGGAAACCACCATTTGCAAGGCAATGTTCAGGTGTACAATGTAAGGATCCCTGTTTATCATGATACGCTCAAGACTTGAGGCTCTCCGAAGCAACCATGCTTCGGACTCCCTTCAACACGACACTCCACTGCGATTGCAATGAGTGTTTCCTCCTGAGTTGCTCTTTAGTGCGCGGATTCTTCGAACATGTGCACGCGCCGTGAACATTCCCGGCTTGGGGAGCATCACAGAAGTATTGTCCCTGCCATCGACTGATGGGAGAAGACCTACTCAGCGTGATCCCAAACCATTGGAAACGCCTCGGAGTTTGAAAGGATCAGCGTGCTGCATTGGTTAAGCCACACCATCCGTCGAGCATATCCAGTAGGACGATGGCCCTGCGTACATGGGAGAAGCACGAATGTTCTCTCACCGCCCAACCACACTTCCAACCAGAAAAACACGCAGGGAAAAAAAAAGGGGGACTCCAAGGACACGAGCGCAGCGAAACCGTGACAGCCAGCCCGAAAATGCTGCCACCGCGGTTTGCGACAGCCCTTCGGCTGCCTTGCGCCTGGGAGTTTTGCTTGCAGGAGCGAAATCGCTTTGCATGGCGGCAAAAACAAAGTCGACGATACCGTGATTGTGATTGTTGCCATTTTGAAAGAAGGCACTTTCTGAACGTATTTCGGTAATTGTTTGCGCCTGCGTGTGTGTGTGTGTGTGTGTGTGTACCTGTGCTTGCGGCCCGACCAGAGCAGCATCCTCACCCGCGCGCGGGTTTGCTAAGTTACCCCCAGCCCCGGCCACGACGGTTTCTTAGGTGGTGCAGCATTTCGTCCACCCACAGTAGGTCTTGGGGGTCATTCATGTTGTGACGAGATTTTCACATGGGGGATGCCAGCCAAGGGAACCCATTTCTGTGCCCAGGAACCCGGATTCCTTGGAGAGCAGGGTTGTGGTTGGGTGCCACTTCTGTGATATTGGAATCTGCCCCTTCACCACGGGGGGTTAGTCTGCCCTTTTTGTTATACGTATCACAGATTCGTGAACTCCATTTCAACTACAGCCCTGGAGAAGAATATGCCATTGTTGCTCATTGTGCCTGCATCGCCGCAATCACTCTGTCTCTCTCGGACTCCCTGCTTCGAAATGGCGATGTTTTGAGCTTCAGCGGGAATTTCAGTGTAAGCTAATTGCCTAGAGTCTCCATGACCCTTTAAAAATGATGGGTCATTACCCTAATTCATGGTTGGTCATGAACCCATTTATTTTGATTCGGGTCAGAAGGAGACTCCAGGTACATCAAGCAAGGGCACCATACTGTGGATGGTTGCGAAATGCATTTCGCACCACTTTGGTTTTAATGGTTGAAACCATAGCGTTTGTTCGTATTTACGTTGAGTAATCGAATCATTCTAGGGTTTCTGAAGGGTGGTGCGCTGGATTTCGCGAAACCATCCACAGTAGCCCGTTCAGTTCGGGAACTTCCGGCGCAGGTGGATCTGGTAAGGCAGATGCAGACTGCGGTGGAGGCGCGAGGCTTAGCAGATGCCATGGTCCCCAGATGTTCCCAGCTATCCGGTGCAGATGTCATGGCTCCTTAAAAGATTTCCATGTTGCAACCATTTGAAGCATGTTGCTTTTTCCACACCGATTTGTTTTTGACACACAAGGCATGGCATAGTTCCCTACACCTTCTTTGGCTTACACGGCATTTTCAACACCGAATTAAAGAAATGGAAACCTTAAGATTTACAAGTTGCGATGTTCTTGGCGTGTTTGTTTTCTTTTTGGTTTTTTAGTTTTTCGGTTCTGTTCATTTTTTACCGGGGGTCGTGGCAAACAACTTGAAGTTAATTTGTACGCCCATACCAAGAGATTCGAGATGTTGCATCCTTTGATCTGGTTCCTTCGGCTTGGTTTTGAGGTTAGGATCGAGTCGCTTAGCCTCAACCCCGGGGCTCTGGTTTGAGATCCCCGCTTCAAGCTTCACCAGAATTCGCTCCCCGTTTTGCTTCTTTTGCTTTTTTGGGGTTTGCTTTGTTTTCCACTAACCAGGCAAAAAAGATATTATTTTTGCTGGGGTCCTAAATCCAGCCAAGTGAGATCCCCTGCTTGCTAGGCTAGTGGTGTTTAGGTTTCTAGGTTTAAAAACTGGTTGCAGATCTGAAAGCGGGCCAGGTATTCTAGGTCCCCCAGTGCCCTTCTCCACCCTTTTTTGGTTGGGAGGGTTCCCCTAAACAGACCACAGAAAAATGGTTGGTACTCTTATTCTAACCTCTCAAATCTGGAGGACCCAGTATTGCAAGTAGCCCCCCTCTTCCCCTTTCCCCCCCTCGCCCCAATTTTCGAGAACGCACCCCCAACCGGTGAAAGTCACCTGGAGCCCTCCTGTTTGCCCGCAGGGCCGGAAGCCGCTGGTGCATCAGATGCTGATGGGTGTCTGGGCAAGCGGGTCGATCCAGACATGGCAACCCCTGCTGCAAAAGGGTGTCCTTACAGGTGTGCTTTTTGGTTGGTTTGCTCGAAAAATGGATGGCGATCTACCAGGGCCATCTATTTCCTTTTTTTTTGGACACCCATAGGTGTCCTTATATTCTCACTTCCTGATCCAATGATCTGGGGGTGAAACGAGCCCAACATATGTTGGGTCCTTGCCTTGAGGATACCTCAGGGATTTGCAGAAGAAGTGATCAACTGCTAATCACTCCCCCCAAGTGCATGGACTTTACTTGTTTTTTTTAGGAAGATTGTTTTTACGGCAATCAAAAGGGTTTCAGCTTTTTTGGCCAGTCCACCCAGGAAGTGTGTATGTCCATTGTTTCTAGCGGCCACGTACTTCCCCAGGGCATTTACCCATCGTTCTCCTCAAGCACCGGTTGTTTTCTGGGGTTTACCTGGACCCTTATACTACCCAGAAACAAATCGGAATTCACCCCATAATTTTGGGGCTAGAACCATTTTTGGGGGAATTGTGAGGACTTCACCCCCCTTTTACGGCGCCGTTTGGGGACATAGCCACGGGAGCTTGACCAATACTGTTGTGGAACCTGCGGTAATTCGACGAAGGCTCAAAGGGGGTAGCGAATTTCTTTGGCATCGCTCGCGCAACGCAACGCTAAGACCATAGCCAGGCTTATGTTTGGGCTCTGCGCAGAGGTTGGCTTCAAAAACTTGGTGGTTCCCAGCCATTTCCTTAGCTCTTTCTCACTTGCCCAAAGCAGACCTTTTGACCTTTTGGTTTTCCAATTTTGGTCCAGGTCCCAAAAGGTTAACCTTTTATTTCCTGGTCTTTTGGGCAAGTGAGTTTTAGCTTTTTAGGGTTTAGTGGGGGTTTCAGATTTTTCCAACTGAAAGTTAAACTTTTAGTGGGGGATCTGAAAACGGACAGCCCAGAAAACAGGCTTGTGACCTTTCATGTGTTCATATATATATATATATATATATATATTTGTCGCGGGGAGTCGGGCATTGTTTAGGGATAAAAAACAACAAGATAAACATGCCATCGGCTGTTGAGGTGGCTTCCTATCAAATTTAATGGGCCAGGGTGTAACCTGGTAGTGGTTGAAGGCGAGTGGACACCATGTAGAGGTTGAAGCGGCCTACTGTAAATGCTGCACCTTTACAACAACACATGTTTATGTAGATTTCTTTGCACATTTGTTCTATTTGTCCCTTTATGTCCAATCCAAAGCTAGCCAATAGGTGTTGACACAATCCTGCAATGGTTGTTGTGTAGACACTGTAGACAGGTGTCTCGCTTCCTGAGTTCCTGGACTTGCAACTTTTTGGGTCTGGACCATCTTAGTGGTAAATACAAAGTTCAGACTCTTTTTGGCCACTTCACTCAGGAAGTGAGGTGTATATCTTGTTAACAAGTTATTTGTTTCCGTCATGTTGCAGTGCGCAGTCGCACTTTCAGGTGCCCCATTAGCGAGTATATGTAGGGGCCATGTTGGGGGCGGGTGAACAAGGCGCCCACATGGAACAGACCTTTCGGCTGGCAAAATCGTTCCTAGGACCGATCCAAAAGGGAACCAACGCGATGAAGCATATGCGGCATGTGCATTTGCGCTCGTTCATGGAGGAGGCTACCCAGCGCAACACACCCCAAGCTGCAAGTGGAATGGAGCCCAGTTGCCTTTTTTGCCTTTTTTGTTGGAAAGGATACCCTTTTTTTCCCATAGAAACTGGGCATTTGAGCGATACGTAGTACTGACCTCACTTGTGCAAAGCGAATCGACCTTTTGACCTCTGGGTTGCCCCTAATTGGTTCATGTTTACTAAAGGTTCCAAAAGCTCATCACCTTTGTCTAGATCGCTGTTTGGGGCAACGTGACATGCCCCCATGAACCCATAGATCGCGAGTTCGCTTCAGCGAGGCGAGGGCAAGACCACAGTGGTCACCCCCTTGGTGATTCTCCTGAACGGCAGCGCGCAGAGGCCAGAAGTGGCCATTCATTTGCCAAAATTTATAGCGGGGATTCCTTAATTCAGCTTTTGTAAGTATAGTAAAATTTGCGGACTCATGTTTTTTGTTGGGGGGGGGTTTGAAGCTTCAAAGGTTTCCCATAGCCGTCCTGATCCGGCCAAAATTGGGGCAGCGCAGGGAGGTTCCCCATTTCCAGCCTCTTTTCCGGGCAATTTGGACCCCCAGGTGGATGGCTTCCCTGAAAGCGGACCTTTGCAAGGGGCACCCACCAACAAAAAATACGCACACCGCAATGACAAACCAAACAGCGTCCTCCGGCTTGCGCTGCTCGTCAACGCGGAAGCAAATCACAGCTTCCCCGTGTCGTACTGTGGAGGGACGAACTCCTGCACCTAAGAAACCCAAAGGAATGATTCGCTTCCCCTGTAACAACCAGCAATGGTTTCCCCTGGTTTCCAAGTGGTGCCTAAGAGGATTTCGCAACCATCCACAGTATGGGTGGTTTCCTGCGGTTTCCATGCGAACGAATCCAAAGGAGATATCCACTCAAACTTACCTCTTAAAAGCACAAAACTTTTCGTAACTTTTGGGGTAACATGGGCTATATGTCTGTAAAAGATGGGAACTTGGCCAGGGCGCAGTTGGAGTTTTAAGGGGAATGCAAAGGAACCAAACCAGAAATTGCGTCCACCCACGTCGCCCTCCTCCTCCGCGGCGAGATGTCTAGCGGCCTTCCGGCCTTTGCAGGGCCTGCGTCGTGTGCGTTCCGGCCGCCCTGACGGAGTTCACGCGCAAGGTGCTGCAGGACGTGTTGGTCGGGGCGCAGCGGGTTGAACTGCCGAAGGGGCGCGGGTGTTTGGAGGGCACCTGTTCCACTTTTGGTGGCACCAAAATATGATCAGCTTTCGTTTCCAGATCCGAACTGGGCGAATGTAGCTGTGTCATTCTAGGGGTTGATTCCCCATGTTTTTCAACCATCGTTATTTTCATCAACCGGCTGTTTTTCCTGGGTTTTTGATAGTTCATTGTTTACAGGGAAACTGCCGGTAAGAGTAGAACCAGCATGTGTGAGTCCCTCTGTTTTGGCCCATGACCGGACGGCCACGATGTTTGAGGGGAAACTAGAAAGCAGATGACCTGGCTGACAGAAACCCCGATGCTAAGGATGCAGATATGGTCAGTCAAAACTCATACCCGGGTTCCAACAAATCGGTTGGCCGCCGCACGCACACTCACACCTTGGGTTTGGAAAGGGGGCCTCAAACGCGGGCATGTGGCCACACGTTTTTACTTGGTTTCTGGGCAAAAACCTAGTAGTTGTTGTTGCATTATTCTGTTGACACTTCATATTCAGGGTTTCTTGTTGGCTCCCAGCCATCCGGTTCCTTAGCTTTTTAGTTTTTTTGTGTTTAGTGGGGTTTTCCATTTCACCCAAATTCTTGTGGCGGGGGAAGAATGCTCAGTTTTCTAATTAAACACTAGCCTCAGTTGTTCAGTGGCTCCCTTTTTCCTTTTTTTTTGGTGGCTGCCCCACTAAAATGTCTTCCCAAAAAAAGGTTCCTTTTTTTTCCAGGGTCACTGAACAACTGGGTAGCTTGCTTCCAGCAGGCAAAGAAGTGTTGCTGCATTGACAAGGCATTGAGCGACAGTTTGCGCCTTGGAGGCATGGCCAAAGACGACAACGCTTACTCGTTGGTTTTGTTGGAAGCTTGTCTCATTTCCGGCGTTGACCCAAAATGGAACCCTGCTAAATGGAAACATGGACTAAAACCTGCGGTCGGTTTAATCTTGACCCGTAACCAAAAAGGACATCGATCCTTCAGACTGGGTGGCCTTCCTTGCCTGCCGTTTCCCTTTCCAACCAGCGATAAATATTGCTATTGGGTTGGATCAGTGCATCTGTAGACTTGAATTTTTGGCGAAATCAAGGGGTTTTTTCCATTGTCCCCACAAAAAGTTATTCACTGTTTGCACACTGGTCGTGACAGCAACCAGGAAAGGATACTTCCATGTGTTTAAGAAAGTGTTTTTTTGTTTCGCCTTTTGGTTTTACGGGGAATCTATCACTGGGCACATTGGTTTTTTGTACTCAGTTGTTCCAAGCGAATCGACCTTTTGACCTTTTGGTATTCGCCTTCTGGTTTTTGAGTCATGGCCCCAAAAGGAGATCACCTTTTAGTTCTGCGTTGGGCAGGTGAGTAGCAAGTGGAAGTGCCTCTTCCGCTTGAAGCTGTACTTCCCTTGGGCATGTTTCGGTGAATAGACCGCAGAGGAGAGGCTTTGCGCAACGCTGGCGCGGCCGGTCTTGGAGTTCAAAATCAACAGGGCCACACCCGTCCCTTGGCGTGGGAAGGTGTGGGTTGAATCCCTAAGGGGTGGTCCAAAAAAAGGTTCCCTGAGGCTCCTTGAGCCCTGAGGAGTCCCAGGGCTCTCAAGCCTCCCGTCACGTACCTTCCCTTGGAGATTCCAGTCACGTGAGGTTTATGTTGTTGGGCGTGGCCAAGGGAATGTCTTTCAAAGTGACTTTCAGTGATTAGTCGAAGGAATGGGGATCAAGCACGTTGGGAATATCAGAATGGGCCAACCATTTCCCACAAATGAGGGGGTTCAGGACGGGTTGAGCGTCCACGGACCAAGTGCCATCCAGAGAACTTGCCGAGCGTGCAGTCAACCAGCTGTGGACTCCCTTTGATATGTGGGCCGTTCAAAGGCTGTCCTGCCAAAACTTGATCATGTAGGACCAATCAACGGTTGAACGATGACATTGCGTTTTAAATTCTGAACGTTCGGAGGCGAGGCACTGAAAGGATTGTGGCTGTCACGCACTACTGTGGAACTCAACTGGGGAGGGTCCTGGTTTGGACCTTGTTGCTTGGGGTTTTGATGTTCGATTCGGCAAGTTAGACACTTCATTGGTAACCGTTTGGTTACCCACGTGTCAGTTGTTCTAGGTGGGGTTAAACCTTGTTATTTGGAGACTATACCCCAATTAACTAATCACTTATCAACTTGGACGAACATCTAAGTAGGACCTGGCATACGGGTCTGTTTCCTTTTCTGCCAAAGCCTACCTAAACTTCAGGCTGGATACCTTCGGGCGAACCGAAGATGGAGATTCGCAGGTTTCAGATGACCATTTCTTCAAGCTGCTACATGCCCAAGATGCGCGTGCAGCAACTTGGACTGAGTTGGGCTTTGCCTCCTTCAAGACACATTGTACGTCAGGTAAGTCAGGGCTCCTTAAAAGATACATTTTGCCCATTTGAAACATGGCTTTTTCCACCCAAAATAAAGGGAAACCACCATTTACAAGGCAATGTTCAGGCAAGGATCCCTGTAAGTGGTGAATGTTGACCCCATACTAATCAACCCCAGTTTATTAGGGGGTGTCCCCCTCCAGAAGTGGTAACTGATTCCCCAGTTGGACACCCCCCTTATGAATGAGCTGGGGTTGAGGAAAAACGCGGTCAACATGACTAATTATGGCTACCTAGACTCTCCATGATCCTTTAAAAATGGGTCCATGACCCCATTATTTAGTGTAATGACCCCATTTTTAAAGGGTCATGGAGACTCCAGGTACTCACTTACCATGGGTTAGAAGTCTCCGTTCCGTGGGCTGTCTCACCATTTCCCCGCCCACCGAAGTATCCGATCCCTATGGGAACTCCCAGCAGTGTTGGCTCGGGCTTTTGGCTCCTGGAGTGCTCTCTGATTTGTTTCGGGCCCCAAGAAGGTGAGTCCCAGTGTGGGGTCAAGGCCCTTCTTTCCACTTCTGTGATACAGGATGGAATCTCCCCCTTTGATTATGACGAGATTTGTTCGTCTTTGAGAGGCGCCAAGTGGATTCCATTTCCCACACGGGTGAGGTTTCTTTGGTTGCCCAAGAGAGCTCCAACAAGAGGCACCCATTTGCTTCACCAGAATTTGTTCCCCTTTTTGCTTTTTTGCTTTTTTGCTTTCTTGGGGTCCCCTTTGTTTTCCACTAACCAGTCAAACAAGATGTTGTTTTTTTGCTGGGGTCCTAATTCCAGCCAAGTTTGATGGCGGATCCTCCAGACCCCGAAATCCTCAGTCGCCCAAAACGAATCGACCTTTTGACCTTTTGCTGTCCCCTTTTGGGCCCATTTTTGGCCACCCCAAAAAGTGATCACTTTGTATTTCTGGGCCGATAGGGGCCAATGAGAATCTGCATAGCAGTGCTTGTTTACGTTCGAGGCAAGACACGGTTCACTCTGGGTTTGGGCATCTTGTCGGTGATCGAAGGGGCCCCTGCAGGTAGCGGCTGACATGTTTTGAGGGGCACCCAGGTGTCGATCTAAATGAGCTCGACCTTCTTTTCTGGAAAGGTAGCCATGGGGAATTTAGACATGTTCACGTTGTTCCGGCATTCCCTATTTGGCTCGCTAGTTTCTGGGATGAATTCTTTGAGAAGACGAGAAGGCAGAAAGAAAGCATTTAGACTCTTCTGATCCCAATCACTTGATAAGTGAGACGGCGAAGTGCATGACCGATGCGTACACGTGTGCAAACATACCGCCATTGAACTGCGGACATGTTTTGTAGGTTCAACGGCAAGCCTGATTGGACATTGTACATGTACTCCGAGTGTTATCGTTGTTGCCTTTTGCTTGGATGTTAGGACTTTAACTTTTTTGCCAACTAACGGGTTTTCCGTATTGAACCACTAAACGTTATTCACTTTCAGCAGAGCAGAAAGCAACCGAGTTATGTGAGGACCACCGAACTCCATGGGAGGTCCAACCTTACACTCCCAAGTGGTTGAGCTTCACCCAAGCCCAGGAGACCCGCGGCAAGGGACAGCGGGGTTTTGCGAAGGCCAAGGCCATTCAACGCTTTGTAACCGTCCACCACCACCCCCCCCCCCGGGCGCTAGGTGCTGTGCTCAGGGCCCACAGCCTTGAAGTCCTTGCTGCTGCGCTTTGTGCTGACGCTCCATGCCATGGACCTGAACCGCAGCAAGGACCCGTGGGCATTTCTGTTACATGCTTGTGTGTGCGTGGGTGTGTGGGTGCGTGGGAGGGTGCGAGGGTGCGAGGGGTGGGTGGGTGGGTGGGTGGGTGGGTGGGTGGGTGGGTGGGTGGGTGGGTGGGTGGGTGGGTGGGTGGGTGGGTGGGAGGCTGCGAGGGTGGGTGGGTGGGAGGCTGCGAGGGTGGGTGGGTGGGGCTGGGAGGGTGGGTGGGTGTGTGGGGGGGTGAGTGCATGTGGTTGGGTGGGTGGGTGCATGTGGGTGGGTGGGTGTGTGTGTGTGTGTTGTGGGTGTGTGTGTGTGTGTGGGTGCGTGGGTGGGTGGGCGGTGGGTGGGTGGGTGGGTACGTGCGTGCGTGGGTGCGCCGTCGCCGGCACGCCAATAATCCCTTGCTTTTTACGGCAAGGGCTTCTCAAAGGCCGCGATTGAGAAGGAACAATGAGGATTCCTGAATCAACCCGAATTCGTCACCAACCGCCGGTTTTCGCTCAAGGTGGCGCCTTGTGCAAAAAAAGCAAGGCTGGGCACAAGAGCCAACAGGCACTCAAGTCTTGTTGTGGCCATGGCTCCAAACATGTAGCGCTATGGTTCCGGTGTACACACGGAATTGTAGAGGAAGGCCCAGCCCACTCTGTAAGGTAAACCTTGACCAAGCCCATGCGCTCCATGACTCCAACCAACCAACAACCAACAAACCAAACCAACCAACACACCAACCAACCAACCCAACCCAACCCAAGCCAACCCAAGCCAAGCCAACCCAACCCAACCCAACCCAACCCAACACCACAAAACAAACCCAACAAGCCGACACAACAAGCCAACAAACCACCAACAATAACGACAACGGCGACGGCGGCAGCAGCAGCAGCAGCAGCAACAACGAACAACGGACAACGAAAAGAAGCAGCCAACAACAACGACAAACCAACAACAAACAAACAACAAACAACAAACAACAACTTACTTCCTGAGTTCATGAACTTTAAACTTGTTGGAAAGACCATTTTAGTGGTACATATAAAGTTTGGACTTTTTTTGGCCATCCACTCAGCCAGTGAGACAAATCTTAGAAAGCAATCTCCAACCAACAAAGAACGCGGAACAACCCACGACAACCACCACCACCGCCGCCGCCACCACCACCACCACCACCACCACCACCACGACCACCACGACCACCACCACCACCACCACAACAACAACCACCACAACAACAACAACCACCACAAGCACAACCACAACCACAACCACAACCACAACCACAACAACATTAACAACAACAACAACAACAACAACAACAACAACAACAACAACAACAACAACAACAACAACAACAACAACAACAACAACAACAACAACAACAACAACAACAACAACAACAACAACAACAACAACAACAACAACAACAACAACAACAACAACAACAACAACAACAACAACAACAACAACAACAACAACAACAACAACAACAACAACAACAACAACAACAACAACAACAACAACAACAACAACAACAACAACAACAACAACAACAACAACAACAACAACAACAACAACAACAACAACCACAACAACCACAACAACAACAACAACAACAACAACAACAACAACAACAACAACAACAACAACAACAACAACAACAAATCATTAGTTTGTTTCGCCGCCTTCCAATTTTGAAGAGCCAGTTTTTTTTTCCTTAACGCAGGACTGTCATCGTTTTCTATTTTTGAGGTCCAAAAAAAGAAGTCCGTTTTTCAGTGCACAGCTTATCATATTGGCTTTCACGAAAGAATGAAAGCAAACAGGCACACATCAGGGCTTGTTTGGACATGTTTAAACCACTGAGGCACTACAGTCACTACAGTTGATTGAGCATTCCGCCGTATTTTTGGTAAACCCCTGCAAGGGGCGAGGGATATTTGTTTCCGCCTATTGAACCAAAAGCATCCTCCCTTTATGGTTTTTTGGTTAATCTTTGGACTTTACGTTTTTTGAAATAGATGTGTATTGAAATCAAGTTGGTTTTCCGAATTGAACCCACCAAAAGTGAAAACTGATTGCAGAGTGGTCTCGCCACTTGGGTGTTTGTTAGTAACCTTGGCCACAACCCACCTATACGTCCCCCGTTCAGTGGGGTTGACCTTTTTCTTAGGGGGCTAAATCCCTCAATTGGCTGACTACCTATTATCTTGCCGCATCAAGCAAGTACTTGCCGCAACATGGGCACCGATTTATTTTGCGCGAGGGGCAAGCATGGAGATCCAGGCCTGACGAAATCTAGGTCCCCCAGTAGTGCCCTCTTACCTGTTTTAGTAGGGAGGGTTCCCCTGCTAAAATAGACAAAACTGAACAAAATGGTAGCCTTATTTTAACTCCTCTCAAACGGAGGACCTAGCCAAGTTTCCATTTCAAAAAGAAGCTCCGCCCTCCTGCCGTGCGACGAGACAAGGAGCAGGAGACCGAGGAGCGAGTGAAGGGCAGCTCGTTGCTGAGCCCCACCAGCTGGAAGTCCCTCCTGGGCTGGCCCGGAAGCTCCGCGAGGCTGTCGGGAAGATTTGGTCGAGGGGGGGTGGGGTGGGGTGGGTGGGGGGGGTTGAAATCCCGAAGGAATCTGACATACCCTTTGTTGCATTTTGCCAAGGGATGTTAGGACCTTAACTTCTTGCAAACTAATGGGTTTTCCATTAAACCACTGAAAGATAAACTTTTAGCAGGGAAGCAGAAAGCAACCCAGCACCGTGGATGGACCAAATCCTGGGTGCTCAGTAGAGAATGACCCAGACATTTTGGGAACGAACTTTGGGATTGCCTTCTAGGAAAGCATAGGCGATGAGTAAAAGGGGTCGTTCCCTCATTCCCTGCTGAGAACCAGCAAGTCATTCCAGTTTTCATAAGGTGTTGCAGGGCTTCATCCATTCCAACTGCTGCGAAACGGATTTTGTCCACAGCTTCGGGTGAACTAGGAAGTTGGAACCACCCCAAAATGATAGGTTTCCTGGTGGTTTCCCTGGCTGTGGCTGAATAGAATGTACTCAAATGGCACCGGGGTAAATGGAACCAAAGACTACCTGCGTAACCCTCGCTGTTCAATTTTGAGCCACACCCATAGGTTTCCTGGTGGTTTTCCTGAAAATCCAGAACAAGGTTGCCGACCAACTTCACCGGGCTTCAGCGTGCGACGTCGGAGCTGTACTTGAGGGGTCTCTTGGTTGTATGAATCATATTTGCCAATTGTGTGCCAAGCTTACCGATTTGTAAAAACGATAATCTGGGTATGCCGTGCCAGTGCCGGGTGGTCAAGATGAGCTCACGATGATGGTTCTTTGCTTGGGATCCAAGTCTTGTTTTCAGGTCTTGGAGAAATCCCCAGCGACATTGAGGCAGTGAACTGTGTGACATGCCATGACGCCAGATCAGAGAACCCTTCTGCACGCCCGATGCCCTCATGCCCTTTTGCTCGCGTCAGCTGGTGTAGTTGTAGGGGGCATCCGATTTTGCTTGGTGGTTCCCAGCCATCCGGTTCCTTAGGTTTTTGGGCGTTGAGGGCTTGGCGGGGGTCTCCATTTGCTCCACTAAGAGTTAGACCTGAGCAGGCGGGGGATCTGAGGACAGCCCGATTTTAATTGAAACTCAGTTGTTCAGTGGCTCCCTTTTTCCCTTTTTGTTTGGTGGCTGCCCCACTAAAATGATCTTCCCAAAAAAGGGTTCCCTTTTTTTTTCAGGGTCACTGAACAACTGAGGATAAAGCCACCTTTTTTGGCGTTCCCTACTCAAAAAGCAAGTGGTGCGAACGGATTTTGTCCATCCACAGTACCCCTGGGTTGCGCTAGAGCCAGGGGCCAGCAAGACGTGGCCTTGCAGTTCGAAGCGCGCGCTTTGGGCTGGGCCCTGGATGTCTTTCGAGGCGGACAAGGGGCGATGGGGCGATGGGGCGACAAGGAGCGTGGGGGGGACTCTGCTGGTTGCTTGGCTCTTCAGAACTGCAGAGGTGAACTCACCTTCTCTACTGGACTTTGGATTTTGTTGGGTTCGGGTGCCATTTTTTGGTTGTAAATAGACAATGTGGACTGGCTTTTTGTGGCCCATCACTAAACTTCTCGTAACCCAATTCACACTAAAATTGGTGGACCATTTCAGTGGCAACTGAATTTGTTGGACTTGTTTCTTGGGCCACCCGCTCTGGAAGTGAGAAGTGGTTTGAGGAAGACCGTGTATTTTCCCACCAACCAAGCAGCAAGCCAAACTGCTTGTCGTTTGGGGCAATCGTCACAAAGGTTAGAGGCTCCGTGAAATGGGTTGGACATAATTCCCCATGTCTCAATGACGTCTTCCAAGGGGTCCCCGAGGTTTTTGTTGATGCCCAAATATTTCAGCGCCGTGGCAAAAGAAGGCTTTTCAGTCTGAATCACGGGACCGATCGCTCACCCCCAAGCTTTCAACCCCACCAACTCCCTCCCTGAGTTGGACATCAAAAGTCGTCCCGGTTGCAAACAGTGGGTTCCGCTTCTTATGTTCCACTTGTTTTTGGGAAGGGTTCCCGTTTAAACTCAACGGTTGAGCAATGTGGCGGAACCAACCAAAAAAGGATGCCGATTCTTTTTTGCCCATGGAAATCCTCTCGGCATCTGAGTTTTTGGGAAGTCCACTGTGGTAAGTCACATGTTCAGACTTTTGCTGGCCAATCCTCTCGATCGAATTAGTAAGCAGCTTTCACAGACATCACAGAATACGCACCAATGTATAGACGGTAGCTTCGGGCAGTTGGCTTCTTAGAGGTGCACTCACCTGATTTTGAGTTTTTCTTGGGGACCCTCAAGTGGACATCATGTATTTTGTGATTTGTGCCCACCCCAGCAAACATGGGACGGGGTTCATGTTCATGACCTGTCTGAAAAACATAAACAACTAGGGGTGTTCCTTCGCAACTTCCCGGGAGCTTGCAGCCAGAGTATTTTTGTTGGGTGTGTCTTGGAGCTCCTCACTCAAAACCAGACAGACCCATTTGGTAACTCTTGGATGGACAGCTCCGTTGTGTATTGCACCCCAGCGAAAAGTCTCTCAAGGGACAAAGGGAAGGGTGGTTTGATTGAGTGTCCTGTCTCGGGGGCTTGTAGTTGGCTTATTTGGGTGTGTCTTTTTCAGGGTCTTCCAAAATGGTGGTCTCCCAAAACCGGATAGACAGACCCATTTGTTCATTTTCAGATGGAACTCTTGTCTCGGTTGGGCATTTTGGTGCGGCATGTCAGACACGCCCTCAGTACCGGCCACAACAAGTTCGCAGAGCAGGTGTTAGTGACTAGTTGCCAACATTTGATGCGGGAATATGGAAGTACCTGGAGTCTCCATGACCCTTAAGAATAGGTCCATGGCCCCATTATTTAGGGTGATGACCCCATTTTTAAAGGGTCATGGAGACTCTAGGTACTTGGATGTCCAACGAACTTAGTAAGTAGGTTACAACCATGGTTGTAACTTGCGAAACTGGGGTTGGTGTCCTTATAAGCATGGTGATAAACTACTTTCTAAGTTGGAACATCCAAGTAAAGAGTAGGAGCCTGTGAATGACCATGGCTTCACGGGGTGTCCTTTGACAATGAACCACTGAGGCCTACTTGTTTGTGACTTGCCCCGTGAGAAAAGGGCCGTGTCATATCAGCTTGCAGCCTGTCCCTTGTCACGCGCTACGTGCACATTTTGTCACGCTGAGTCAGTCAGCACTTTTCTGTCATCGCATTGTTCTCAGTTGCCGAAAGCCGATGTTTTAACCTTTTGGGTTGCCCTGTTTGGTCCATATTCAGTCGCGGCCCCAAAACGGTAACCTTTTACTTTTGGGTCATTTGGGCATGAGTCAAAACCCCGTACCCCAGTGAACATCCCAATCCCCACTAAAATAGACTAAAATGGGTGGTGCACCTATCCCAAAATGGTACCATTGGTTTTGCACCATGGCCATTTGGGCCACGAGTATGTCAAAGAGTCAATTGATGCCATGCTGAACTCGCAAAAAACATCGGCATGATCTAGCAGACTACGTTGCCCAGTGGATTCCGCCCCTTCTTCAACTTTTTTGGGGAACGGGTTCCCCTTTAAAACCCAAAAAAAGGATGCTTTTTTTTTGCCCATGGAAATCCACTGGGCATCTGGGCATAGCTTTGCACCACACGATCTCGGGATCCAGCGTTCCAGCCTTTCGCAAGGGCGGGAACGATGGAGGCAAGCGCTCGGCGGCCAAAAAGAAACGCGGTAGACGCAGACCAGTTTAACCTTCTGGTTTTTCAGGGAAACCACCAGGAAACCGGGTGTGGCTCAAAATTAAACAGCGAGGGTTACGCAGGTTGGGAGAGACGCAGTAGACACCGACGTGAATGCATGGCGTGGCCTGGGAAAAGACGTATGATTTGCCATGTTCAAGCCCGTTGAACATGCGGAATACGCGAGAGATCTACCTGCCCGCTCCCTGGTTGCCAAACAATTACTTCTGTTTGATGATGGTGATGATGGAGGAGGGGAAGGAAGAGGAAGGAAGAGGAAGACATGTAGCAAGTACTAGTAGTATGATGAATACACAATAATCCACATAGTGTCTATTATATATATATATATGCAACCCCCCCCCCATGGACCCTGGTTTTACTGCCTTTTGGGGATGGCAAATCTAGAATTTCCAAATTTATATTCTCTCAATGTCCAATTGTGGGTCCCCAAAGCGTGATAATTTGGAGCCAGGAGTCCTCCACAATGTCCCAGTATGATACCCTTTCCAAATAAGATTTTACTTCAACTAGAATTGGAATTTTGAATATAGTTTAGTATGGATATAGTTTTCAAAAATGTGTTTATGTTCAATTACAGCTTAAACAAGCAAACAAGCAAATCCTTTCCAAATAGCAGCTACATGAAAATGTAAATATATATTTTCGGCTAAACTCCAACTAATCTATAACACAAGAAGTTAGATGGAAGTTGTCTCCCAAATATAATCCAAGTGGTAAATATAATCTAAGACGAACACAACTCAATTTGCGTTTGAGAATATCAAGTGAATAGAGACTACATCTCAAATATAATTCATTAAATATGGCTGAACATTTGGAAATTCAAAATAGGATTTGTGTTATTTACATTCTGGCTTTTGTAGCATCAGAAAGGTCCGATATTGAACTTGTTAGACAGTGTTCCAAAAACAAATCAAGGGAAGAGAGGTTCAAAATCTAAAACTATCTCGAAACAGGGATTCTAGCTAAACCGTTGTATTTAAAGTTCTATTTGCGCAGGAATGTTAATTCTATCTCAAAAGGTGGAGGTAGTAGATGAGCAAATGTGGACAGGTAGTTCAAGAGGGTGGGGGACGGTGTGTGAACGTACATACATATGTATATCTATATATACACATACATACACACATATAATATATAGTACCCCCAATGATCCTGCGCCTCCTCATAAAATACTGGAAAACACAGCATTGTTGAGCGTTACACCTGCCTTTGTTTACCTCCTGGAAAGGGGTCAACATGAGCATAGCTGTCATGAAGCTCACCAAAAGCACTTGAAAGTTTGTCTAACCAATAACTTGAAAGTGTGTCCACTGGATCGCTAAGCACTTGAAAATTTGCTACTATCGGATGGAAGATTCAAGATTGAAGATTACACAGAAAACTTTCCTGAGAATTGTCAATCCTGGCCATACCTAAATAGCATTCAAGTTCTTCTAACACTTGAAAGTGCTTTACCACTGGATTGGGGATTCAATATTGAGGAGCCCACAAACCACCACTTTCCTGAGAATCATCCATCCTTGTCAACCCCTAAAATGTTCAAGTTGTTCTATCACCTCGAACATCCGTTACCACTGGATTGAAATATTTCACGGAAAACTTTTCCGAGAATCTTATTGAACACCGAGAGTATTGGGACAACCCTGGAAATGTTTAATACTTTTTTGAGAATTATGGGATTCAAGATTCAAGATTCCCAGAAAATATTTTCTCAGATTCTTGAATCTTGAATCTTGAATCCAGAAATTGTTAAAAACTTTCAAAAATTATGGGATTCAAGATCTCACATTCTTGAATCTTGAATCTTGAATCCCATTTTTGTTTAATAAACATGTCTGAGTTGTTCTTGTATTCTTGGATGCATTCAAACTCTTTCAGATTGCAGGTGCTGATGTCATTGCTTTTATCACATCTGTATGCATGCATGCGTATCATATACATGTATGACCCTCCCCCCAATTTTGACACAAATCCAAGAAGCAAAAAGAAGCATAAAACACTGGAAAATACAGGTCAACCGCACCAAACCAGGGTCCATGGGGGGGGTACCATATATATATATACACATGTATACATATATATATATATGCACATACGTACGTATGCAACATGTTCGACCCGCAGACCTCCAAGCGGTTGGCTTGGTTGCCTCACTCCCTGAGTTCCTGGACTTAGCCACTTTTTGTGACCAACGCAATGGGGAAGTGACTTGCAGACTACACCAAAGAAATGCTGACCCCATATAAATCAACCCCAGTTGATTAGTAGGGGGTGTCACTTGGGTTTAGTGGAGAATCATCCCTTTTGGAGGGCCCTTCTTATTAATAAACGGGTTGGTTGATTGAGATGGGGTCAACATTAAACCAAACAGGGTTTCTTGTTTTCTGTGTTTTTTTTTGTCTTTTTTTCGGTAGAACTTCGCGAGGCGCCGTGCTGCTGTTGGACGACATCGACCTCCTAATGCACCCGCTTCGCAGTGCGCCGCAGATGAACGGGGGGGAGAAAGAACAAGCTTGCCGCGATGTATCCCTCGCTTCAGGTTTTGGAATCATTGTACGAACTTTATGGCTATTTGGTGTGGGATCTTTGGACTTTAGCTTGTTGGGGATCCATTGTACAGGAGCTTTCTGGCTATTTGGCATGGGATCTTTGGACTTTCACTTTTTGGTGTACAGGAACTTTTTGGCTATTTGGTGGGGGATCTTTGGACTTCAACTTTTTGGGATGGAGTGAGAAGGGGGTTGCTTCTTTCAAGGGAACTTGTTTGTGCCCAATTCTTACTGAGTGAGTTCCCGAGCTCATGGGCTTTAAACTGGTTGGACCAGTTTAGTGGCAACCCAACAGTTTGGAATTTGTTTCGGGTTAGTCAGTGGTACCAATTATGTTTCCCCTTTTTGTTTGGTGGCTGCCCCACTAAAATGGTCTTCCCAAAAAAGGGTTCTCTTTTTTTCCAGGGTCACTGAACAACTGAGGTTATCCATCCATTGAAGTGAGATAATGATAGATCACTTGGACATACCCTCTTGAATGCTTGGATATACACGCCCATGTATCTGATGTCCAAAGGGTCCTCAATTGAAATCCAGACCCGGTTTGCGACTGGAAAGCCCATGCAGAAGGCATGTTTGATCTCGCTGATTTATCACTTGCCCATCAATATTACGAGTAGTCTATTTGGACATGGAGGAACTCGCTAAATTGTCCCACAGAAACAACTGGGATTCACATAAAGTGTCCCCTGTCCTCCTTGGGTACACAAGTAATTCTGAACGTGCCTCATGTCTAAGTTTTACCATACCTCATATAAGACTACTGAGTGTGGCAACGTCCCAGGGCCTGTGAATTTGCGAAGGGTCGTACCACTCACGCCAGGTTTCATGCTCGTGTGGAGCCAAGACATCTTCTGCTGGAATCCATTTTAGAGTGTCTTTTCCCTACGAATCGTTGTTGGGGGTTGTCTTTCAAATGGAAGCGACCGGGATACGAAATAAACCGAGGATTAATTTGCTTGAGCCCCCTGGAAAACATGAATCATATGTCCAGCAGTGAAATCAAGTCCCGTTAAAATCAACCGGCGGAAAGTATCACACTGTCATGTCAGCAAATGGAAGGATACCCTTCCCATTTGTTCCTCTTTTCTGGTGTGCGGGTCATGCTCAGCCTGAGGATACCCTTCCCAGAAATAGTAAGGCAAATCACCGGCACTTTGGTGTCCGAGTGCTTCCTGAAAAGTTCCCCATGGCTTGCGCTCCCAAAAAAGAAAGCACAAAACATCTGCAAATGGAAGCAGGGCAGTGCCCTCCCACCAAAACACATGGCACCTGACGTTCGGGGGGTCCTGGTTTAGACCAAAAAGAAACACATTTTCAGAAGCCCAGAAAGCAAACGGAAGGAACTGCCTAGAGTCTCCATGACCCTTCATGGGGTCATGGACCTTTTTTTGATTCGGGTCAGAGGGAGACTCCAGGTGAACGTTTTTCCCCCTCCCCAGAAGTAGCTCCCCCTTGTGTGTGCTTTTTTTTTCTTCTCGTTTTTTGCTTTTTTTGGGGGGTCCCTGTATTTTCCAGCTTCCAGGCCAAGAAAAACAAGATGCTTGGGTCAACGAATTCCAGCCTTCCGAGGAGCTGCACTGGCCCTTGGGCGCCCTGCACCAGCTGGACTTCACCCACTCCGTGGAGGTTGCCCAGCGCCTCGCTGGGAGACTTGGGGCGTGGGGGCGTGGGGTGCCTGGCCTGCTGGTTGCTTGGATCTTCAGAGGTCAACTCACTTCCTCTCCGGACTTGGGGCTTTTTGGGGGGTTAGGTTGCCACTTTTGTGGAAAGCAGACACCATGGCCGGTTTTTGGTGGCCCATCAACTCGATCGGAAGTGAGTTTTTGGCCACACGGGGGGGGGGGGGGGGCGTGTGCACCTTACGGGCAAGCGCGGTGCCGGGGAGAAGGGAGTTCTCAGTTCCAAGCGAAACGACCTGACTACCTTTTGGTTTGTGTTTAGTCATGGCCCCAAAGGCTGAATCTTTTATTTCTGGTCCGAACTTGGTGAACCATCGTTGTGCACGGCCTTGAAGAGTCTTTGGAAGAGGAGTGTTTGGCTTGTCTCAAAGAGGCACCCAAAAAAAACACCCGTGGGTTTTCCATCTTTGGGCCCCTTTGTCATACCTCAGAGGGTCCCTTGCTTGACTGCTATTGGGTTAAATCTTTAGACTTTAGCTTTTTGGGAAATGAAGGGGTTTTCCACTAAACCCACAAAAAGTTAAACTTTTTGCAGAGGGGTCAACAGCAACAAAGCTTGGTACCTTCTATAGGGAGGTACTTAGATTTGTGTTACCCCCTTTTTTACACCCCAAAAGCCATGCTCATGAGGTACCAAGGGACCCTTTGTCATACCAACCCCAAGATGGTGCCCTCCTGAAAAATTCAATGGCAGAGACCCGTGTCCCAACACCAGCCGTTTTTGAGGTTCTGCGGATGGACGAACTCCATTTCGCAATACCCAAGAACCCCTGGAATGATTCGATTCCCCTGTAAATACCAACAAGCGTTATGGTTTCAACCATGGTTTCAACGTGGTGCGAAATGGATGTCGTCCATTCACTGTCTTTTCTATGGGAATCTTCAGACCCTTAACCATTTCGACTCAAGTCCGTTTTTTTTTGCAGGTGTTACATGGTTCAGTTCAGGTCCTTCGCAGTCCATGGTTCTTATATGTCCTACCTGAAGCCATTCACAGTGAGAGAGAGGCGTCGTCTCCGCATTCTTCTAGGTGTACCTCCCCTGTTCTTTCCAGGGATCTGTCTTTCTAGAAAACCTCCAGAATCCGGGGGAAACGGCGATCGGTTTTCGAAAAGAACGCTGCTTGAAAAGAATGGTCAAGGAATCAACCCCTAGAAAACTGTGGGAATCGGCCATCCACCTGAGTCTTCAACAAAAGTACTTATGGAATCTTCACTTCCTGAGTGGATTGGCTGAAGTAACCAAACTGTTTGTTTACTACTAATATGATCTTCCCACGAAACAACCGCATTGAATTATTTTTGTCAGGCAGGAGCCGGGCATCTCCTACGTGGCCGGCAGCCCCGCGCTTTGCGCCGCAAGAAGTCGAATTGCCCAGAAAAACAACCCGCGTGCCATACTGTGGATGGTTGCGAAATCCGCCGCGCCAAGTTGAAACTACTGCGGAGGGTTGCGAACTCCATCTCGCACCACCTAAGAAACCCAAAGGAATGATTCGATTCCCTTACGTAACTACCAACAAGCGTTATGGTTTCAACCATGGTTTCATTTCGTGGTGCCTAAGAGGATTTCGCCACCATCCACAGGGTTGAACCCCCGAGGTTTCTTGGTAATTATTTTACGGAAGCGAATCGTTCCTTTGGGTTTCTGAACGGTGCGAAATGGAGTTCGTCCATCCACAGAGTCAAACGCCAGCTTTCCTTTGGGGGTTAAGAGGGGTGGACACCCAGCTGGTAGGGATCCTGAACCAGTACAAGTCTCTTTTTTTTTGGTGGGAACCATGACCATAGGCCATAGGGATGTTTTTGACCAGCAAACACATGTGAGCCTCAATCAAAGCCTGGGTAAATGAAGGTGAATAAGGGACACTCCCAGCCATAAGTCGGTGCGGATGGCCGCCTTTTCAATTCCTTGCATGGTTCTGGGTTCACCATTTTGTTTGGTACCAGGCCGCGCCGGGCGTGGTTCGGAGCGGTTTCTTTAGACCTTGGACGTGTTTGGGTGCAAGGGGGGTTACAACCAGTGGATTCCGACCTAGAGTTTTTCTCCTCTGACCCTTTAAGAAAGGTCCATGACCGACCATTATTTTATGGGGAATGACCAACCACTGTTAAAGGGTCAGAAGGAGACTCCAGGCACTTCTTTCAAAAACTTTTGCGTTGGAAGGGTTCCGATTCCTTTCAGCTCAACCGAATAAGGATTTCGATTCCGTTTTTCTCCATGGAAATCCACTGGGCATCTACAGGGCTTATTTGGGGGCAGGTTTGCCTTTCAATTCAACCGGAAGCAAATCACTGGTCAGCGCCCGAGAAAGCAAGAAAGCTGAATGCAAGTCGTGTAGCTTCGGCCATGGTGAAAGGGAGCCGTCTTCTGAAAAGGAAAGCGCCTGTGTCAGTTGGCAGCAGAGATTTGCTGGACTTGACTTGACTTTTTTAAGCAACCGGCCAGACTCAAGACTCAGCCCTTTGGTGACCTAGGCTTTCCACTGGCACATGTTGGGTCAACTTGTTTTTGGTTGGTCGATGTCTGCACGTGTGCAGTTTGAACTGTTGGGCACTCGAGATTAGATCAGCATCCTTCACATGACGTTGTTCTGATCGCCTTAGTTGTTTTTAGGTTTCAGATGGTTTTCTGGGTTTAACATGTTCGTCAGGTATCAGAAAACAGATAACCCAGCTTAAGTCTTGAAGTGGTACCTGAACCCTCAAAGTTTCATCTTAGAAATGGGTTCTTGCCCCAAAATCGTCCCTCTCCAACCTCTCGCTCGGGATGCACCAAGCAGCAGCTCACCCCCCTCTAAAACTCAAAGAAACCCTCAGTTGTTCAGTGGCTCCAATTATTGTTTCCAACTTTTTTTGGTGGCCCCACTAAAATGGTCCAAGCCCAAAAAAGAATTGGTTCGCTTTGTTTCTCCAGGGTCACTGAACCACTGAGGTTACCTCAGGGCATCCGTTGCGATCGTTTTCTCGCTCAGTCCGAAGAAACCCGCTCGCACTGCAGCCTTGCAGGGCTCCTTAAAAGAAATTCATGTTGCAACCATTTGAAACATGGCTGGCTTTTTCAACACCAAAATCGAAGGAAACAACTCCATTTACAAGTTGCAATGTTCAGGTGGTATAATGGAAGGATCCCTCTGTTGGTTACCTCGAAAAGTTGCAGAAGGGTTTTTCCTTGGCTGTCCTTCTGCACTGAGGCGTTCTGCTGTGTCCATCAGCCAGAGGTTAGCCCTGTTTTGATGGTTTCAGAAGTTGCTTGCACCCAGAATTCGGCGAGGTGGGCGCCCGTTGGCAGTTGGCCTTCCACTTACTGGACGGCTTCTTCTCCTGTCAGCTGGAGCCTGGGCCGGCCGTGTCCAGCTTCCAAGGCCGGTGCGTGCCTGGATTTGGGCACCCAAGGGAACCGCTCAACCGAAAAATGCCAATGATTTGATCAGGATGCCGAAACGCCGAGCTGTGGATGTGTGAGGGGTGGGATGGATATCAGGCTATGGGGAACTGCAATCCGATGTTGAAACGCTACAGGGTTGTGGGATCAAGGGGTTTATCCCCACTTCTGTGATACGAGGGAATCCCCGTTTCTATGATCAAATTAGTCTTTGGCAAGCCCGTTCTATTGTATCACAGAAGTGGTCATTCCCCACAGCCCTGAAACGCTATCACAGTTGGTTTCGTGTTGCTCATTCTGCGGGAGGTGGACCGAGCCATTCCCAGGAAAAGGTTGCGGTATCAGCAAACGGATTGGATGCGCTGTCTGTGGTTTCCCCACGTTTGGCGAGTTGTTCCTCTCTTAATACTCTTTTAGTACTCTTTTGCTATCCTACAATGGTGGATCCACAAAAACCGCATCCAAACCGTTTCCTAGAATCAGAGTCAAAACCGAAATTCGCCCAGAACCAGCGCCCGGCTTTGGCATCTGACGAGCGCCAATCCGTCGGCGTGGAGAGCCCCTGTCGTTTTAGGGGGGGAAGCCCTGGCCTGCCGAAGGGAACCGGGCTCACTGGGTAACATCGGAGCCCACGTCGAGAGAAGTGAGCAATGGACGTCGCTTTGGGACGGCGGTGCTCTAAATGTTGCAGGTAAACACAGGGGCTTTTTTTTTGTTTCCTCACTTCCCAGAGGCTCCTGGCTTCGGCTTTCAATGGAAGACCCGGCGCCTCCATTAGACACCCCGGAGGAAGTTCGGGGTCTCAAAACCTGGTTGTTTGAAGGCCCTAAATCAATCGGGAGCCTGTGGGTTGCGATATTGAGCTGGCATCCACCATACAGTGGATGGTTGCGCAATCCGCTCGCAAAAGCGCAATGAAGCCACGGGAATTGAGTTAACAACGAGGCTTTCTGAAAAATGGTGCTGCGTTGCATGAATCGATTTTGCATTTTTTAGCTTCAATTTGCTGAAATGATTCTTGCTTATTTGTTCCTGTTGGTTTAGATGGAATATATCACTACTGGAAAAGTATGTTTATCTCTCCAATGGAGGCGTTGGTTTCCCTTTAAAGCAACCCACAAAGCCCTATCCACAATATGTCCAGTAGTGAAGTCCCTTTAAAACCAACAGGGAAAAGTAACCAGAAAGATCAAAAAGACACCAACATCTTATGCAACTGGATTTCGCAACCATCCACCACAGGTCTTTCCTCAGTTCTTCAGTGGCCCCAAAATATGTTTCCAACTTTTTTTTGGTGGCTGCCCCACTAAAATGGTCCAAGCCCAAAAAAGAATGGGTCCCCTTTTGTTTCCAGGGTCACTGAACCACTGAGTCTCGTCCCGCCTCTCTCGCCCGGCCCGGCCGCTCGCTCGCTTCGGGCTTCGGGGTTCCAGGCGAGGCGGCGCGGCGGGTGCAGCGGCGGTTGTGGGACGCGGTGCAGCGGGGCTTGCGGCTAAAGCACCTGCAGCAGGCGCCCCACCTGGCGCCTCGGCGAGCAAAGACACGGCGACGCATCGCGGCATCGCGCATCTCTCTCCCGCTGGGCCAACGTTTGGGACCTTCTCACCATCTTTGCCCGAAATGAGGAGCAAAGAAAAGATATATATAACTCCTAGGTGAATGTTGACCAAGAGAGGGTCTCTTGGTACCTCATGAGGATGGCTTAAAAGGGTGCTAAAAAGGGGATAAAATAAATCTACTGTAAGTACCTCCTTAGAAGGTACCAAGGGACCCTCTGGGTTTGGGCTGGGAGTGCGATTTGTTTGACTGATTTTGTTCGCCCACCGCTCGTGTTTTTTTTCCTGGTTGTTGTTGCGGGTGTTTGGTTGGAAGGGTTCCGATTCCTTTAAACTCAACCAAAAAAGGATGCCCTTGAGGATTTGAGTTTCGCCCACCTGGTGGCTCCCCTGGTTTTGTTGCGGATTCTTCCACCGTTTTGTTTTTGAACATATCTCAAATATGAAACTGGGGGAGAGGGAATTTCGAGGTTTGGAGGTCTCCATTTCGCTTGGGGAAGGCTAGATGAATGAAATTTGGTCCCGCACCCCCCCCCAACCCTTGTTTTTCCCCCTGATGGCAGAGACTCCATGGCTACCCTCATGTCCGCCAGGGAGCCTGGCATGACTCAGAGACAGTCCTGGTTTGGACCATGGTTCTTGAACATAGACCCTCCGGTTGAATATCCATGTTAGTGGACCCCTGACTTGATCCGATTTCCCAGGGCTTGGCTACAAGACCTTGCCAGCCTTGAAACCCCAAACGGAGAATTGCTGGTCATCTATGGAATACCTGGACTCAGGGTTCCACTTTTTGACTACCCCAAGATAGGCTTAAACCCAGGGGTTCCCCTTTGGGGGTAATGACCCACCCCTGGGTTTAAGTCTACCCTAGGGTAGTCAAAAAGTGGAACCCTGCCTGGACTGGAATCTTAGGCATTGGCCTTTTGGCGATTCCATCCGATTTTTGCTGGATGATAAGTATGTCCGAATGGGTTTCGGCAGTCCGGATTCGTGGTTCGAAGTTGGCATTTGGGTGATGTTTTGAGCTTCCATTTGCTTAAACCATATTTTTGTTATTTTCCCTGTTGGCTTTAAAGGGAATGAACGTATCACGATTGTTGTTTTTCTTTTTTCCCAGGGGGCTTAAGCAAATGGAAGAGTTGGTTCTCGAAACACCCAAAAGGAGCCCGGTTTCCCGCTGAACCAACAAGAAGGGCTCTCAAAGACTCTGGGTCTCTGAAATACACAAAAATGAGGGCTAATTATTTGGCAACCGATCTTTGGACTTGAACTTTTGGGTTGACACTTTGTGGATTCCCGAATTGGATTGAAGCGCAACCCAGCAGGCTTGGCAAGCTGCCACTTCTCTCCCAAATGTTGATTTCCACTATGTCATCATATAACCTGATTCTCTGAGTTATACTTCCGCGGCCGGGACAGATTTTTGATTCGAAGAAAGGGTCTAGTGTGCAATTGGCAGGTCCATCAAATCCGCTTGGGCTGCGAGTCGCGAGGCCCACCGAGCTTCTTTTGCCACCGAGTCCTTGAGTCCGCTCTCTGATGCCCTGAGTTTGACCATGTTTTACTCGGTCTGACATGAAGACGGCCGCCAACCAAATGCCAACCAAATGCCAACCCAACAAGTGGATCAAACGGAGAACGGGGGCCCGGTACTCGAGCTCTGAGAAGCCTTTCGCAGGTTCTGAATCGGAAAGAGGGTTGCCTTTTGTCTTCTTCCTGGTCAGCGAAAGAACCTGAGGTGCTGCTTTCACCCGACTTCTACCACAAGGAGAACTCCTTTGAATGCGCATTGAACAGATCTTTCGAGTGATCGCGCGAGCCTGCCGCATGCCAGTAGAAGACTTTTGCCCAAGGGCAACAGTTCCTTGGAATTGTTCATGGGAACCGCCTTAAACTTACCAAGAGCCAATACTCACGAAATGACCTCTTGGCTTCCCCAGTTTGGTTCACTTTTAGTGAACTTTATTTCTAGGTCCGTCGGGCAACTGAGAATGTGCTTCCTTTCTACCCAAGTCTCTTTGGCAATTTCTCTCAATGCTCGAGGCGCTCCTCCTGGCGAGTGTTGCCACTTTCAAAGGCAACAGTTGGGGATTGGAGGCTGCCAATTTGGCGGCGGGCGCACGCACACATACATAATATGGCTTGTGTTCATCACACGGGCGCCCACGGATTCGTTGGATCATGATTTCCGCCTCCAGCGATTGCATCGAAATGAGTCAAGTGACGCGTTGAAGATGGACCAGTTCCTGCTTCGCATCATTTGATAGGTGCTTGCTCCGTGATTCATAGGTTGTTTTATCCATCCCAACGGGTGCAACATGTTGCCCAACATGTTGTACGTCCACTGTAGCCTCTTGACGGGGAGCCTTTCCCATTGTGTTTTGATTTGCGCGATGGGTCTACTCCAGGAGGGAAATCCAGGCATCGGGTCAGCTGAACTCAGGCCTTGCCTAACTGCGTATGGGGATGGTTCAATGGCCTGTGAGTCAATTCGCAAGATATATTTGTTTGTTTAATGAAAAGTATTCGGCTTGGGTTTTTCTTGTTTTGCCTAGATTCATTTGAACAAGGGGTTTCAACATTCATCTGGGAGCTCACCTGGGGGAACGAGCTCAACCCCATGACCAAGAATTGCTTTTCTGGGTTTTCCTTCATCTCCGGCTTGGGAAAAGCCATTTGCCCAGATTCATTGAACAACCTTGTGCGGAGTTCCTGACGACATGTGAAGCTCAGTCAAGGGCTTTGGGAAGGACTCCGCAAGGATCGTGCACCCTGCCAGCAAGTTTAAGACACCTGACGGATGTGGGTGTGGCTCAAAATTAAAGAGCTAGGGTTACGCAGGTTTTTGTCCTTGCTTCCATTTACCAAGGTGTCATTTTGGTACCACTTTTTTGAGCCACAGCCACACGTCAACCAACCACATTTAACTTTTCAAGCACGATGAATTCTAGTGAAGTGTTAGTGTCGAGGGGGTCCTTGTGCCCTTACTCGCAATCCGGGCTTGTTTCTTTAGGGTGCCCCACAAGTAAAGACCACCAGTATGGGGATCCAATCCGTATTTTGACACAAGGGATGGTAGGCCGACTTGAAAGCCAACAGAAACCGCAGAAAGGAACCGTTTCGTGGACCATGAAGACATGAAGGTTCATTAAAAGGTGCCATGAACATATGAACATGGCATGACCATTGGTTGGAAAACCCGCAAGAAAAGAACATATAAGATGTCGTTGAGAACCACTATGGAAAAGGTTATGCTTGGTCGAAATTGGGGTCCAAAGGGGGAGCTTCCCTAAGACTCCCTAAGGAACTCGAATAACTACGCCTTTCTTGTACCTACCACTGGGATGGGATTCAGGGGCAGTGGTCCAAGGGGGCGGGTTCCATTAGGGCTCTTGCAGGAACCCCAAGGGCTCTCAACTACACTTCCCTTGTACTCGTACCTACCACTGGGATGGGATTTCCATACTCTGTTGCCCAGTAGATTCCGCCTTTTTTTTCTGTCTTGGGGGAAAGGTTCCGATTCGAACGAACGAATCCGGGTCTCGAGCATAGGGAGTTTGGGGTGGCCAAATACAAAAGTTCCAATTCCTTTAAACCCAACCCACCCAAAACATCGGCAGCCCTTTGATTCTTCCTTTCCCATGGAGGGGCCCAAGCCAGGAGCTGCGCCCGATTTTGGCGGACTGGGCTTTGCTGTGGCTGCGCCGGGCTCCTTTGCCCGTGGAGGAGCCCAAGCTGCGCCGCTTCCTCTGCGCGCCTCCGACGCAAGACGGCGACGGACGACGGACGACTCAGCGTGCGTGGTGAGGTCCAATCAAGTGCTTTGCTCGGGGATCCCTTAGTTCAGGTTAAGGAACTACCTGGAGTGTCTATGACCCTTGAAAAATGGTTGGTCATTACCCTGAATACTGGGGTCATGACCTCTGTGTGTGTGTGTGTGTGTTTTTGTGTTTCTGTGTTTCTTGTTGTGTTTTTTTTTGGTGTGTGTATATTTGTCTGTGTGATTGTTTTTGAAGGTATACCTTGTCTTTAAGGTTGGTTTGACGGGGAAGCCAAATGGCTGGTGCAAAGCGACAGCTTGGTTTGGGTGGGGTTGTATCAAAAGAGACGCCTAAAATGGGGGGGGGTTCTCCTTTTGGTTTCCCCTTCAACCCATCACAAACCCTTAGTTCATCCCATCCCAAAACAGTATCTTTAAAACAAAAAGACCATCTTCCCATTTTAACGAGCTTTATCATGAATGTCCTTTGCTTCTGGATCCAGCTCTTATTTCAGGTTTCGGACATATGTCAACTGTCCATTTGCTCTCCAGACAAACATCAACACAAGATAACACAAGTGACTCACAAGAAGAACTATTCGCCGCAAGAGTCATACTGGAGCCCCAAAAGGAGTTTCGTTAAAGCAAGATGGTTTGCTTCCGTTCCATCTACCCCTTGTGGGCGATTTCAACACCGCCTTTGGGGTGACTTTGGGTGAGCGTCCTCGGGTGATGTGTGCCGGAAGTTGTCTCTTCTCAGGGCTGAGAGATGTGGATTTGGTCAACAACTTTTGAGGGAACTGTCGAGACGCACCTGGGGTGACTTTGAGAAGTGCCCATGAAACCACGTCACCAAACGGCTCCTGTGTTCTTGGCACGTGTCGCCGCAGGTTAAATGAAACCCCAAATGGGGGCCCCCAAAAGAAGATGTTTTGTTTGTGGGTTCACATTAGTCTGGGGGGGTATCTGAAACGATTGAATGATTAAGCATGTGTCTTGTGCAACCTGGCATACTAGCCAATCCTGGATGCCAAGATCATGCGTCCAGAGTAGTAAACACGTGTTGAGACTAACTTCCCCATGCCAGTTGATCTGGGTTTCCATGGTATCACTTGATGGATGACATGCAAGGTAAAGGGCAAGGACATGCCAGGCTGTGGAACATGCGTTTCAGTCTTGTTTTCTCTGCTGTTTAGTGGCGCTGTTTGGTCTTTTTTTGGGTAAGCAACAAAAAGAAGGGTGCCCTTTTTTCCCAGGCATCTGAGTTTTGGTCATAATCATGCTTTTCTCACTGAGAATCTAGACACGCTATGTTTGTGTTGACCATTGCTCTCACCAACTTCCATGTCCCAACTATGTACCCCTGGGTAGGTGCCATGGCAAAATACCATAGAAGCTTAAATACACTGTGGGTACATACATGGTAAAGAGGCCCATCTTTTCCAGTGGGATGCCAGGGGTGCCCAGAACCACGTGGTTTGGCTCTCATCAAATGCCGCCCCTGACAGGTCTTCGTAGGAATCCACGTTGGTTGCCGCTACCTTCGACCCTAGTCTGTCCCGAGCCGCCGAGAAACACTGGTTCAGGCGCCACTCAGTAAGTTCTCACTTCCCGAATTCCTGCACGTTAGTCCTGCTGGGTGAAATGTGGTTGGAATCAGACTACTTTTGGAGGGGCACCCTTCGCCAACCGCCCGAATCAACCGCTCGCTCCAGTGGACAAACTGCAGCGAGCTCTTCTTGGCAGATTTTTGTTGCGACAGCCAGAAGGAAAGTCCCCACGGGTGTCCAAGCTGGTTGTACCCACTTCCTGACTTCAAGGACGTTATATGGTTGGCGAACACCAATTTAGTCGCAGGCAACAAATTTGGACCATCCACAGTATGCAATATCTCACTGGACTTTCGTCTGGGCCATTTTAATCAGTGGCACACACACAATAAAATGAGACTTGCTTTTTGGCGAATCCACGCGGGAAGGAGTCACCAGTTGAGCAACGCCGGAAACCCCCATTGGTCATAGCAGGTTCTAATGGTTTCATAAAGATGATAGAAAGGGCTACCTGAACCCTCAAGCTACCCGTAAAAAAGTTGGAATTCACCCATCATTTTGGGGCAACAGCCCATTCTAAAGGGAATTTTGGGAGTTCAGGTACATACACCTCTACAATCATGTTAGTAGAGCCAATAGGTCTTGGGCGCGGCTCCAGTGTGCACTTTTGGGATGCGCCTTTAGATTCGTTTGGTTCTCAGCCGCACATCCAAGGCTGACGCTGAGGCTGAGGAGGCCGAGATTGCCTGTGCGCCCTCCTGCTCCTGAGAAGATGGCTCTACTGCTATTGGGTTGGATCTTTAGACTTTAACTTTTTGGGTTCCTGTCATATTGTCTTTTGACCGGCAAACAGTTAAACTTTTTGCTGGGGGATCTACAGCACCCAAGATGGAGTCTACACACAGCACACAAGATGGAGGCAACAAGGAACCCCACCAGCTCGGGGTCCCCTCATTTTGAGACAACAAATCAATTGTTGGTTTGAATTTAGTTGGGGAGCCTTTAGTGGACACCATCATCTAGTTTGGGATTTATGTCCACCACTTTGGGATTCCCTATTCAATTTCACAGCCGTGTAAGGGCCTACACAATTAGTGGAATTAATCATAAGTATTGGAGTGAATTGTTACCCTCCTGTTCACCTGACGTTTCAGAGTCTTTTTTGGACTATGTTCTGTTAGTGGTCAGGAGGGTGGAGGATTCTTCTCTTTCAGAGGTTTGCAGACGTTTGTTTGTGTATTGCAGGCCATGTTGATTTGCAGGGTAGTTGTAGATGATTTGCCAAGGTGAGTGGTGTGTGTTGGTGCTGTACTTGTTGCGATTGGTGAGGGATGTGTATCTTTGCCTGGTAATGTGGTTCTTGCTCAGCTTCCATCCCAGCTGACAATGCGGGCTTCCCCTAAAAGCCAAAGCCAATAACGCAGCCGTCGACCCAAAAAAGGGGGATACGGGCCAAATGTGTTTTGCCTCCAAAATCCATCCCTCCGGTGAAATATTGTTTGAAAGGGTGTACCCCGTCACACAAACCCAGGGTCCAGCCTATTTCCTTTTTACAGACCTTTGACCCACCTTGAAATGGACGTATTTCGTAGGGCAAGCCCCTTTTGACAGGGAAACAACAAGGAAAGCTGACATTTTGTGGGACCCCCTAGCTTTCACACACACACACACACACACCCAACGTGGTTTCAATGCCCTCCTCCAAAAGTATTGGCGGACCAAACCAGCCCCTGAGCATCGCCGCAGACGAAAGGAAGAACACTTTGCACACCGAACATAACAAAATAATTCAACAGCAAGATACATCTTCCCAAGTACTTCCAGGGGTTTGAGTCTATCAAGGCGCCTCTCGTTTTTTTTTTTTTTTTTTTTTTTTTTTCGTTTCCTTCGGTCGGAAGAACTCGAAAGCTCGGTGCGCGCGCGCCAGGGGCTTCAGGCGCTGAGCGACGGGCAGCTGAAGGCGGTGCACCTGGCGCGCACCTGGCTGGCCACGTGCCTCGGTGTTTCTCAACATCGGGGCCAAGCGGTGGAAGCGGTGGATGGAAGGGCTGGGGTGGTGTGCCTTGGGGGTGGGGTTGGGGGGTGGGGGGGTTTGGGGTTCTGCGCCTTGGGGTGGGGTTGGGAGGTGGGGGGCTTGGGTGGGGTGGGGGTTTGGGGGTTGAGGCGGTTGACGCCGCTTGACCCCTAGGTTTTTTCAGCTCCGGGGGAGGGTTGCCCTACTAAAATAGACTTAGGAAAGAAGGCTACCCTTATTCTAGCCTCTCTACTGGAGGACCTCGCCATGTTCTGAACGAGTCTTCTCCGAACCCGAGCGTCCAAATCGGAGGCATGTGTGAAGCACGCAGAAAGGGGCGATTGATGAAGGGTACGTCAGGGAAGTGGATATAAAGCCTGGTAACCCACTGAACGGAGTTTTGTGCATTTGTGGGTTACCAGGCTTGCTAACCGATTACTTGACGTACCCGATCGCCCCTTCAAGTGGGGCCCCAAAGTTCGACCTGGACCCTCAAACTACCCGCAAAAGAGGGGAATTCACCAACCACAAAGTGGATTCACGGGCCACCGACAGAATCTTCCCATAGTATGTCAAAGTCCAAGTGCGAACAGCGGTCGGACAGTGCTGGCAAAGAGCAGACCGGGCATGTCCCCAAAAGTCGACCCACCCCAGTTTGGGCGTACTCAACTCTTCTTTTGAGTGCTCCAACTCCAACCACAGCGCCTCTGTCGATCAATGTGAGGCTCTTCCCCCACTTGGCCTCGCGCATCCATCGCGTGCACTACGGCTTGCTGGATGAGGCGAGAAGATCGCGGAAACGCCTCAAGTGGTGTTCATGTTCATTGGCGGATTGGTGTTGTTTGCTGCATTGTTTTCTTTATCATTGGCGGTTGGGATTTGGAATTTGAGCTCCCAACTCACCGAAATCTGCTGTTCACCACACAAGGCCACCATTGGCAACGTGCAGAAGGAACAATTAGCACAGCACACGCCCAAGTCCAACCTGAACGATGCTGAATTCAGCGCGTTCCCCCCACAACAACAAAGTTGTACGCTCCAGTTCAATATCAAAGCTGTTTGTTCCCCATGCAGCATGCAAAGATGAAGGGTTTGAAGCCTCACCCAACTCTCGCCACCGCCTGGTGTCCTTTGGGTGCTCTTTCGACCCCCAAAACCGGTTCCACGCATTCTGAGACAGGCGTGAGAGAAGCCCCTGTCTGGCTTAATGGAACACCCAACGCATCCCAAGCAAGCCACTGGGAACCAGGGAAAATGGATTGCAAAGAATGATGCATCTGATCCATCAGCGTGCACAGCGCGATGTTTTTTTTTTTGTGTTTTCCTGGCGACCGAAAGGTCCGGGTACTAAAAAGGCGACAAGCCCAGTTTGGCGTGTCAAAATCAGGTACCACAACAACAAAAACAAAGCTCTTTTTGTTGGGGGGGGGGGGAGTTCTAGTTTTTTGTTGTTTTGTCACGGCTTCATGTTCTTGGGGTTCCCTCAAAAAATAACAAGTCATTTTTTGTAATGTCACCTTCAACCAGCCGCTTTGTTTGAGCTTGAAGTTGTTTTTTTGGTTGGCCCCGTTTGTTTTCCACTCACCAGGCAAACAACAAATCGTTTTTTTGTGCTGTGGCCCTAGTTCCACCCTTGTGCCTTTCACAAAAGTTGCAACTTCCCGCCGGCACAAAATGGGGCCCTAGATGGTCTGGGACGAATCGCTAAATGGCTAGCTTTGCCCTGGTTCCCGGGGATTTGCAACCATTCTGAGGAGGTTGCAACCAGGGCAAAGCTCACCGTTTCGCTAACCCTGCTCTGTTGTTGAATCAAGTTGGTTTTCTGCGTTCTCCCAGAACTTTTTTTAAACCCCCACCTTCCAGCCCCCACAAATTTGCTAAGGACATTCTGAGGGTTTAGGTCGTTTTTGGCTAGGGTCCTAATCCAATTTTGTGGCAAGAACTAATTTGCTAAGGAAAACAACTCCTGCTAAACATGGTCATTACCCAAAATTAAGGGGTCATGGACCCATTTCTTCAGGGTCATGGAGACTAGGTATGGTTACTAACCACTTACTAAGTACCCTGCTGGGCTTGTCCGATGGAGTGAGTGGCCGTGGGGTTTAGCTAACCCCCACATCATCTAAGTACCTGGAGTCTCCATGACCCTTTAAGAATGGGGTCAGTACCCTAAATAATGGTTGGTCATGGACCTATTTTTATTTCGGGTCATGGAGACGATCTAAGTAGTTCCTCTAGGAACAAAAAGATGTCGACACAAATTCAACCATGCAACTAGATCATCTAAGTAGTTCTAGGAATGTTGACACAAATTCAACCAGCGCAAAGCTCGCCGTTGAGCTAACCCTGCTCTGTTGAACCAAGTTGAGTAGTTCCTCTAGGAACAAAAAGATGTCGACACAAATTCGACCATGCAACTAGATCATCTAAGTAGTTCTAGGAATGTTGACACAAATTCAACCAGCGCAAAGCTCGCCGTTGAGCTAACCCTGCTCTGTTGAACCAAGTTGAGTAGTTCCTCTAGGAACAAAAAGATGTCGACACAATTTCAACCATGCAACTAGATCATCGAAGTAGTTCTAGGAATGTTGACACAAATTCAACCAGCGCAAAGCTCGCCGTTGAGCTAACCCTGCTCTGTTGAATTTCAACCATGCAACTAGATCATCTAAGTAGTTCTAGGAATGTTGACATAAATTCGACCAGCGCAAAGCTCGCCGTTGAGCTAACCCTGCTCTGTTGAATTTCAACCATGCAAGTAGATCATCGAAGTAGTTCTAGGAATGTTGACACAAATTCAACCAGCGCAAAGCTCGCCGTTGAGCTAACCCTGCTCTGTTGAACCAAGTTGAGTAGTTCCTCTAGGAACAAAAAGATGTCGACACAATTTCAACCATGCAACTAGATCATCGAAGTAGTTCTAGGAATGTTGACACAAATTCAACCAGCGCAAAGCTCGCCGTTGAGCTAACCCTGCTCTGTTGAATTTCAACCATGCAACTAGATCATCTAAGTAGTTCTAGGAATGTTGACACAAATTCAACCAGCGCAAAGCTCGCCGTTGAGCTAACCCTGCTCTGTTGAACCAAGTTGAGTAGTTCCTCTAGGAACAAAAAGATGTCGACACAATTTCAACCATGCAACTAGATCATCGAAGTAGTTCTAGGAATGTTGACACAAATTCAACCAGCGCAAAGCTCGCCGTTGAGCTAACCCTGCTCTGTTGAATTTCAACCATGCAACTAGATCATCTAAGTAGTTCTAGGAATGTTGACATAAATTCGACCATGCAACTGATGTCCGCCGAGGGAAGTTCCAGCGAACCCTTAGGCGCCGACACGTGCCGCCGCTTCGGCGCAGGCGTCGCCCAGCTGGGCCGCGGAGGCGCGGCCCCGGCGCTTGCTGGCGGTGCCCTTCGTGGGCAAGGACGCGCCTTCGGTGCCTCGGGGAGAGCGCCGCACGCGGGCGGGTTTGGAACGGTGTGGGCGGTGTGGGCGGTGTGGGCCATGTAGGCTCAGAGCCGTTTTTGTTTTTTGGTCCCCCCCCGGTTTTTTTTTTGCCTTTTTGGGCAAACAAATGTTGATTCGGTGGTTTGGTGCGTTGATCAGTTTTTTTTTTTAATTTTTATTTTTTTATTTTTTGTTTTTTTTTTTTTATAAGGTGTCTTGTTTGGTTGTTTTGCTCGAAAAATAGATGGCGATTCCTGGTTGAAGCCTGGTGGTTGAATCATCTACCAGGGAAATTTATCTAGTTCCCCTAAAAGGACACCTATGCAGGTTCCCCGAAAACTTGGTGGTGATTGTGGTTTGGATTTGGACTTGAACCCCAGAGAAAGAGGAGATTATGTGGGGGTGCGGTGTGGTTTTGGTGGTGGTTTTGTGCCTTTGTGGCTATTTGGACTTCAACTATTTGGTTGAAACACACACACAAGTTGTTCATTTTTTGCGGAGGGGTCAACAGCAATCAAGGTTGGTCTGGTGGTTTTGCTTGTGGGCCCTGTAGGCTAAGGGCCGTTTTTTTCCCCACATCTTTTTGTGTGGGGTTCTTACTTTTTCCGCTCCGCGCCCGCCGCCCGCCGTCCGCCGTCCGGCCCCGCCGTCCGCCGCCCGCCCCGCCGCCCCCGCCGCCCACTCACTCACACTCACTGTCTCACACTCACTCACACACACTCACTCACACACACTCACTCACACACACTCACTCACTCACACTCACTCACACTCACTCACTCACTCACCCGCACAAAGTCACTCACTCACACACACTCACTCACACACACTGACTCACACACACTCAGTCACACACACACTCACTCACACACACTCACTCACACACACTCACTCACTCACACTCACTCACACTCACTCACTCACTCACAGGGGCAGCATTTGGGAGCTGTTTAAAGGGCTGGGGTGTTGTCGCGCGCGCGGCTCGGGGCTCGCGAAATCGTGGCAGGCGCAGCACTTTGGAGATGCCGTTGCCGAAGTCGTGGCAGGCGCAGCATTCTGTGCATCTGAGCGTGTGTTTGCGTGGCAGGGGCAGCATTTGGCAGCTGTCTAAAGGGCTGGGATGTTGTCGCGCGCGCGGCTCGGGGCTCGCGAAATCGTGGCAGGCGCAGCACTTTGGAGATGCCATTGCCGAAGTCGTGGCAGGCGCAGCATTCTGTGCATCTGAGTGTGTGTTTGCGTGGCAGGGGCAGCATTTGGCAGCTGTCTAAAGGGCTGGGATGTTGTCGCGCGCGCGGCTCGGGGCTCGCGAAATCGTCGCTCGCGAAATCAGTGGCAGCCGCAGCATCGTGGCAGGTGCAGCACTTTGGAGATGCCATTGCCGAAGTCGTGGCAGGCGCAGCATTCTGTGCATCTGAGTGTGTGTTTGCGTGGCAGGGCAGCATTTGGCAGCTGTCTAAAGGGCTGGGATGTTGTCGCGCGCGCGGCTCGGGGCTCGCGAAATCGTGGCAGGCGCAGCACTTTGGAGATGCCATTGCCGAAGTCGTGGCAGGCGCAGCATTCTGTGCATCTGAGTGTGTGTTTGCGTGGCAGGGGCAGCATTTGGCAGCTGTCTAAAGGGCTGGGATGTTGTCGCGCGCGCGGCTCGGGGCTCGCGAAATCGTGGCAGGCGCAGCGCGGCTCGGGGCTCGCGAAATCGTGGCAGGCGCAGCACTTTGGAGATGCCATTGCCGAAGTCGTGGCAGGCCGCAGCATTCTGTGCATCTGAGTGTGTGTTTGCGTGGCAGGGGCAGCATTTGGCAGCTGTCTAAAGGGCTGGGATGTTGTCGCGCGCGCGGCTCGGGGCTCGCGAAATCGTGGCAGGCGCAGCACTTTGGAGATGCCATTGCCGAAGTCGTGGCAGGCGCAGCATTCTGTGCATCTGAGTGTGTGTTTGTGGGCAGGGGCAGCATTTGGCAGCTGTCTAAAGGGCTGGGATGTTGTCGCGCGCGCGGCTCGGGGCTCGCGAAATCGTGGCAGGCGCAGCACTTTGGAGATGCCATTGCCGAAGTCGTGGCAGGCGCAGCATTTTGTGCATCTGAGTGTGTGTTTGCGTGGCAGGGGCAGCATTTGGCAGCTGTCTAAAGGGCTGGGATGTTGTCGCGCGCGCGGCTCGGGGCTCGCGAAGTCGTGGCAGGCGCAGTACTTTGGAGATGCCATTGCCGAAGTCGTGGCAGGCGCAGCATTCTGTGCATCTGAGTGTGTGTTTGCGTGGCAGGGGCAGCATTTGGCAGCTGTCTAAAGAGTCTAAAGGGCTGGGATGTTGTCGCGCGCGGCTCGGGGCGCGCGAAATCGTGACAGGCGCAGCACTTTGGAGATTTGGCAGCTGTCTAAATGGCAGCATTTGCAGCCGTGCCACAACACATCATCGAGCCGCACTTCAGGACACCCCAATCGAAAGATTCGGACGCGTGGATGATTTGGAAGTTGCTTGCATCTGCGGTCGCGGGAGCGACCTATATACGCTTGTAGAACCAGCTGCAATGCAAAGAAGCCCGCAGAAATGGGGTTCCGCTCTTGGAAGGCTTTCGTCTTGAAGTACTTAGCGCCTTACAGCGCAGGATGCATGGGGCCAGGCTGGCAGATACATGCTGCGCCTGACGCGTTGGCACTTCAAGCCATATGTTAAACATATGCCGCTGACATATGCCATTGGCGATGCCAATGCGACCCCTCGATCTGCCAGAGCGAAAAACAAAGTGCTGAGAGTTTTCGACATAGCTGACTGCGTGAAGGTTTTGCATGTGAGGGTCTTTGCATGTCTCGGATTTGGGATTATTCGCTGCTCGGCAGATGCAAGTGTCGCATACTTCAATAAGCATAGACTTGGGGTTATCCGGCCCTTTAATTCTTTCTGTTTTTGGCCTTTTTGGGCACAATTGGTGGTGATTGGTGGTTTGGATTTGGATTTGGATTTGGAACCCTAGAGAAAAGTGTATTGTGTGGGGGTGTGGTGTAGTACTGGTGGTGGTTTTGTGTCTTTATGGTTGCCTTCTAAGCCCAAAACCTGCTTTTTTCAGGGTTGAAACGAAAAAACCAGGTTTTTTCTCCGCAAGCATCTGAGCACGGCAAAATACGGGTAAAATTACGGCAAATTACGGGTAAATTACGCACATTACAGGTTATTTTTGGCAAAACCTGGTTGTTTTCGAGAAACCCAGTTTTTTCGGTTTGACCCTAAAAAAAGTAGGTTTTGGGCTTAGCAGGTGTTTGGCCTTAACTTTGGGTGGAAACAGCTCGGATGTTCTGAAATGGACCCACACAAGTTGTTTTTGTTCTTTTTTTTGCAGAGGGGTCAACAGCAACCAAGGTTGGTTGGCCCTTTGTTTGGTGGTTTTGTGTGTCGATCAGGCTCTCCTCAATTGGTGGGTTGCATTGGTGGTTTGGATTTGGACATGAACCCTAGTGTAAAGTGCAGTATGCGGGATTGTGGTGTGGTTTTTGGTGGTGGTTGTGTGGTTTTGTGTGTGGTGTGGTTCTGTGTGTTGATCCCTAAAGCCGCACTTGGGAGTTCAAAAGCGAACACACCTGTGCTTGGGACCCCTAAATGGGACTATGGGTGTGTTTATCTTTTTTTCAGGATACCCCCCTTTTTGGGTGAGTTGAAAGAGACACAAAAGGAACACCACGAGTTTGTTGGGTATCGACGGTTTACACATGACTAGGCCACGTGTCAGATCGACCAAGGACAGTTCCCAGTTCAGCCATCCTGACGTGCTCATCGGGTTGCTCGGACCCAGCGCCTGGCGCTTTGCAGAGAGCTTCCTCTCAGTTGTTCAGTGGCTCCAATTCTTTTCCCAACTTTTTTTTGGTGGCTGCCCCACTAAAATGGTCTTCTCAAGAATTGTTTCCCCTTTTTTGTTGGTGGCTGCTCACTAAAATGGTCCAAGCCCCAAAAAGGGTTCCCTGTTTTTTTCCAGGGTCACTGAACAACTGAGTCCTTGGAATTTCTGTGGATGGACGAAAGGTGCAGCTGGCAGGAAGTTGATTTTATGTATACAGAGGGGTTTCTTTGTCTCAACCGGCGCAGGATATCCCTTGAACAAAGGACAATGCAGTCCTAAAGACGTCCCTCATGGGTATCGCGAAGCGGTGTTGTTTCACAACCATGGCCGTAAGTATGTCTTCAAAACAAGCGACCCCTTTTTTGCTGGCAGGGAGGTTTGCGGTATGCGCATAGCTTTTATGTCTGGGTCCCAAAGGGGCAACTGAGTAAATAGGACTGGTGCCCTTTTGGTTTAATTTAGCTGGGTTTGGGTGGGGTCCCGGCCAACCTGCTGATTGCAACCAGGTCACTACACCAGTCAGTTTAGAACTAGGTCCCCCAGTGGTGCCCTGTTACCCTTTTTTTTGGGGGGGGAGGGTTCCCCTACTAAAATAGGCTACAGGAAAAATAAAACATCGGGTACCCTTATTCTAACCTCTCAAATCTGGAGGACCTAGAGAAGGTGCTGGTGATAATCGAGAGCATCCGAGTATCTCGTAGTTGTGGATATGAGGATTTTTGTAATTGCTTCTTTGGCGCATTTTGCCAAGGATGTTAGGACTTTTGCCAATTAATGGGTTTTCCGTATTAAACCACTAAAAGTTAAAAACTTTCAGCAGGGGAGCAGAAAGCAACCGAGTCTCGTAATTGTGGATATGAGGATTTGGTAATTGCTTCACTCTCCCTTTGACCATACCTGAGCCGCAGATGCTGACTATGGACCCGCAACTTATTGCTTTCCCTTTGGGGCAGCCCCAAAAGCCCAAAACGAGTTGGTCTTCAGCGAGCCCAAAACGGGTAGCTGAACACAGGGGTTTCTAAGATGGTTTCCACCACCAAGCCGAAGCTACCCCCAACAACACTTGGGGGTACTGTATATGCCCTTTGTGTAGTGGCTAGTGGCCAGCGTTGTGGGATCAAGAGGTTTATCCCCCACTTCTGTGATACAAGTTGGAAAATATCCGCCCTTTAGCGGGAAATGTCTTTGGGGGCGCCCTTTTGTTGTATCACAGTGGATTGCATTTCAACCACAGCCCTAGTGGCTGTTCCCACCTAGAATCTCCATGACCCTTGAAAAAATGGTTGCTCATTACCCGAAGTAATGGTTAGTCATGGACCTATTTTGCTTAAAGGGTCAGAAGGAGACTCCAGGTACCCAGAAATACACCATTACTTGTGACGGAGGCCTCAGGCATCGTCAGGTGAGAGCTTGTCCTGCATGCCCTGAAAGGTGAACATCTGCGCCATGGACAGATGAGCCTTTTTCCGAGCTCCTGAAAGTACTTGGAGTCTCCATGACCCTTTAAAAATGGCGTCATGACCCCTTTACTTTTGGGCAACAACCCCATCTTTAAAGGGTCATGGAGACTCTAGGTACACGCTTTTTGATACTTTTTTGGGAAGACTATGTTTGTGGCAAACACCGAAAGTGTGGTTACACCTTTCTTGTCCCCTTTTTTGTCCCCATTTTTCATTCGGGTCATGGAGACTCCAGGTAAGGTGTTACGAAGCCTAGGTCCCCCCAGCTAGGTGCCCCCTTTCTCACCCCTTTTTTGGTTGGGAGGGTTCCCCTACTAAAATAGACTACAGAAAACTAACCTCTCCACTGCAGGACCTAGAAGCCCTTGACGGGCCTCGGGTCGCTTCGAAGCCCGAGGCTCACCTGGCTGGCCTACCGCTTCGCCGGGCTGCGACCAGGCGGTCCGTCCGTCCGAATCGGACCGACCCCCGCGAATCAACGCGGGGAGGTTTCTTGTTTCGCGGGATACTGGTGGGCGTGGTGGGACCCACTTTGCTTGAAAAGAATATGTGTTTGTTTTGTGATTTTTATTGTTACTGTATTGTTTAATGATTTTGCATTGTTAGTTGTTGTTATTTTAGTGGGACTGTTAATGGGACTGTTTGCTTGCGGACACCTTTAGATTTACTATACCTGAAGTCTCCTTCCGATCAATAGACGAGAAATGGTTGGTCATTAGCCAAAACAACGGGGTCACGACCCCATTTTTCATTCGGTTCATGGAGTCTCCAGGTATGTGTTTTATTATTATTATTATTACTACTATTATGATTATTATTATTAATATTATCATTATTATTATTCTTTTTGCTATTGTTTTCTCCTGTCGGTCTTACAGGGAATCGATTTCACGACTGGAACATATGTTTCTTGCTGTTTGTCCCGGTTCTTCCATTTGCAGTCGACGCTCATGGATTCCAGGGAGGGTCCCCAGCCCTAGGGACAGCCTGATCGGGACGCCTTCTGTCAGGCATTCAACCAGCGCCTAGAGCCTGAGACACCAGGAGTCTCCTTCTGACCCGAATGAAAAATGGTTGGTCATTGAATAATGGGGTCCCCAAATGGAGGAGCCCATCAAACAACCTAGAGTCTCCTTCTTGGTTGGTCATGGACCGATTTTTCATTCGGGTCAGAAGGAGACTCCAGGCAGATTCATTGCTTCACGATCGATGAAGGGGCGATGGATGAAGACGCCAGGAAAGTGATCGTAAGCATGGTGAGGAGAACCCACTGAACGGAGACTTCTTTCACTCATGGCTTTTTGGGGGTTATTTCACCATGGGTACTAAGCACCTACTCAGTACTCTGCCCCTTCAAGTCTTGTTAAATCAAGATTGCTTTGTGCGTGGTTCTCCCAGAAAGTCGTCCAATGGAGGGTCTGGGTCTTCCATTGGAAGCCCCAGGAGTGTCTGGGAAAGGACAGTTTGTTGCTACCATTCCAACGCTTGTAAAGATTGCCCCCCGCTGCTGCCACCGAAAGACCGCCGACAGACCCACACTGAAAGCGCAGGCGACTTCCGTCGTGCCCTGCGAAGCCTCACTCGGAAGCGGCGGGAGGATGACCGCCACTTGGACCGAGGGGCGTTGTTTGTTGGGGGACCCCACAAAAGAAATTCTTGAGTTTTCCCCTGTTGGTTTCAAAGGGAATCGATCACTACCGGAAATATATGTTTATTTCTTCCAGGGGACTCAAGCAAATGGAGGCAAACATTGGTTGAAATGAATGGGGAATCAACCCCCCTAGGTCCTGCCAGCTGGGTGCCCCCTTTCTCACCCCTTTTTCTGTTGGGAGAGTTCCCCTACTGACATAGACTACAGAAAAAAAAAGGGTACCCTTCTTCTAACCTCTCTACTGGAGGACCTAGCTCCAGAAAAAGACAAAAAGCTGGGGGGTAATTCCCCTGAAAGAAGACACATACAAATATTTGCAAGTGTTCTTCTAACATCATTGACAAGGGGGGAGCCAATGTTTCTCCTTAACTGTACCTTTGATCCCCCACTAGTCACAAGCAGAACGGTTTGCCCCCTTTTCGGCATACCACCCATTCCTGGGTGTGAAACGATTCTCGGAGGGTTAAATTAATCGGTGATTTGAGCCATATGGTCAAGGGCTGCATTCTCCGAACTGTGGGCCCAGAGGCTGCTGAAGTAAGGGGTTACACCATGATTCTTCGCTCTTGAGGTGATTGGGTCTATCAGCACCTCACAAGCCCATTCTAATCCTTGATTCCCGCTTTCATTCAATTCCGGGAGGATTTGGCCGCAGCTCCAAATAGGCGATGTTCGCAGGCCATCACTTGTGCGTGAGCTAGACATGCGCCGGCCCTTTTAAGCGGCAATGTGTCATTGCACACATAAAATGGGTGTGGTGTGTCGAAATGGTGTCGACATGTTTCCCTTACTGGCAGTATCCAGCATTGAATGGTGTTCGGGCATAGTTTTCCTCACCCCTGCCTCCAGCACATGATGTGCTTCAAACAACATCCCAGCACTGAAGATTCCCCAAAGCCAAAGATGTCGACATCTGCAAATCTGGTAAGGCCAGCCTCCCTGTTCCTCGGCAAGACGGTCTGGATGCGTGTTCCTACTCCCTCAGTTCCCGGACCATATAGAGCTACTGTGGACGAAATCCTGCACCACCCAAGAAGCCCAAAGGAATGATTCGATTCCCTTGTAAATACCAACAAGCAATGGTTTCAACCATGGTTCCAACATGGTGCGAACGGATTTCGTCCACAGTATGCTGGGGGGGTGGCTTATTCAGCTCCCCCCCATGAGACAACCCAGAGACCTGAGCCACGTGCTCAAAACCGAAACCCGTGTAGATGAAGGTTAAGGGACAATCCCCATTCAATGGTTGTCTTTTGAATGTGCACTATTCCAGTCAAAAGTATGGATCTGCGCAGGAGCCATGCCACAAGCACGGTATGGACTCATGCGCTGACATTGGGTCAAAGCTGAGTCTAAATAGCTGCGGAGATCCGCCTTCTAGATTCTCGAAGCATGGTGGGATTACCGACCATTTTAGTACCAGGTTTTGAGCCAGTGACTCACCTCGCCCCCTCCGCCCGGGCAAATCCCTCCAGCCTCTCGGCCGAGCGAGCGGCGCTTCGGCGCTCGCTTGAGGCGCGGGGAAGCTGTGGGCCGCCTGGATCACCAAAGCGGGGGGCCACGTGCGCGGGGAGCTACTGGACACCAGCCAGGCGCCGAATCGAAGCTTCGGGGGAGCTCGGGGGAGCTCGGAACCGGCGAATCCTCCGGTTCGACTTGGGCGTTCGACTTGGCAGTCTCCTTCTGACCCTTAAAAATGGTTGGTCATTACCCAAAATCAAGGGGTTATAGGCTTATTGGTTTAAGGGTCATGGAGACTCCAGGTAGTTGTTTTTGGTTGAGGTTTAGTGGTCTCCAGCACCCGCACTGCGGTCACTTGGTCTGGATCATTTCAGTGACATGCAAAAAGTTTGGTTGCGCTTTTTTTTGGGGCCATCCACTCGGGATGAAACCAGGGCACAAGTCTGTCTCACTTGCATGTGACTCGACCGGATCTTGCCCTTTTGGTTTCCCCTTGGCAACCATATTTTGTGGCCCCAAAAGCATAGGTGTCCTTTTGATCGTTTAGTTTGCTCACAGCAATACATGGGCTCCACTGGTTTAGCTTGGTGTGTTTATCAGGGAACCCCAGCCATTTTTTGGCAGAAGGTCACCGATGCGCGACGGGCGATCACCTGGCGAAGATGTCATGGGATCTTTCCTGGACCTTTGTGGACTGATCGATTCCTTTGTCCCGAGATGACCCACAAAAGGCGGAAGAAGAAAAAGCGGAATCGGTGCTTGGGTCCATCCCTTTGGGGGCAAGCGAGATCCTGGCACGCCAAGTTGCTGGATGATTGTTGTTTCCGGGCGCTTCACCCAAGAAAGAGTCACAGTTGGCGGGAAAAACAAAGGCGATCGCAACTTGGCGCTGGATCTTTTGTTTGGGTCCAGCTTCTTGGGGCTGCCTTTTGAAAGGCATTTCGGCAGACAAAAGGTCCTTGCCAGCTCTCTGGGGGTCCATCCCTTTGGGGGCAAGTGAGCTGTTTGGTTCGGACCGCCCTTTAAGACGACTTTTCAACTTTGAGCCATTTGAACGTCGGCCGCGGTTCGCCAGGCCTCAGAGAACAAGTGCCTGGTGCTGGCGCGGGATCACACGGACGCCTGATCGCAGAGCTTAGACATGGCACGTGGCGTGTGGCGTATTTTCTTGGGGGAATCCAGGGGAGGCATATATAACTTGGTGCGAGAAGTAGGGAATGAGAAATGGAATGAACCGTGTTGGGTTTCCCGAAGCAAACAGGACACCACCAGTTGGATGGTTTAGTTCGGGATCATTCCATTTCTCTTTCCCTGAGTGCCAGCAAGATAAGTTAGCATCAAAGGATGTTCTTTTTTAAGGCCAACGAACCCGGAGCAAAAAGAAACAAACAACTCAGTTGTTCAAAGACGACCTGAAATCACCTTTTGGTTTTCCAATTTTGGTCTACTTTTAGTAGAGGTCCCAAAAGGTGTTCACCTTTTATTCCTGGGTCCTTTGGGCGACTGAGAAAAAACCACGCCTGGTTGACTCGGGGTGGATTCTTACTCACGTGACTCGGTGTCCATCTCAAGCTTGAGATGGACTCTATCTCCCCCCATTCATCCTTTGGGTCCCTCGAAAGGAGTCTGGGTGGGGGTGGGGGTGCATGTCAAGGTGGACAAAAACCCCTAGGGCTCAACCCCATTAAAAGAATGGTTCATCCAATTGAGAGGACAATAATCCTTAGGCAACACTGGTAGTTTTGTTTTTTGCCGCCATTGTTTTAATGGTTTGAACCGTACGAGAATCCAGCGCCAATTTTGTGTGTGTGGTTTGTCCTAGTATTCCTGGGCTTTCATCCCTCTCAGCTGATGCGGCTTTTTGCTCACTCCACAACAACTAGCGTTTCAATGCACCCATCATATTTTTGCTCGCGGTGCCGTGGTCTCCTGACAGCCAGCCTCCCTGAGATTGCTCTCCCATGTTTCTTGCGCATCGTGGGCATCGTGCGTTTCGAACTTCAGCGAATCTCGCAGAGTGTTTGATCATTGCCCGAAATTCATCATCCTTGGATGGACGGGAGAGGCACTCGTTTTGGCTGCAGGCCCTTCCAAGGAAACTTCTTCATTTGGCCATGGCGTAATATGCTCCCAACATGGAACCGTGGTGAATGGAAGCCTTCACGGGAAGCGGTGGTCCACCGAACAGAAATGAGCCACATGGGTGTGTTTGTTTGTTGAGGGTACCCCTTTTTGGCTGGTTTTGAAAGGAAACAAAGGGACACCCCCAACTTGACTGGTTTCCGAAAAGGCTTTCGCCCATTCGGCGTGGCTTTTTGTGGGACATCTTGAATGGATCTCTCAGGATCCGTCCTCGAAGCTGGTGCCACCGCTGGAATGGTTGGATAGCAGCGACACTGCGCAGATGACCATGGTGTGCCATGGCCCGGATCGGCAGAAACGAAACATGTTTTTTTAGTATAGTAGCAAGTTTCCAGTAGTTCCCTGTTCCCTCTTCGTTCATTGGGTTGTCTAACTGGGTCCTCCAGTAATGCCCTTTTTCCTTTTTTTGGGGCAGGGTTCCCCTACTAAAATTGACTACAGAAAAAAAGTACCCTTATCTAACCTCTCCACTGAAAGACCTAGGAAAGACGAAAGTGAAAAAATCCCGTGCAGTGGGTTTCAGATTCGGACATGAGGTCTGCCGTGCTTTTGTAGCGTTCGCTCACCAATCCGGGGGTATGACAAAGGTCATTTTGTCTGGCATGAGCGAAAGTGACAAAGAATTCCCTTGCCAGCACCGGTCCATTTGTACCTGATGTGCCTTGTACCTGTACCTTGAGGTGTCCTTTTCGCTTGGGCGAGGTACAACAACCCCAGTAGGTCACCTTACCCCCTTTGGGTTAGGGCAAGAAAAAAAAACACCTTGCCCAGACGCTCATGGACCCCTGGGAGGGTCCGACCTGAACGGCAATAAGTTAGCCCAGGGCCCTTAAAGAGCTGCATGAAGAAAGGCGTGCCTTTGGGTGAGCCAGCACCATCCAAGGGTGGGCCATGTGGGTTGGGACATGAGTTGTCTGCCTCTAGCCTTCGCTCGTTCGTTCGCTGAGCCGGGGGTCTATGATGTTTTTTTTTTTTTTTTTTTTTTTTTTTTTTTTTTTTTTTTTTTTTTTTTTTTTTTTTTTTTTTTTTTCGAATTATTGCCGCAATAGACCCTATTTGGGCAATATAAATTTGCGGCAATGGGGGGACGTTTCCAATCTGAAAAAAATATAGACCCCCCCCATAACATTTGCAGATGGGTGGAACATGAGATTGCGGCAATTGTTGGGTGTGTGTGTGTGTTTTCCGATTTGTTTTTGTGAGCAGGGGAGCCTTTTGTGGTGATGTACTGATCTTCCAATAATTTTACTGCGCACAGTTTAGGGTCTGCCTATTTTAGGGCGAACTCCCCGATCCGATCTCCCTCCATGAAGCTCTCTAATCCCGCAATGGGTAATCCCTGAAAAGGGGTTGGTGGACCTAAATCCCCAGGTAAATGATGTTGGTGTGATCCCAAAGGCCCTGAGACCTTTTGGAAACAAGGAAGTGGCTTTCCCACTAAACCTAGAAAGCGGAAAGTGATCAACCTCAGGGCTCCTTAAAAGATACATTTTGCAACCATTTAAAACATGGCTTCTTCCACCAAAATAAAGGGACACCACCATTTACGCGGCAATGTTCAGGTGTTTTTCATGTAAGGATCCCTGCTTTTGCTCAGGGAACAACAGCAGAGCCTGGGCTCCAGGAATCGATTCATGGGAGGAACAGCCAGCAGCTTTGGCCTTGGCTCAGGTTCGAAGTTCTCCAGACATCTCCCTTCCTGATGGCAGCTCGGCAAGTCGCCGCACAAAAGAGAAAACCTTCGGCGACCAAGATGTGGGTGCCCTAAACTGGGGGACTTCCATGTGCTGAAACGAATATTTGTGTGTTGTTTTTTTGTTGGTTTTCAGTAGTGAAACGATCTCACTACTGAACATCATCTTAGCTTTTCCAGGCGGCTTGAGCCGATGGAAGGGGACTAAAGTTGACTCCCTCCCCATCCGATCCATCCACCCGGATGGTACATTTTGTGGGTGAGAACAGTGATTGATTTGCAAGATTTCCGGGTTCATGACAGGGGGTATGAGGGAGAGAGGAGGGTCAGGGGCTGGGTCAATGGAGATTCCTGAATCTGAGTTTGAGGGAGAGAGGAGGGTCAGGGGCTGGGTCAGGAATAGGCCTAGCGGATGCAGCAATGCGTTTATTCAATAGCCTATCTCGCCTAACGTCGCTCTCCCTCTTGTCCACTGTCAGAAGGCATGTTGTGAGGAGCAAGCGTTCCAACCCAGAACGATGATGGCGGCCATGTTCTGCCTTTGCACCACTTCTTTTTGGGTCCGAAGGGGTCCAAGGGGGATCCAGGCAGCTGAAACCATGGTTTGAGTCCTGTCGCAAGGGAACCACAAGGAGTTTGTTGAAACTGTCGTGGTTTACGCATTGTTATAGACATATTTTCACTACTCAGATATTGTCCTTTTGGAGTGGTTTCAATGTGGGTCTGTCGTTGTTCAGTCTACCCATTTTTTAGTTGGTGCCAAAAGGAAGCCAAAAGAACAACGCCATTTTTTTTGTGTGTGGTTCCTTTATTTTGAGACAATCCCATATGGGACTGTTTTTTGGGGTTGGTTTAAAGGAGAACCACAAGGAACGCCGAAATGCGTGTTGGGAGGTGCGATTCCTAAAAAACACGCCCATACAGTCACTAAACTATAAATCAGTTTTCGAGGAGACCCCTAAATATGTACTTGCTTTACCCTTCAAAAAAACAGGCACAGGGTTCAGTTTAAGATCCTTATTTTGAGACAAGCCCACGGATTTGTGTTTCCCCCCGCTGATTTTTATTGGCATCGGTTGCAGCGGCGCCGGTTGAATTGCAGGTTTTCAGGGATACCCCCCTTTTTGGCGGTGGAGGATTCTTCTTCACGGATATCAGTCTTTTCAAAAAAATATCGCACAAGAGAGAACAGGACACCAAATAAAGTTAATTATTTCAGGCTTTCATGGATACCCTTTTTTTGGCAGGTTCCCTTTAATCAATTTCTGGATAAACACGGGAGACAAGGGGTACCCTTTAATGTTAGTGAGATGGATACTGCAGAAAACAAGGGCACCATTATTCTGACCTCTCTGCTGGAGGACCTGGAAGAAAGAGAGAACAAGACATCAAGTAAAGTCAATAATTTTCTGGATAAACATTAGAGCATTGGTAATTTGCTTATTCAGAACAACATAAAGAATGTCTTGTTGATTTTTCGGGGATAAACCACGTTGTTTCAAAAAGGGTTTGGCTACAGGAACATCAAAAGCACATGGCCCCAAAACACCCTAAGAAAGCCTTCCTGTAGAATTTCCGGTAACCCTTTGATCTCAGTTGTTCAGCGGCTCCCTTTTTCCCTTTCTTTTGGTGGCTGCCCCACTAAAATGGTCCAAGCCCAAAAAAGGGTTCCTTTTCTTCCAGGGTCACTGAACAACTGAGTTCTTCTCACCACGTGGCAACGCTGCGCTCAGGAGTTCTACCTCCACGAGCTCCTCCCGCAGCTGTTGCGCCACAGCGACGCCAAGCTCTCGGCCAACGGCCAAGACCTCGGCGGCGAGGCGCGCGGGACATTTTCCCCGATTCCGGGTCTGAAGCCATACTGATGGTTGCGAAATCCGTTTCGCACCACTTTAAACATATGGGAAACCATGGTTTGTTGGTATTTGCAGGGGAATCAAATCATTGCAGGGTTTCGCAACGGTGGTGCGTTGCATGGATTTTGTCCATCCACAGTAGGTGTCCTTTTTAGGTTAGTTTGCTTAGATAAGATGGGTTCCATGGGTTTAGATTGGTATTATCTCCTTTGGCAGGGCCATCTGTTTTTCCAAAAGGACACCTATGTCTGAAGCGGAGTCGGGTTGAAGATATTTGCTGGCGCTTTGCCTTGGGTCGAGACTCGTTTGGGTAGAAGCCGTTCGGTAGGAGAACGGTTGTAAAAAAGAGGGAAGACAGCCCTGACCAGCCAACTTGTTTGCAAATAGGTCCTCAAACGACCGCTTCGAGAACGGACCAAGAAAGATGCTTAAGACACCCCAACTTCTCCGCAACTCTTTTCCAAGAGGCGACTCCGCAAAAAGAAAAAAACGACGCCGGAAGCTCCCCATGTGGCAGCGCGGCTCTCAGCCGCCCAAAACCGCACCAGGCGCTGTGCTCCTCCCGCCTGGGCTTCTCCGGGACCCCGAACGACCTGCTTCCGCAGTCTCTGGGCCGGTGCAAATACGCGCCAGGACGGCGCAGGTCGCGGCGTCGCATCTGGCCTTGTTTTCTCAGACCAAAAAGACCCCGAAAGACCCGAAGAAAGCCTTCCTGGTAGAATTTCCTGTAAGTTTTGGATTCTCTCAGTGGTTCGGTGGCACCCTTGTTCTTTTTCCAACTTTTTTTGGGGTGGCCCCACTAAAAATGGTCCAAGCCCCAAAAAGGGTTCCCTTTTTCCAGGGTCACTGAACTGAGGTGGTTCAAACGTAAGGCATAGATGTCCGTGGGTTTTTGCAGGTGAGCGTGTGCCATGCACGTATTGGACTTGTAATATATTTGTTTTGTACATTGTATCCATATATATGTATATAGGTATGTACATAGATATAAGCGAGACGACCTGAGCCACTGGTTCCAACTAGCCAAACAAGAAACTCTACACCCAGCATGCGCGGAAGCCGATACTTTTTCCTATTGTTGGTCGAGTACCAGCCCCCAAACATGTGTCCCCTTTGTCTACCAGGGTCACCGGTTGGAACTGTTTTGTTTGGATCTTGTTTGGATTTCTGCCGACCAGAGAAATTCAATTCTTCCTGAAGAACCCGGAGGTGTGACGCCCTTTTGGTACTTCTTCACATTGCTTGGGGATTATGACTTGAAACATCCTGTTACTTTGGGGTAGAGATGTACATAGCATAGAAAACGAGGCGCTGTATGCACCGAATATGCTTATGATGGATATGCTGCACTAGTTCGTCTGAGCAGAATCAACGATCTCTTCAAACTCCGATAAATGAAGCAAGCGAAGACAAGGCAAGCGGACACAATTCTAACCAAGAAGGGCAGGGATGCCCGGATCGTCCAATGTGTGTGTGTGTGTGTGTTGTTCATTTTCAATTTCTGCTTTTCGCAGAATACAACTGTGCCTCTTTGTGAATACAAACGACGGGAAAGATGTACCAGAACCCTCATATGTCCCTTAAGAATGGGTCATAACAACCCCAAATGGTGGTTGGCAAATTCCAACTTGTTTGTGGTTAGTTCGAGGTACTACACCCAAAAAAAGTTGGAGTTCTTGCCGCATCATTTTGGGTTGCTACCCATTTTCAAGTTGGAATTTTACCAGGGTCCAGGTACTCCTTAACCCTAGTAAAAAGAGAAACCACATGAAACCACATCATGTCAGGGGTGGTACACCAACCCAGAAGGTCCCTTGGTACCTCATGAGGATGGTACCAAGGGCCTCTCTGGAGTAAGGGGTGCTATACAAGCACATGAACACTTAGCAGACATTTGTGCCTTTTCATGCCTTAAAGGCGAGAAACACAAAACATGTGCACCCCCTAGTTAAAAGAGAAAGCACATGGGTATGGATCAAGATTAAACCACCAGGGGACTGCAGATTTTAGTCCTTGTTTCCATTTACCAGGGCAAGCCATTTGGGGTACCTATTTTTGACCCACACCCACATGAAAACATCATGTAAGGGGTGGCACCAACGCAGAGGGTCTCTTGAAACCTCATGAGGATGGCTTAAAAGGGGGGTAAATCTTGGGGTCTAAGTGGTACCAAGGGTTGTTCTAGACCCTCTGAGAGATGCCAAGAGAACTTGCAGGAGACGATGCCAAGATGCTCAGCACCTTGAGCGATCCGCTGGTGGTGGAGGTCACCGATCTGGAGGATGGTTGGAGCGCCCGCCTCTGCGCGCTTGAGTGAGCGGGCGGTTCGAGCGGTTCGGCGGGTCGGCCGCTTTTTTTCGGGCGCTGCGAGCCCAGAGCATACCTCTTGACTGCTAGTGGGTTGGATCTTTAGACTTTAACTTTTTGGGTGAAATCAAGGGTTTTTCCACTAACCCCCCAAAAAAGTTCAACTTTTTGCAGGGGGTCAACAGCAACCAAGACCTGAGCCACTTGCTCAAAACTCGGTTAGAGGAAGGTTAGTGAGGGGCAGTCCCAGCCAGAAATAGTTGCGGACATCCGCCTTTGTAGTTCTTTACATGGTTCTGGGGATCGACCATTTTAATACCGGGTTTTGATTGTGACTCTTGTGGGTGTTTGGCCAACTTGGTATGTTGGTAACCTGGGCTATAACCCACTTATAGGTTCCGCTAAGTGGAGTTAACCCTGTCATTGGTGGGTCTAACCAGGTGGCTCTTCGCTTACGTTTCCGAACATCCAAGTAGGCGGCCTTTTTAGGAGAGCTTGGTTAAACATAGATTAGATGGGTCTCATTCCATTTGCTAGGGTGTCTTTTACTTTTCCAAAAGCACATCTATGGTCCAGGGTGTTTGCTTTTTGAGGATGCTCGTTTTGGGGTTGAGTTTCAAGGCAATACAAAGGGGAACTATCCATCGGTGGTTGCATCCGCGCCTTAAATGTGGAATTGGGGGAGAGGGGGCGACCCTTTTGGAATTGAGTTAAAAGGCAATAGTATGAAACAACAACAATCCATATGTGGGTGGACGAAATCCTGCACCACCCAAGCAATCCTGGAATGATTCGATTTCTGTGTAAATTGGTCCATCCACAGTATGAACAACACTCTATCCATATGTGGGTGTGTTGTTGTACGTGGTTGCCTTTTGGGGCTGAGTTAAAGGGAATATAAGGGAGACTACGCATGTTTGGGAGGGTGGTTGCCCATTTAGGCACACACACACACACGCGGATCAATATCCGCAACGGACATCGTCACTGTCATTCGAGGTTATCACCGTGGCGTTGATTTCACACGTGTCCTGTGGCTACTTGCTTTTCGTTGTCTGTTTTTGTCGTTTTTTCTCCGTTGCCTCTCAATACACGAGACAAGCAACGGTCAATATGAACCAAGGCTTCAAGGGCAACAAGCATACACAATCGGATGCCCCCAGCACACACCACCAAAAGCAAGAAGAAACGCCTTCTGGAAGCCACCAAAAGCAGAGACCAAAAGGATGATGTGCTTGGCGGAGTGGCCCAGGAGCAGTGGACTCTGCGGTATTTTTTTTTGCAGAAGCCTTTAGCCCTGGATCGAGAGCTGGGTGCACAACCGACAAAGACGTAGGTTTTTTTTGTTTGATGTGTCCCAACACAAGCCAATTGTGGATGGATATGTGTGGTCATGTTTGTGTAGGGTCCCACGACCTTAGTATTCAATTATGTGGGGGTCTTGGGGGGTGAAAGGCCATCATTTTAGGGTCCAAGGGGCTTCTAGTGTATTCAAACCCTGAATGCAAACGATCCAGGGGTGGCAGTACATACCCCTTGTTCATACCCCTTGGCTTCCCTGGTTTCTAACCCATTGTAAAAGGGGGAGTATATATATATATATATATTTGGGGGGAGAGGGGTATGAACATCAGGCCTCTCAGGGGTTCGTTTGTCGGGTATGCAAAAGGGGTATGTACCTTGGCTCTGTAAACGAAGACACTTGTTTTGGAGATCCGGCACACTGTTGGGTGGCTTCCGTTGAGCCTCACCTTCCTTTTGGCGCCTTGGTGAAGTGATATCCCCCCCCCCCCCCCGCAGTCTAGTCAGGAGTGACGTTTCATTGACTTAAACGAAAGTTAATTTGGGGAAGGCTGCTAAAGTCCATGATTGTCAAGCGCACGAGTGTTTGACATTTGACATGTTTGTTGAATGACGAAACGTGTTGTCCATGGTAAAATACCTCCGTGCGCAGTCAGGGCTTGATATCATACCCAAACAAAGTGGGTACATCTCCGCTTTGAAGCACACTCCCGGACTCCCCGCTTTTGATTGATTAAGGTAAGGCTTCCTGGCACATACCTCCGTTTTTAGTCAGGGCGGAACATCAAGTTCCAAAAGGTGGGACTTTGGAGCATGGCGGTTTCGTCCGCACCCCTGCCCCCCCATACCCAATACTTGAATCAGGCTGCCCGGAAATGGTAACGTTGTGTAGGTGTTGTAAAGGTATACGCGACAAAGTAAGATTTGTCTTTTGAGCTGAACCTTCAGTTGTTCGAGCCAGGGGGACTGTGGACGCTTGAAATGCCAGAATTGAGTACACCAACCGCGCTTGACCACAGCACCCTGGCGAATTGAAGTAAAGAAGGAGGTTTCTGGCCTCCCTCGCAATACTTGGGGAGGTGCTGCTACATGTTTTAAGCTTGTAATCCCGCCCACATCCATCCACATATGACATGGAACCTGACCGGTCCCTTGAAAGGAAAATTGGCTTCCAGCACCCCCCAAACGTCAGGTTCCATGTTAATTGGTGTGAGGGTATACTTGTTCGAGCAAAAGCGCTTGGCCTTTGGGTCAAACATCGCCAGGCCCAGAGTTTGCTGAAACTTGTGGCTTTGCACCGGCCACCCCTCAACGCGCTCATCGCCCCTTCGACGCATTTGAGGCATCGGCGTTCGATCAAAGTGCCGCGACCATTATTTGACTGTTTTTGGGGGTTTTCACAGTCAGTGAATGTGGTTGTTTCCCCACCACTTATGGGGTGACTTTGATCATGGTAAAGCCATGAGGCCAGAGATCCGTCGCTGCTAGCGTTCCAGCTACGCTTCGCTGCTTCTTGTCGGTTTTCCACGAAACTGGGGGCGCCAGGGTCTCAGATTTTGGTTTGGTACTGGGACAAGATATCTTTTCCAACAAGTGTGTTTTTGACCCCCTGGCCATTGCTGACACAGACCATACTTTACGAACATGGCGTGTCTCGACTAAGACATCTTCTTCCTTTCGTATCATTTCACAGCGTCCCAGCAGCAGAATCGAAGTCGGCCCTGTGATGAATAAACCTCAATTTAATTATAGGGGAGTGCTTTTTCCTGGGTTTAGTGGGGATTCATCACTTTCGGAGGGGAAGCCCCCAATATAAAGAAGCTCGGGTTGATTAACCTGGGGTCAACCTTATGGCAGTTGTTGTTGTTTGTTATGTATTTTTTGCGTACTTGAACACGGGTCTCCTTTGGTTACCTATGTGGCTGCGGCTCACGACTTGGGTATCCGCCCACACCCCCACCCTCCTCCCTAGCGGTTTGCAGAATAAGAACAACATCCACATGTGCCATCTTGTGGGCGCAAAAACATGAACCACACCCGGTGCAAGACGCATTGTATGAGACTTGAACAAGTGAGTCACAATCAAAACCCGAGTAGATGAAGGTTAGTAAGGGAGGATCCCAACCATAAACAGCTGCGGATATCCGCCTTCTTAATTCTTGAAGCATGGTTCTGGGTGAACCATTCTTGTACCGGGTTTTGACCATGACTCAAGCTGCCTCCGCCCGCTTCTCCCGCGCGCCCCAGGATGTGGGCGCACTCATCACCGGGCTCAGCAATCATCAGGCGCCGGACACGGACTCGCGCGGCGTGTGCAGCATTTGCTGATGTCCCTGAACCCTCAACATGCCCTTAAAAATGGGTGAATGCCCCCACAATCATCTGCTGAATCACGGGAACTGTATTTCCTGGGCGTTCGAAGAGACTTCCCTGAACCTTAGTGGAGTCTGGGGCTCACATTTTGACTAGGTCCCCAGTAGTGTCCTTTCTCACCCGTTTTTTGGTTGGGAGGGTTCAATTCCCTACTAAAATAGACAAAACTGAAAAAGTTGGTACCCTTACTCTAACCTCTCTACTGGAGGGCCTAGTCAACATTCCCTTAAGAATGGGTGATCGCCCCACAATTATGTTTGGTAGCTCCATGTTCCGTTGGACCTGGTCCTGGGCGCTTGGTCTTTGTGCCGTTGTTTTGTTTGAGTCAATGAGACTTGAGCGCCTCCAACAGGACAGTTGCACGATATCCCATGGCTATTCAGATGATCCGGAGCTGAAATGAGTGGCAAGCAGAAGCCAGACGTGAAGTTGCGGGCTTTATGTTGGCTTTTGAGAAGAGGCTGAGAACGCTGAGAACTGCATTCGCTTTCCCCGCAAGCGTTCTTTTGCCCTGCCATTGAGGAGGCTGGTCGTCGCAAAGAAACTCCCAACATCGTGTAAAGTTGCGCTGCTGTCGCAAAGTGCGTACGCTTATAACGTATGACAGGAAGACATTAGACAAGTAGAAGCTGTTATGTTTTTTCAGGGGCCTGAAGCAAATGGCAGCTATACCTACAAAAGTAGTATTCCCGGATTTGGGACTTTGGAAACAATTCTTGACTCTTAGGGATACCTTTATGGTAGGTAATTCACCCCGTTTTTTCTTGGGACTCTCACCCATTTTTTAAGGGTCTGTTGAGGATCCAGTCCTTGCCAGGTGGCCACGACGTTGCTGGACTATGGCCTTCCCTTCGAGGCGAATCCGGTAACGCGACGCTTCGAAGCGATCGGGTCGATGCTTCGATGGGAAGAATCGCCAAATGACTTACCCTAAATCTTGGGGTCATGACCCCATTTTTTTAAGTCTCGGGAGAGACTTTTTGGAAGCAACTGGCTCTTCCAACCTACTTAGATGGTTTGGGAGGAATCGCACAATTTTGCTGTAGCTTTGCCCTGGTTGCATCCCACCAAAGCAATGGTCGTAAGTCCAACCTGTCAGGTTTACTAGCCATTTAGCGATTCGTCCCAAACCATCTAAGTGGGTCGTTGCGAAGTCCAAGTCGCACCGGTCAGAATCCGCGAAGGTGATTCCCTTCTAGGTCCCAACCAGCTTGGTGCCCTTTCTCTACCGCTTTTTTGGTTGGGAGGGTTCAATTCCCTACTAAAATAGACACAACTGAAAAAGTTGGTACCCTGATTCCAACCTCTCTAATGGAGGACCTAGGCCTTTTTAATCCCTGAGTGAAAAAAAACAGCGCGGCACAAGTCGGGCGCAGAAACGCTGTAAAGCGATAGGGCCTTCACAAAAGCGATAACCCAGAGTGGTGCAGGATTTGTCCGTCCACGGTAGCACCTTGGGCCTGCTTTTGGATGGCAAGTGAAACCAAGGTCTGACATCCTCACGTGTTCCGGTGATTCTGTTGACGACCACTGTTCCACAGCTTGCCTCGGCTTCGATGTTTGTGTTTTTTTGTGTTGGGCAGACGTGCCTGTTTAAGCCACCCCATGTGCTGAACTCGTTCTCATAGCCTGAGGTCAAAATTGGTTCGAGGCATGTGTCAAGCACACTTAAAGGGGCGATCGGGTACTTAGTAAGTGGTTAGTAGGCCTGGTTGTTACCCACTTAGGAGACTTGTAACCCTGGTAATTGGGTTATACCCATCGTTACACGTAACTAAACACTTACTAAGTACCCGATCTCCCCTTCAAGCATTGGATGCCATTTTGACTTGACAAGGAGGGCACCAAGGCGCTGAGTTGTTTGCAGCACTTTTTTCCCGTGCCAACGCCTGCTTCCTGTTGGGTGGCGGCGGAGGCTGCGTTCTTTCTTCCATTTCCTTAAGAATATTTGTTATTTTCCCTTGTTGGTTTTACAAGGAACTCATCTCTACTTTTTTTTAAATAACAGGGGTCTTAAGCAAATGCAAGCTTTTGACCGCATTTTCAAATTGGCATGCTCCGCTGAACAGTACTCATGCAAGCGAGCAGAGCCAAGTGCTGCAAGGCTCGGTACAAGTACTTGTAATGGCAACCTTTTAACCAAGCAACAATGCAAACTTGATGGATGGAAATAAGTAAACTTGAATGATGAGGAAGGAAGGAATGGAGGAAGGAAGGATGCAAACTTGAATGAGTAAAGGATGGATGGAAATAAGGGAGGAAGGGGAATGGAGGCAGAAAGGCAGGAAGGCAGGAAGGAACACCAGGAGGCAATCAGCAAGCAAGGCGCATGCGATAACACACATTTGCATCGTGTTTCCTTTTGGTTCCCTTACAATCCAACCCAAAAAAGGCGACCGGCTCCAACTACCCACATCATGTGGAGTGGTTTTCTGTTTAACAAAGTTTCCAGTTTTTTTGGAGGGTACCCTTTTGGTGTAGCTCTTGGAAACCAAGAGGATACCACCACCCAAGCCTTGTGTTGTTTGTTGCCCATGAGGCAACTGGCTGGTTGGGAAGGGAATGATCCCCCGCATGTATCCCAACAACCCTCTGATTCCTTGCTGACAAGAAAAGCAAACCCACATACATCTAATTTCCCTGAGTTGCTGTGTTTTGGATTGGGTTGATTTGAAGCCTTGGTTCTTATGGCTACCCCCAGAACACCACCTCCAGGCTTTCAACCCAACTACTTCCTGCACGGTTGTCGGCATGTTTTTCGTTGTTTCTGTGTGTTGTTGTTGGTTCTCTTCATTTTTGTTTGTGGTTTTTGTTGTGTGGTTGTTTTTTGGTTGGTTTTTGTTGGTGTTCAATTCAAGCAAGGGGAAGCTCTGAACACGCTCAATCCCTCCCTCGCAGCGCCCAGCGCCTCCGGCCGTCAGGCGGTGGTGTATTTGGATCGCGGGGGCTCCGCACAGCTCGTGCGCCGGGGCCTGCCGCCGGCACCTCGGCAGAGCAGAGCTCGAAGCTCGAAGTGGCGCTGGCTAGGTCCAGCAATTGGTGGCCTTTTTCACCGTTTCGTTTTTTGGTTGGGTTTGGGTTCCCCCACTAAAACAGTTGGACTAAAAAGACTAAACCTACTACTAAAAAGTTGGTTGGGTTCCCCCACCAAAAAAGACAGAAGTGAAAAAAAGGTTGGTAGCCTTATTTCTAACCTCACTACTGGAGGATCTAGCTGGATTTGCCTTGATGCATCCCTGTATCCTCAAAATTCCTTACGATGATGGGTTTTGGTCCCCAAAAAGTATGGGGTGACGTCCTTTTTTATTTTGGTAGTCGGAGGGACCAGGTCCTTGTGTCTTTTAGATACCAAACAACTCCTACTTCGATGGAACCTAACGGGAAGCCTTTGGAAGACCATGTTTCTCTGAAAGGGACCCTTTGGCTGGGCTGTTCAAAAGCAATCCGCAAGATCCTTACCTTGGGTTACGCAAGGAGTTGGTCTGCTTGTAGCTTTCCAACACAGATTATGGTTTAAAATGGATTGGCCAACACTCCACTTTGATCAGCTCAGCAAGAGCATAGGTGTCCTTCTGATCAGCCAAGTTTGGTTAAACATAGATGGGTTCCACTGGGTGTTAATGGGGTTTATGCCATCCATTTACGAGGAAAACCCATCGCTGTTTGCCAAAGGCCACCTATGTTCAAGAGGCTGTGTCCTGTTTGGAGGTGGTACCCCCCTTTGTGGTGTCAAATGGAAATCAAGAGGGAAAACCGCCAATTTTGGAACCATGCCGGGTAATATGTTTGCTGGTGGAGTTGAGGACGCCCTGTGACGGTTTGTGGCATAGCGGAATGTGGCCAAATTCATTCAACACCTTGAGATTAGGGAGTATCCGGTTCATGCAAGGCAAGCCCGAAATCGGGGCTCTCTCATGCAACATTTGGCCAGAGGGGAAATTTGGACATATGCGGCACTTGTGAAAGATATGGCACACATCCCGGGCACGTAGCAGAGGTCTGAATCATGGTGGCGGTTTTTCACCCTGATGGGAAATCCTTTGGACTCTGCAGGTGCTGCTGTCCAACTGCACGCTGCCCCCGGCCCGGCGATTTGCAGCTTGGAATTCGATTCGGAAGTTGATCGAAACTTGGCGAAGATCCAAACTACCTGGATTCTCCATGACCCTTTGAAAATAGGTCCATGACCCCACTATTTAGGGTAATGACCCTATTTTTAAGGGGTCATGGAGACTCTAGGTAGACCTGTTCGCCCCGGGACTCCCATTGATCAACCAGGGAGTTTGTCAATCCGTCCCACTGAACCAGCAAGAAGTATCACGTTCAACCGGGTTGACGCCAGAAGGTCGGGACGTGCACATGTTTGCCCCACTCTTCGCCCGCGCTTTCCGAAAAAAGCCGCAAGATATGGTCAGGGAAGCTTTCTTTCGACAATCAAAGGCTGAGACGTCGGTTTTATGAACCGCTAGGTATGAACCCCTAGTTTCCGGGTGAATTATCCGTTAGTTTTGGCTTAACGGTGGGAAACCAGCCCCAAACATTCCAACATGGCCATGAATATGGACCTATACAAGCAGCGTTTGTGGGAAACCGCTGCTACTTGTATCTGTCAAAGTGCGGCAGCGTTCTTTTTTCTGGTTGTCCTTGAACAAGAAGGTTTCATGCAGTTGTTTGTTCGCAGACTTGCCTTGTGAGTTGCAAGCGGAAGTTGGATCGCTCTACCCTTCCGACAATCACAGAAAGCTGACAGCACCAATTCGGAGAACTGGCTCAACTCCATATGATCTGCGGAGGATCATGGCCAGCGGAAAGTGGATCTTGCTTGAAATCCACAACCCTCGCCCCCGAACCCCGCCACAAAATGCGAGGGTTCTGTGCTGAACTCTGGCAATTCACCGTGTTTTCCTCCTGGAAACCCACCAAACAAGCTCAAAAGAGCTGGGTTTCCTGGACACTGCCTAGCAACCACGTGCTTCTTCTGGAATCCCCGGTGAACAAAACCGGGCTTCCCATGGCCGCTCGGATCCCGTTTGTCCCCATGAGGTGTTCTACGACCCAAAGAAAAGGAGAAAGACGAGGGTTCGCTCCCCCCCAAACAAAAATAATAGGCAGAGAAAGACAAGCACCCCCCACGGCAAAAGAAAAGAAAACAGACGAAAAAGAAAGCAAGCAAAAGACCCCCCCAAAAAAAAGAGTAAATCAAATAACAAAAACAACTGGAACAAGAAAATAACACAACAACAACAAAAAAGACGAGGCAACACCCCCCCCCCCCAAAAAAAAAAAGAGACGAGGGTTCTGGTACCGCACTCCGCCAGTCTCACCGAGGTCTTCTACGACCAGGTCCACACCACGGGCATCGACATCCGGCACTGCGCCCAGGCGCAGGCCGCGCTCACCTTGGGCAAGGCCCGGCGCTCGCTCGGCTCGGCTCGGCTCGGCTCAGCTCGGCTGGGGCTCTCTGGGGCTGGGGTCCAGACTTCGGGGCCCGAATTCCCCCCAGTTGTTGCTTCCAGTGGTCGAAGCATAAGTTTTTTCCCCTGGTGGTTTGGAGGAGAACATCTATCGCTACATGTTTTTTGTTTTTAGTAGCTGTTGGTTTGGAGGGGGAATCTATCTCTAAGTCTGTTGTTTTCCCTGTGGACTCAAGGAAATCGTGGTTTTCGTCCAGGTCTCCACCCGAAAACCTCGCAGAGTTTTCGTGGCAAGTTCTGTTCAAAAATCACCCCAGCAAAAGGGACACACTGTAAATTGGTTTCAAATGTGATGCAAGCAAAGCCGGCCGGGAAATGAGTGGGACATGTGCAGTCTATTTTGCAAACTTCCTGTACAATGTCCTGCAGCAACTTGTTTTTGTTGTTTTTGGTTGGCATTAGGCAAGTTTCCTGTAGAAATTCCAGAAAGAACTAAGACTGAGGTCGTTGGGAACGAACCGTTTGGGGATTCTCTTATAAAGGAATCCAAATCGGCCCTGCCTTTCTCGAGCCAGCAAGACACCAGGGCTGACATATACACCATCGCTAATTTGGTTTCCTTCAAAGTATAATCCGCAGGTTCATTCCCTGGTGTGATGGCTTTCGGGGATTGGTCTCGGCGAGACTCGAAGCGACTCGCAGGACAGCACCTTCCGGGACTTTGCACAGGGCGCCTATCGCCTGCGGGGCATCGGCAAGGGCCAAGGTCTGAAGGCGCCGACTGGGAGGGGATGGGGGCTGGTGGGGAGGGGGAGGGAGCCCTTTGTAAGCCCTATAGGCCTTATTGACTTGGTGGCTCCCAGCCATCCGGCTCCTTAGCCTTTTAGCCTTTTAGCCTTTTAGTGTTTAGTGGGAGTTTCCGAATTCAACCCACTAAAAGTGAAGCTTTTAGCGGGGGATCTGAGGGCAGCCCAGTTAAGGGATGTTAAGGGCTTAATAAGGGCTGATTTGGGCTCCCCTCCCCCTCCCCTCCCTCCTCCCCAGCCCCCATGAAAATAGGCTACGCACCCCGCGGGTGGATGGGCCAGGAGTGAGGAGTGAGGCTCAGTTTACGAAACAACAGCCTCCTTGACAGAACTCCCAGGCATTCGATTAGCTCATTTCGAGCACTTCCAGTTGTGTGTGTTCAGACAATTTGTGTTTTGGAGATTCATACCCTATATATATATATACATATGGACACATACATGCACCGCCCCCTTCCAAGACCCGCACCTGCTGCTTATGTAAGGGAAGTCTGGTCATTTTTCAGATGAATGTTACCAGAAGTAGGCTCATTTTACAATGTTGGCAGACTTGCTTTGCCACCAGTCTAAATAGTGTTTGCTTCTACTTCCGGAAAATGTGTGTGGCATGCCTCGTTTTGATCAGAGGAAGCCCCTTACTAAAAGGGGTTTACAACTGAGGGCGGTCCTCCGGATTAGTTGTTCGAAGTTGACATTTGGGGTGATGTTGTAAGCTTCCATTTGCTTAAACATGTTCTTTTTAATATTCCCTTGCTGGTTTCAATGGGAATCTATCACTACTGGACACGTTTTGGTGTGTGTTTGTCCAGGGTGCTTAAGCAAATGGACGTAGGGGTTCCGGACACCAGCGTCATGTTTAACTTCTTGTGGACTCGCCTGGGGCTCAGGCAATCTCGCCACGTGTGTGAGTGATAGTAATTCGCCCAGATACATGGGTTTGGCGGCCACAGATTCTAGGCCAGCTTTTACTGTAGATGTCCTAATAGGTCCTGTAGTCCCCTTTTACCCTTTTTTGGGGGAGGGTTCCCCTACTAAAATAGACAACACTGAAAAAGGGTACCCTTATTCTAACCTCTCCACTGGAGGACCTAGTCTACATACTGAATGGGTTGAGATTACCCGTCATCTTTCGACGGCGCGCCAGGTACTACTCACGCCTGAAGTCTCCGCGCGGGTGAACGAAGAAGTCATTATCCCTGCCATGAATGCAGGCGCCGTTTTGTCCGAATTTCATTTCTGCCTTCTTTTGCTTCAGAACTCTTCTGTTTTGGGCTATCGGACATTCAAGCAGGGGATGCGAGGAACGCTGGGCATGTCCTAGAAAAGATTGGGTGTGTCTTTTTGTTGAGGGTACCCTTGTTGGGGTGGTTTTAAGGGGAGACCAAAGGAAAACCGAAGCCGATCTTTGTGTTCAGCGGGGCAAATGAGGGGTAGAACCCGTGCAGGCGGGTCTGATTTGTTTGGGTGGGGGTACCCCTTTTGTTGATGGTTTCGAAGGGCAAGCAAAAGGACAACAGCCATGTCCAAATCCTAAGAAAAGACGAGAACACTGGTATTGCGAAGGCCTCGAAGCGATTGAGGTGTCAATCTGTGAGCTGGGCAGACAGGGACACCCAAGAGCCCTTTGTTGGGAAGGGCTCCCTGCTAAAATAGACTGCAGAAAAAAGGGTACCCTTATTCTAACCTCTCTACTGCAGGACCTAGTCACCAAGTCAGGTTTATTAGAATGGCCCTTCACCTCACCGAACATCCCGGACTCCCAATGGGACGATTTTTTCTGCCGAAATGACCAGTAAGGCTCAAAGAAGGAATCGGTCCGTTGGGCGTCCAGGTATATTGCTGGGTCCCCAGCACAGACTGTTCAGGTGTCGGTGATCTGGTTTGCCCCAGCTGTGCCATTTGGGTGAGTCTTTTTAGGTTGAACCCTTCCCAAAATGGTGATTTTCCTTTTGGACTCCCCTTTAAAACCCCATCAAAAGGGGTCCCCCAAAAAAGACACACTCATTTGTTTCAGCCACACCCAGTGTTTTTTTTCTTCACTGGGAAGTCAACCAATTTTCCGGATTTCGGCAAATGCCCGGATGTCGACTTTTCTACCTGGACCCCAAAGGACCGGTCCCTTTCTTCTGCCTTGTGCCTCGAAAATTGTGGGTCCAAGGGTCCATGGCGTCCAGGTAGAGGGTTGCTTGGTGCGTGCGTCACTGGCTAGTGACACAGCAGGGATCTGGATGTTCTACCGCGGATTAGGGAATAGCCCGCTACCATAGACAGATGGCCGGTTTGGGGTGGTTTGGATTGGCGTTCCCGGGTAGCCATAGGAACCAAGGCTTCAAAGCCCCAATCCCGACAGCAGCCAACCGGCTTATCCTCACATCCCCTGCCCGAAAAAAAAGCACCGGACGCTACACCTTCGGTTTACCCTCCCACCCTTTTCACATGGAACCAGACGTTCGGGTGTCCTGGAAGACCACTCCTACTCAAACAAACCGCTTTTTTCGTGGCATTTTTGTCGAAAACCTGGTTTTCCCTGAAAAATACATCCTTTTTCAGTAGAGGGTGGACATGATACCCTGACAAAAGAGGGTATTTGGAGCAGGGGGCAGTTTCCTTTTAAAGTTGAACCAGGTTCCGTGTGCAAAGGGTGGGAGGGTACTGATTGGGACGCATTCGCAGGCGGCGTGCGCCGAGCGGCGTCGCATAGCGGCGCCACAGGCAAGCGGGGCGGAGGTTCGTGTTTGAAACGCCCAAAAAGAAGCGTGGGGTCTCAAAAACTCACGGAAATGTGTCCAAACCCAGACATGAGACTCACTCATTTTTCACGGAAATGTATCATTGGGATTTTTCTAGAGGTTGATTCCTTGCCCATTCTTTTCAACCATCGTGCTTTTCAAAAACCGGCTGTTTCCCCCATGTTTTTGTTTTTTTCTTTCTGAAAAGGAGGTTGCCTGGAAAGAATGGGGAAGGTGCCCCTGGAAAAACCTGTTTCTGGACCCTCAAATTTCCCTCCAATTTGGGTTGCCGCAATGAGGTGAATTCCCCGTGTTATGGGTAGTTTGAAGAATCGGGTTTTTTAGTTTCAGGGCGGACTGTATGGGTGTGCCCTTTTTGGGGGACCCCTCTAAAATTTGCTGGCTGTCCTTTTCCCTTCAAGCCCACCAGCAAAAAGGGTAGCCTGAAAAAGAAGGCACCTAGTATGAACATGTTTGAATCTTTGAATAGGTTTGAGGTTTTAAGCATGTTTAAAACCATGACGCTCATCTTGAAACCAGGTTTAAAACCATACGTTTGGATATTTTACACCTCGTCTTTGAATCTTAAAGCCATACTTTTCGGGTACGGAGTTGGGCCAAGTGTTGGCCTGGAGTATCTGACTGAAGCTCGCCTATGGTGAATTTGCCCTTCTGCGTCTCTTGCCCTGCCAATTAATAAGTTTCATAAGTGTTGGCAAAACCAAACTATGAAGAGGGGACGGGATTTAATGATAGGGGGAAGCATTGTTCAGGTTGGTGAATTCGCGAATCGTAATAATTTGAGTCATTTGAACTCTCTTCCTGATTTCAGGGAGGTTTGCCATATTATAGAGGGACACCAGGAAAAGTGTGTATACGTGTGTGTGTGTGTGCGTTTTGCAAATCCAATTAGGAAGGGGTGTGTGTGTCCGATTTGTTTTGGGATGGCCGTAGGATGTTGGGAGCCAAGGAGGAGCTGGGAGTTTGCAGACTCTGGACGCTGTGTGTTACTTTGAAATCGGGTCCTTGGGTTGTTTACTTGTGACCTCGCACTTTCCAGCGGAGACTTTGATGGCAAAGCAGTTTGAGCCACGAGGGAGTCGCACGTGTTTGTCGACCCCCCCAAAAAGAAGGTTTGTGGTTGGAGTTTGCGCTCGTTTTCGTCCCATGTGGTTTTGCAGGGAACCAAGGAGCTTGAACCCAGCACAGTGGAGATCACTCGGCGTTTATCCAACCACTTTTGTGATACAAGTTAGAATCTCCCCCTTTAATATGGCCGGTTAGTCTTTGAGAGGCCCTTTCTGTGGTATCACAGAAGACAGAAGTGGACTCCATTTCCCACAGCCCTGACCAAGCAGCTTAAGTTGTATCGTCTTTGAAAACTGAAGAGGTTGGGTTGTTGTTCGTATAAGTATCCTTTAAGAGGATGGTTGCAAAGGAAATTATGACTTTCGGTGCTTCCTCTTCGTTTGGGGTGGTTGTAAGAGACAACCAAGGAGGGTTTGACGCATCCTGCCTTTTGAGCTGGTCAAAGGACCGAAGCTTTCCTCGGAGCTGCGGCTAAAGTGAGAAGCCCAACACTCAAACATTCCAGCCTCGCAGGTGTCCACCCTGACAGAGCCTTTGCCTTTACTTGCTTGACTGCTATTGGGTTGGATCTTTAGACGTTATTTTTTTGGATAATCAAGGGGTTCTTCACTAAACGCCCAAAAAGTTACTCACTTTTTGCAGGGGGGTCAACAGCAACCAAGCTTGGGCGGACAAAATTGCAGCTCCATGTTTCCGTTGGAAGGGTTGACCAACTTCAGCAATGCAGATTAGGGTGGGACATATAGTGACTTCTGTTCTATGGGCAGTTCTTTCGGCACCTCGTGCACTGGTTCTTGGAACGCATGCCGCATACTGGTTTATTCATTTGAGGTGGCGTTGTTTCAGCGAGCCTTGTCCTCTCGTTGTTGATGGGTCCGGACCCCCCGTGCTGGCCGATCCTTTGTTTCTGCGCCTTCGGCTGAATTGCCGAGGCATCCTATCATAGCTAGTATTTAGGCCAATGCACAGTTTTCGTGGGGGTGCCCCGTTGGGAGTATGTTCCCGAATGAATCAACCTGGCGCATCATTCGGAGGCATCTCCTCCAAAGGTAAAGGATGCCCCCCTATCAATGAAGCAGGAGTAGTATTAATTGTGGGTGAACATTCTGCTTGGCCCCACATTAATCACTCCCAGTTGAGCAATAAGGGGGGTGTTTACCTAACGTGATGATTCCCAGGGACCCCCCCTGTGAATAAACTGGGCTGATTTATATGCACGACTTGCGTGTTCCCTTGGCCCTGGAGAAGCTTCAGCCCAAAGTTTGAAGCCTTGTCCGCTGGCCCAATTTTTAGCCCACACCAAAAAGAAGCAGAAGCAAGTCACTACTTTGGTGCATTTTGCCAAGGGATGTTAGGACTGAACAACTTTTTTCCAACTAGTGGGTTTTCCGAATTAAACCACTAAAAGTTAGTCACTTTTAGCAGGGGGGGCAGAAAGCAACCAAGACTACATGTTTTATAGTTATGTCCTTGATTCCAGTTTGGTTCACACTGGGATAATTTCTGTGCTTGGTTCTCTTCCATGCCACTACTGTCGATGGTTGCGAAATCCATGTCCCACCATCAAAAAACAGCAACCCAACGGTGTCTGATTCGATTCCCCGACGTAAATACCAACAAGCGTTCTGGTGTCAAGCATGGTTCCATTATTTTTTTACCGTGGTGCGGTCGATCGGGTTGCGGGCGAAACCATCCTCAGCATTGCCAGCCATTTGTTGACCCCAACGGCCGGGTTTCAAGCTTGGACAGGCCATGCAGAGCTCGCGTTGCCGTCCTCACCTAGAAGAGGCACGTCCGGCGGCGGTTGGGGCGCTAAAAACGTCTCGGCTGGACCATGCCAGAAGAAGCAGGTGCCCTACAGGGCGTAGCGGCGTGCTGATTTTTCGTGAAGGGTCTCCTGAGTGAATTTCAGAGAAAGACGTAACAACAACGACAAAAAACACATTGGATTTTAGAGAAAGACATACAAACAACAGCACATCCTTTGAGGCTTCGCCTATTTGAAGAGGATCCCTTCCTTTCGATCAGTGAAGTCAGAGTCAGCTGCTCACACCCGCTGCTGGATGGCTGCTTCGAAGGATCTGCTCAAGACTCACAGCCTGAGAACTTTTTTTGGCCAGAGGCTTGTGCCAAGCACTCGTCGGACAGGCCAGGCTTCAAGTGGGTATGGGTCAAAATAAAACCACCAGGAATTGGACCGCAGGATTTAGTCTTTGGTTCCATTTACCAGGGTTCCATTTTGGGTGCGAATGTTTGTCAGCCATGTTTCCAAGGCGAAGTTGCACGTGTCCAAGCCATGCTAGGCCCTTGATTCTCGGGAGCGCAGACTTGCAGGAGTTACTTGTGGATTCTCTGCGTACTCGCTGGAGCCTCATGCAAAATGGTGACTTGTTCTTTTGGTACCCTCTAAAGAGGCAGCGCACGCAAAATGAGACCGTGGTCAAAGGGAGCCCCTCTTGGGACCCATCCGCAGGTCGCACGTTTGTTCCGCGCCCAGGGATTGAGTTGGAATTGCCCCCACAAACCATCCTCAATGGGTTTCCTTTAAGGGGGATCCGCTTCTGGCTCATTCCCAAGACAGGAAGGGGTAGCTTCCCTACCTCTCGCGGGGAAACTTTCCTACCTCTCGCACCCAGCCAAGCGGGCGGTTTCCGCCTTCCAGACACTCGCCAGGCTCTGCAGAGAGCGGCATTGGCCAGGCATGGGATGCCCAGAAACCCCAGAACCCTATGGGGCCCATCGTCCAAACGGGGGTTGATCAAAAGGTGCTTTACATGAGATGACCGCTGGGGAAACAAGCCACCAAAGATATGATATGCCCCACCAAAATGGGAACAGAAACGCCATGGTCAAAACTGGGGGCCGAACGACATATTGATCAACTGTGTGGAACTCGATGGGACGAGAAGGAGAAAATGTCCCACATCCGATCCCCACAACCCAGAAATTTGTGTGTGGCATGCGTTGTGTGAGTTTGCCATCCACCAAGAGAACCGATCAAACAACAACCTAGGGTCTCCTTACTTGTGAAAAATGGTTGGTCATCTAACGTGGGACAAATGGTTGGTTCCTTGCCATCTACGAGCGTCCCCCATTGTCTTTTCATTTTGAGGCTTTGGGTTTCCTGACTTGAGACTTCGGAAGCGGCGATTTTTATTGGAAGAAGCATCGATCTTCGGAAGGCGAAGGCGAAGGCTTGTCAGGCCATGTTGTTCCAATACATGTCTAGATTGTGATAGATATAGTTGTAACAAATCATTGGCTGGACATGATGGAATGGATAAACCAAAGACATGTCTTGTCCATCCATAACGCATGCAACTGGACTGTCTGTTGTTTTAATGGACAAACACATGTCTGTCATGTCTGGTTTTACATAAGGTTTTACAGGTCATTATGATAGATAACGTCGTTGGAATAGCAACACCGGCCATCTTCTGCCTGTTCCTCGCCGTGGTTTGCGACTCCTATGCTATCCGGGTTGAGTCAGTGCGTTCCAGAATCGGTGCATCCCACTGGAACTGATCGCCGATGGGCTAACATGACACCCTCCCACCAAGTACCATGGTACCTGACGGGGGGGGTCCTGGAAGACCAGTTTTCTAGGGGCCGGGTCCCGAACGTGAGGGGTTCCATGAGTTCATTGGTGGGAGGGTATATGGAAACAAGGAGACATTTTGCCTCACATGGACTCTTAGGGTCTCCGTGATCTGGTTAGCACCAGCTGTGCTTTTTTTGTTTCAGCCACCCTGTGTTTCTCATGCCGTGTTCAATTAAATGACTCAATTTAGATGACCATCCTGGAGGCTGTTGCTTTCCTCCCAGTTGTTTTTCTTCTTTCATTGTTTTTCTCGGGTGTCCTTTTCACTGGGAAGTCCATGGTGCACGAGCTTTGGCTTTGACCTCGGCCGATTTCACCGGCCGACAAACTTTTTTCTACCTGGACACCCAAAGGACCGATTCGTGTTGAATCTGCCTTTGTACCATCCGTTTCTTTAGGTCCCCAGAGGCTCCTGGCTTCGGCTTTCAATGGAAGACCCGAGCCCTCCATTGGACTCCCCGCAAATCGGTGGTTGGGGGTCTCAACACCTGGCTGTTTGAAGGCCCTAAATCAATCGGGAGCCTCTGGGTCAAAGACATAAAAAGGTCCAGGTATGTTGCTTGGTGCCGCGCTGGCTGGTATTGACACATCCCAAGTGATCTAGGATTTCCATCCGCGGATTGACATGTGATTCAGACAGGATCAAGACAAGCATGTGACTCAAAGAGAAGCAGCAAGCCATGTCCAACGTACTGCCGTCTGCCGCAAGCCGACGAAGCCGACGAAGCCGACGAAGCCGCAGGTGTCTTTGCTGGATCGCGTCTGCGCTTGGTTGGTGGCGCCCTGGCTTTTGATTGGACCGGGGACGAAGAGATTTAAAAAACACATGGGCCGAGTCCGTAGGCGCGAAGAGTCCATACGAGCAACGGTCGATTTGTGTCTGCATTTATTCTAGGGGTTCTCAGTTGTTCAGTGGCTCCAATTATTTTTCCCCTTTTTATTTGGTGGCTGCCCCACTAAAATGGTCTTCCCAAAAAAGGGTTCCCTTTTTTCCCAGGGTCACTGAACAACTGAGTTCCTTGTCCATTCTTTTCAACCATCGTTCTTTTGAAGAACCGGATCTGTTTCCCTGGGTTGTTTGATGGTTTCCTGAAAAGAAGGATCCCTGGACAGATTTGGGAAGGCAACCCTAGGTTTACTTATAGCAATGAACGTGGTCACACGGGGGGGCACCAACATGTCATTGGACATATTGGGTTGCTCACCAAACTCCAACATGGTTGTGAATGAAGGATACGTACCATGGTCAAAGCACTTGACTTGGGGTTAGTTTGTCCGGTTGTGAACTAAGTTTAGACCCTGGTAACTGGTACATTCCTGAGGGAAGGTTCCTGAGGATGTCCCTTAGAGCCATGCATGTCACTTGGACCCCCTTTCGGCCAACAAAAAAAGGCCAAAGAAGACCTCGGGTCTGTGTCTTCTGGAGAGCCCCAGAATTGGTTTCCTTGTTTCCCTTTCAGCCAAGGTTTGAAAGCGTAGCCATTTGAGAAACACAAAAATGAGGCATGTGAATGGCGTGAAGGAAGGCCGAAAGGAAACCACCTGGAACGCCAAGTTGCCAACAACTTCCCCAAGAACAGTCACAGTTGCTAGGAAAAGAAGCAACTGGCGATCCAGCCCACCCTTTTTGGGACATCATAGCTTTGGATATGAGGGGTTGATCAAAAGGTCCCACAAATCAATGAACATGGGATGACCATTGCGGAAACCCACTAAAAAGATGATATTTCCCACGAAGTTGGAACAGTTACCTATGGTCATTGGGGGCCGAAGGGAATGTTGATCAACCCCCCAAATCTCTTTCCCAAGCCACCCCGCAAGTTCCGCCGCGCGTTCTCCGCAGCTTCAAAGGTGCGCCAGGCTGCGGCAGAGCAAACGCAGCGCCAGCTGCTGGCGAGGCAATCGGTGCAGTACCAGGGCAGGCGCGCGCGTTTCGGTCGCGCCCGTCGCGCCTGTCGCGCGCGACGCATGGGGTGACCAAGTCAGTTGCCAGGTGGCACCCGTTTTCCCTTTTGCCTGGGCCCCCAACTGTTTGATTGCCAGGGGGCTGGAGCTTCAGACCGTAGCTTTTTGGTTGAACGCAAGTTAGTTTTTCCATTGGACCCGCAAAAAGTGAACAACTTTTGGCAGAGGGAAGGTTACAGCAACCAAGAATGGAACCATAAGTTTTTTTCTTCTTCTATTATTATATTTTTTTCTGGAAGCTGGACATTTGTAAACAACAATCTCTGGAAGCTGGGCGTATGTATTTTAGTTTTGTCCTGGGTACTTTTCTCGAAAAGGGAAGGCTTTCCCTTGACAAAGAAGCAAACAAAAACCAGTGCCCGGCCCATGGTCCACTGGGCTGAAAAAAAGCAATTGCAAAGCAAGCAACTTCTCAGAACCAGAGCTTTTCCCCATGCAACACAATGTTTTTCGCGCAACCCGTTGTTTCCCCCCTCCTTTTGTTTCTTGTCTGGAGCTTAGTGGCTCTAGGTCGAGCCCACCCCAAATTACGCCAATTCCCCGACAGCAACTGAGGGAAGTTTCGCATTCGGCTTTCATGGGCAAAAGCGCTGGTTTGACCCCTCTTGAAAATCCAGATGTTTATTTCCACAATTCGTAAGATTCTATATCTTGATCAAAGACAGTTACCAAATGTTTTGAAGGAGACATGTCTAAAGTCTTTGTTAGCAAAAGCCAGCTGTATAAAGCAGCTTTTTCTTTGAAGTACTCACCAAAAGAGAAATCGTCCAGCTCGGGACAAAGTTCTTGGTGGAGCCTCCTGAGCGCCCATGTTTCCGGGCGGATGTACCTCTGCTTTCCGGCAAACCCATGCAAACCTCTGAAGACAACTGCCAACTTTGAATGGACTTCTGTGAGCTGGGGCCCGTGAAAACTGCGGACCCTCCCAGATGGTCAGTGTCATATAACATTTGGGTCCTAACATTTGAAGACTGCCCCCAAGAATGTGTGTTTAGTTGTGATGCATATACTGTGTCTTCCATTTGCTGAAATGTATTTGTTGTTTCCATTGGTTTGAAAGGACATTACTTTCACTACTGGACATATGTTTAAGAAACCCACGGGGGCGCCTATCCGCAAAGGGAAGGTGTCCAGTGCTATGCATGGGCAATGCACCTGTTGTGGGTTTCACGGCTTTGAGCTTCAGGAGATGCTCAGAGAGTTGCCTCGATAGTTCACAGCCATCCGGTTCCTTAGCTTTTTTGTTGTTGGTTTAGTGGTTGGGTGTCCATCTTTCCCATTTTTTTACAAGGGGATCTGAGGGCAAGCCACTTACGAGGGCATAAATTTCAGAGGCTTCTAAGCATCTCGGTGCGGGGCTGATGGATGGTGGATTGATATGAGCAGGTTTGAGGGCTCCAAGTGCCAGACTGCTCGGATTTGTCACAGCCTCGCCCTCAACCGGCAGGCAATCTTGACAGCTCATGTTCGAGCCCTTCTTTAGTTGCCACTGCCATCCGCCACTCACGAATGTCATGCACATGTCCGCTTGTCTTTGATTGATGTTACCCACAAAGTGGCGAAGGCGAGTTTCCTTTTTGTTCACTCTAAAACCACCAAGAAGGGGGGTACCCTGAAAAAAAGGCAGACCCATTTGGTGGCAGTTGCGGGTTTTTGCAGCCGGGATATCCATTGCTTCATCCCAAGATCAATGACGCATGTGTCACTGACTTCATCGGTCGTTCGCACCAAAGAGAAGTTAATGGCGGTTCCCAGCCGTCCCCTTACATTTTAGGTTTCAGGTATTCAGGGTTCAGTGGGGGTAATCACTTAACTCACTAAAAGTTAAACTTTTGGCAGAGAGTCTGAGGACAGCCCAGTTTCAATCTGGCCATACGGTGGATGCCGTAAATATTGCAGAATCAACACAGCAACCCCCTACTGTGGATGGACGAAATCCTACACTACCTAAGAAACCCTAGAATGATGATTCCCCTGTAAATACCAACAACCGCAATGGTTTCCCATACTTTCAACTTGGTGCGAACGGTTTTCGCCCATCCACAGTAGTTATATATATATATATATTATAGCCGAAATTTACACATTTCCCATGGGTCTTGCATCCGATCATCCGCCATAGGCTTTGGACACTTCAGAACACCCCGGGAAGACGCGTCACTTTTCTTCCGGTCGGGTCGGGCAGGCGCTGTGCCTACGAGTCCCTCATGGCGCAGCTCAGGGGCAAGGAAGGCGCCGGGCCCAGCCGAGTGTTCAACTTGTTTTTGGCTGGGTTATTATTTTGACTTCTGGGGGTTATCAAAGTCAGAACATGTGATTGTTTCCCTTTAACCCACCACTGAGGGGGTGACAGTGGTAAAAGAATGAGGCCAGTTTGGAGGGGAGAAAGCCCTGAGTTAGCTGCCCTGAAAAAAAAGGGGCGATCGAGTACTTAGTAAGTGGTTAGTAACCATGTTTACAACCCACTTGCCATGGTTATAGGTCTCCGTTCAGTGGGTTAAAACCCCGCAGCTACTCACCACTGACGTACCGAATCGATCGCTTGGAAACCAGAGGGAAGGGATTCCAACTGGGACGGGAGGGTACCAAAAAGGCGGTTGGTGGACAGGTGGGCATAGTGACCACCACTTTTAGACAGGTTCCGTATGAAAAAACATATCGCCATAAAAGGGGGCCAACTGCATAATTGAAGGGAGAGAGATCGAAAGAAAATAATCATTTCTATGTAAAACATCATTTCTATTTTAATCATTTTACATATGCATGATTACAATGGCAGTAACATGTCAGTGAAAATGTGGCCCCTATATTTTCTCATCAAGCCCAGCTTGTGGGGATCCATGTGGACTCAAACTCGCACAAGTCACGCTATGTTATTGTCCTCAAACCGGCGGTTTGGGGAGGACGACAGGGCTGAATGGTCGAAAATCACATTTTCCAACGTTTGAACTTTTTGGTGGTTGACTTCTTGGAACCAAATTGTTGAAACCTTGGATACCCTTGGATTCTTTGTGGTCAATATGCGGCTCGGGGGTCTGGAAGACTCACTAAAAGGGTACCAACAAGTCAAGAGCACGAGCCTGAATTGTCCCATGTTACAAGGGGAACATATATTCTGAGCGGCTGAGCGGTTCCCAATATTGAAGATTTTGGACGGTGTTTGCAGGGACACCAGGACGAGGCAGTCCCAAAATTTGGGGGACACATGTGTGTCCAAATAGAAGGACCCACAGAATGCCGTGGTTTTGCCGTCCATCTCCATTTAACTCATTTCCTGAGCTCCTGAACTTGAAGATTCTTGGTACGACCATTTTAGTGAACAAAGCAACAACTCAGGAAGTGAAGCAAGCCACAAGATTAACCGAGTTTGAAGAAAGACTGGGTCCAGCTAGGTGCCCTTCTCTCCCCTTTTTTGGTTGGGAGGGTTCCCCTACGAAAATAGACTACAGAAAAAAATGGGTACCTGCCCTTTTACCCTTTTTGGGGAGGGTTCCCCCACTAAAATAGGCATAAAAAAGTTGGTACCCTTATTCCAGCCTCGCTACTGGAGGACCCAAGCACAAAATCCAGCACAGGCGTTCCTTCGTGTCAGTTTGGTTGAAAGTAATTAGAAGCATTCGTCTCGCCAATGGGAGCATCCCAAAGGATGATTCGTCAAAGAGCACAGCCCCGGCGAATTTTCAGCCCTGAACCGGCGAGGCGCTTTGGAGAGCCACTCGCTTTTGGACCTCTTCCGTGAGCGTGTGGACTACACCGTGGAGGTGCCTTGATTGGTTGTCCTTTAAACTCACACAAAAAACTGCGGAGGGTTGCGAAATCCATTTCGCACCACCCAAGAAACCCTGGAATGATTTGATTCCCTTCTAAAACCAACAAACAATGGTTTCCAGTGGTTTCAAAGTGGTGCAGGAATTCGTCCATGCATGGTAATACCCTCAGACAAAAACATATTTGCTTTTTTGTTCTGGGCACATTCTAGCGACGCCTTTCAGGTTTCGGGGGGTTTGCAACATCCATGGTGAAGGTCTCTTTCATGGGGATGCCTTCTCGGTGGGTGCATTACAACCATGCGCCTAGATGTTATGGCGAGCTGGGGGGTAAAGCAAGCTTGAATGGAAATTCTCTAAATGTCCCGACAAGTACTGCACACATCAAAGCGGCATCCACAATTGTTTGTTCGAGCTAGATCATGGTCTCCTCCGTTCCCTTTTCGGAACCTCCAAAACGTGTCGATGTCAAAGGACACCACCAGTTCAGTCAATTGATAATCGTTGCTCTGCCCCCATTGCGTAGTTCTGTTTCAACGTGCTCGAGCCTCAACTCGATTCTATTTTGTAGGCCCTTTTGGCAAACAATGGGGATTCCTAATTGCCTGTTGGTGGATTTATGCTAATTTGCTCAGATGATTGTGAGACATAGGCACCTTGTAAATGTTGATTTCCCCTTTTCCAGACACCACGAGGGCATGGTCGATTTGTCCGTGTTCGAGACCATTCTTGTTGGGGAAATGGCCATGGGCCCCAATACTTGGGATTCACCACTTTGGAGGCGTAGACAGTGTGGTTTCCTCAGCCATGAGAATGGTCTCATGGGAACTGCCGTGGTGTGTGTGTTTTTTCCGCTGTTGCCCCCAACAAAGTGACCGCAAACAGACTAAGACGAGCATCCAAACCGGGTCGTTGTTTGTTGTTTTTTGAAATCGCCAAAAAGAAGACGGCAGGGGTAATTGGGTGTGTAAAACCCTTGAGGAGCCTACCTGAAGCCACCACGGTTTGTGTCACAGGGCAGTTTCCACCGAAACTCCATGGTTTTCCTATTGCTTTCCCTTCAAAGCAACCCCCCGCAGTGAAGTTTGGCAGAGGCAAGGTCGGCCAGAAACTGGCAAGGCCATGTAAGCCAAAGAGGGTACAGGGAACCATGCTATGCCTTGCGTGTAAACTCCCATGGTTGTCCTCCTAGAGGCTCCATGACCCTTTAAAAATGGGGTCATTACCCTAAATAATGGTAGGTATGCGCCTATTTGTGATTCGGGTCATGGAGACTCCAGGCTCTTGCTTTCCCTTAAAAGCAACTCCCCTGTGAGTCGCTTGGAACTCTTTGCCTCCCAAATCACATCATTCTAGGGGTTGATTCCCCATTCTTTTCAACCATCGTTCTTTCCAAGAACCGAATCCGTTTTCCCTGGGCTTCCGGAGGTTTTCTAGAAAGATTCGGATCCCTGGAAAGAATGGAAATGAAAAAATATCCCTAGATCATTTGGACAGAAACCTTTTCACCCCGTTTGGTGTCCTTTTCCACCCAACCCGACTCCAACCGCGCAGGAGCTCTAGGGGTATCCCTAGAATGGAAGGTACCCCCAACACCACCCGCCCGGGCCGAGCGACCGAGAGACGCACCGAGGCGTCGCTGCAGAGCTGCTCCCTCCGCGAGCTGGCGGAGTCCGTGACCTTCGCACTGGACGCCCAAGGCAAAGAGGCGACGGCGCACTGGACACGGACGCGGAAGCAGTTTGTTTTCCTGGGCGCCGGCGGGGAGAAGTAGGGGCGATCGGGTACTGAGCAACCATGGTTATAACCCGCTTAGGAGACTTATCACCATGGTAAGTGGGTTGTAACCAGCTAGGTTCCAAATCAGCTAGGGGAAGGTACCCAGAGATAGCGCTACTGTGGATGGACGACATCCACTTCGCACCACGAAATGAAACCACGAAATGAAACGAAATGAACCGTTTGTTGGTATTTACAGGGCAATCGAATCTTTCTAATGTTTCTTGGGTGGTGCAGAATTTCGTCCATCCACAGTAATTCCCAACCAGGGGGAAGGTACCCCTAGAACAGCTACTTAATGGGGGGATCGATTCGGCACGTCAGGCAAGTGGCTAGTAACCCACCAAAGCCATGGTTATAAGTCTCCTATAGGGTCACTAGGTCCCCCAGCGTGGTGCTCTTTTGGAACCTTGGAGGCCTGGAACCTGATGTTGACGTTGGTCCATGGCAAAGGAAGGCCAAAATGAGTTTACTCAACGCATAGTGAGCTTGAACCATTACTAGCTAGGTGCCCTTACTCACCGTTTCTTTTTTGGTTGAGAGGGTTCCCCTACTAAAATAGACTACAGAAAAAAGGGTACCCTTATTTTATCCTCTCTACTGGAGGACCTAGGTAGGGAATGAGTTGGAATGACCCCAATAAGCCGTCCCACTGGTGGTTTCCTTTAAGGGGGAGCCTCTTCTGGGGTCATTCCCTACCTATCGGCAAAGTGCTGGCTCAGCTTGGCTTGGACCCACCAGTTGGGTGATGTATTGTTGAAAGACGGCAGAATTCATCTTCAAATTCAGCCCGAAGAGCATTTTTGCCATGTTTGGGTGAAAGTCGATGGCAAAATTTACACAGTTTGTTTGAGTCATGGTTCTGCCTGAAGAGAGTTCTTCCATCTAGTGTCAGCCTAGGTTTCCTGTCTTCCGCCAATGCATGGCAAAAGGGAACCTAGAATAAATATAGCGACCTCGTCATGGGTCTTGATGCCAACTGCTCTTGATCGGCCAAGCTGGCAAGATGAAACCATCTCTCACTGGCCCAAAGCGAATCGACCTGAACTAGGTTCCCCGGTGTAATAGTACCCTTTTACCTATTTTTGGGGGAGGGTTCCCCTAGTAAAATAGACTACAGAAACAAATCGGGTACTGTACCCTTATTCTGACCTCTCAAATCAGGAGGACCTAGTGAAATGACCAGCAGTTTCCCTTGGTCCAGTTTCAGCAAAGGTGCAGCTGCCCAACTGCCCGTGCCTTTCTTCGTGTCTTTGAGGTTTTGGGCTCTAAGAGGGCTCGGACATTTCTAGGTCCATGAGCGTCTCAGCAAAATGGAAGAACCGAAAGACAACCAGACATATTTATCCAGTAGTGAAATCGATTCCCTGTCAAACCAACAGGGGAAAACAGCATCAAAAATGGGGTCGTGACCCCTTTATTTGGGCTAATGACCAACCATTTTCTCTATTGGTCACAAGGAGACTCCAGGTATAGTAATTTAAAGGTGTCCGCCAGCAATCCGTCCCATTCAACCCATCAAGCAGGGCAGCACCCCGCAAAAAACATGGAACCTGACGTCTTGGGGGTTCCTGGGTGGAAAAGGATTTCTGGGTGGAAAACGATTCTCCGGGTCTCCATACCTAGAGTCTCCGTGACCCTTGCAAAATAGGGTTATTATGTTAAATAACGGGGTCATGGACCTATTTTTAAAGGGTCATGGAGACTCTAGGCACCTGGAGTCTCCTTCTGACCCGAATCAAAAATGGAGTCAACAAAAATCATATATATATAGACATATACCCCCCCCCCGGTGCCTAGGTGTTGCTTGATTTCAGTCATTTTTTCAGGTAATTTTGCCTTTTTGTTGGCCAAACTTGGGCACCAATGAAGGGGGGTGCGCCACAATTCTACAATTAAGAATTCTGGACCCAAGATTGCTGGGAGACGTTCAATGTGACAATCTGGAATTCAAGATTCAAGGATTCAAAACAATCTTTTCTGGAATCCTGGAATATTGAATCTTGCGTCCAATATTTCATTTTATGTAAAGGAAAAAAACACATCTGGGATTCAGAATTCAAGATTCCCAGAAAACGATTATTTGGAAATCTTGAATTTTGAATCTTGAATCCCAGATTTTGTTTTACAAAAATTAAAATATGGGATTCACGATTCAAGATTCAAGATTTCAAAGTAATATTTTTTTCTGGGAATCTTGAGTCTTGAACCTTGAATCCCATTTATATATATATATATATATAAGTTGCAGGTTTGTCTCAATACTCTCGGTGTTCAATACGATTCTCGGAAAAGCTTTCCGTGAAATAGTTCAATTTCTTTTCATTTTTTTTCAGCGGTAAAATAAGTTCGAAGTTTTAGAATAACTTGATCATTTTTAGGGTTTGACCAGGATGGATGATTCTCAGGAAAGATGTTGTTTGTGCAATCCTCGATATTGAATCCTCAATCCAGTGGTAAAGTCGGCAAAGCACTTTCAAGCGTGAGAAGAACTTGAATGTTGCTTGGGTTTGGCCAGGATTGACAATTCTCAGGAAAGTGTTTTGTGAAATCTTCAATCTTGTTTTGTTCCATCCAGTGGTAGAATACTTTCAAGTGCTTAGCGATCCAGTGGAAACACTTTCAAGTTATTAGTTTGACAAACTTTCAAGTGCTTTTGGTGAGCGGTGTGCTTCATGTTTGCTATGAAGCATGTTGACCCTTTTCCAGGAGGCAAACAAAGGTAGGTATAATACTCAAACACACTGTATTTTACAGTGTTTTTTGAAGACGCGTAGGATCATTAGGGGTACTATATACATATATGTACGTATGAATATATATATATATATATATGTATCCATATGTATGTTCACACACCGTCACCCCCCCTCTTGAACTACCTCTCCACATTTGCTCATCTACTACCTCCGCCTTTTGAGATAGAATGTATTTGTTTGTCGTGTGCAAATACAACTGTAAAGACGGCTGATTCAGCTAGAATCCCTGTTTCGAAATAGCTTTAGAATTTGAACCTCTCTTCCCTTGAAATTTCCGTTTGGAACACCGTCTAACAAGTTTAATGTCGGACCTTGCTTATGCTGCAAAAGGGCCAGGATATAAATAACACAGATCGTATTTCGAATTTCCTTGTAGAACTCCCTTATATGTTTAGCCATATTTAATACGAACTAAATTTGAGAAGTAGTATCTATTTAATTGTTATTATGAAAAGCTAATTGAGTCGCGTTCGTATTAGATATCTAACACTTAAACTATATTTGGGAATAAACTCCTAACTGTGTTTGTTGAAGATTAGTTGAATTTTGCCCGAAACTATGCTTATATTATCATGTAGCTCCTATTTGGAAAGGATTTGCTTATATAAGCTGTAGCTGAGCAATGTTGAGCATAAGCACATGTTTGAAAGCTATATCCTAACCAAATTATATTTGAAATTCCAATTCTAGTTGAAGTTAAAATCCAATTTGGAAAGGGTATCATATTGTGGCATTTCGGATCTTGCCATGGTGGACTGCAAGCCCATTCGTTTGTGCTTAACACCTATTGCAAAAAAATAAACTCCACAGCCTGCGCGCTGAAATCAAGCAAAACCTAGGCACCAGGGGGGGGTTATATATATATATATATATATATTATTTTCAACCAAATGGGTCCCACCAGGCCCACCGAGGCCCACCAAGGCCCACCAGGCCCACCGATTTCTGGAGCGTCGGGTCCATGAGCGTCTGGGTGGGGGAATTAGCCGCTGGGTATGGTAAAAGCAGGGCTGTCCGTAGGGGTCGGACCCTTTTCTAGGAACGTCCACGAGCGTTTGGGTGGAAATGGATTTCTGGGTTCAAACTGGCAGGTGGTAAAGTCGATCTTCAGCACGGACGCGTCGCTATGCCGGCGTGGGGAGGAGGAAAGCGTGGCCGGGGCACGCGAGGGCGCATGCGAGCCTACGCCATGGATGGCCCGTTTGTTTTGTTGTTTCTTCGGTTTGGTTAGATATAAATAGATACATACGTGTATATATATATATATACATGTTTTTTCTTCTAGGGGACACTTCCCCATTCTTTCCAGGGATCCTTGTTTCCAGACCAGCAGAACCGCAGGGGAAACAGCTGATACATATATGTATATATATATATAGGGCTCCTTGCCCCCATTTGGTATGTATTGATTTCGTATGTATAGAAAATACGCATCTTTGGTGCTAGACTGCCTGGTGTTGTGGATTTTCTGAATTGTATACTTAGAGGTAAATCATGCGGGGGGGGGCTGAGCATATAAACCCTAGGGTTCAAACCACCATTAAGAACAATGGGTGATCATATTTCACCACCATTGTTCATCCTTCAGGATTCAAATTGATTCAGTACCTTGTTTTAAATGGGGGCAAGGGAGCTAGGGTATATATAGCTAGTTCCACTGGGTTTCTGGGGGAGTACCAAGATGAAAAAAGTCCTCTGGGATCCCGTGTCAGGTGCCCTGCTAACGCTTGGAGGGCTACGCCATGTTCAAAAGGCCCCGTCGAGCAAAATTCGAAACCAATTCGGGTAGATGAAAATGAAGGGACACTCCAAACCATGAAGACTGTGGATGGTTGCGAAATCCAATTTGCACCACTTAAGAACCCCTGGAATGATTCGACTCCCCTTGTAAATACTGACAAACGTTATGGTTTCAACCATGGTTTCATTTCGTGGTGCGAACGGAGTTCCGCAACCATCCACAGTAGGTGCGCATATCTGGCCTTCTGATTCTTTGCCATGGGTTTCGTTTTAGGACCCTTTAGCGTCAGGGTTTTGCTTGTGGCCCCACAGGAGCCCCAGGTAGTCATGGGTGATTTAGGAACTTCAGAGAAGTGTGCATCATGTGCACTTGATGTGGATACCTGGACAGCGGGAGTTCAGCCCCATTTGGGCTATAATCCATGTGCGAGGGAATTGTGATGGTTCAGGTGGCCGCCCCGCCATGTGGCGGAGTTCTCTTGCGCTTTTCCGTAAGGCGCAAAGCTTCTTTTGTGCGCACGTGCGATCATCGAAAAGAAGACCATCAACGCTACGAAGCAAGCAGTAGAAGTAACTCCAGATAACTCGATCCAAATACGGATTGATTATTTCAGACATGCCGAAAGCATGGCCCACGTTTAGAGAGAGTTGAGACCAATGGACCCTGCCCGTCCCCTGGGGGCCCAAAGGACCGCAAGGTCTTTGGGATCCAAGGCTGGGGGTGGGTTCCCGGGGTGACTTTGCCTTCAGGTGTTTCATGTAGGCGGGTAAGATGAGTAAGGTGGATGGAACCTGCAGTTCGTTTTGTTTACAGTATGTTGTACTGGGCTTGGGAAAGCACGTTTGTCTCCAAAGTCTGGATGGTGGATAGGACATGAGCCCTCAAATACCAGGTCTTGACATTGGAAGCACCAGGGCTTGGCATTGGTGAGAGATCATGGACATGGTTTAAGCCCTTGATTTTGGATAGAACATGTGCCCCCAGATGTTTTTATGTATTTTTTTCGCGAGGAGCAAGCCCTCTTCGCGGAGATGGAGCAAGAGCACGAGCAGGCCCCGCCATGCTAGGTTGGTCCCCCGCTATGGGTTTGGCTTGAGGTCCAGCGAGGGCCTGTGGAGTTACATCCCCTTAGCGTTTTAGTATCTTAGTGTATAGTGGTGGGATTTCCGAATTGAAGCCACTAAAAGTTAGTCGCTTTTAGCGGGGGATCTGAGGACAGCGCAGATTAGAATAGGATTGTGGGGCACTTTCGGGCAAATCAAAATTAAACCACCAGACCTCAGGTTTTGGTCCATGTTTCCACTGGATAGGGCAAGCCATTTGGGGTACCTATTTTTGACCCACCGCCAAATTGAGTCACGCTCACAAGATAATTGTGTGCATGGTGCAATTGTGTGAGCCCTTGTTTTGCGCAATTGTGTGACCCCTTCTTATACTCTTGCGATCAATTACTCCCAGATGAAAATGGGGTAACCCAAGAGGAGCGTCCCGTTTAGAGAGGAATCTCCTCTTGGATGACTCCTTTTTTGGGGTTCGAATTTCGAGAGGCTTCCCCCCGTACAAATCAGAGGCTCCCATGGAACGACGTACCGAAGCGATCGCCCCTGTATTTAAGTGGAGCCCCCGCAAGTTCTACTCAACTCTTCGCCGCGGGGTGGATGGCGCCATGGAGAGATTTCGGAAACTCTCGCAGGGGGGTTCCCTTCGTACTCCAAACCACAAATGTTCCACTTGCGTTTCAGAATATGTGTTATTTTCCCTTATTACTACTGGACATGTTGTCCTTTTGGTCCAAGGCGAATCGATCTGAAATGACCTTTTGGTGTTGCCTAATTATGTTTGGCAGCCATTTTTCGTGGCCCCGAAAAGTGATCTCAGCTCTTGTTTTAGGGTCCAAACTGGGACACCTGAGAGAAGATGCTCTCGCCTCTCTGGATTCTTCGGCGTCGTCAAAGCGCTGAAGTTGACATTTCGGCCCAGGGTCACCTTCGCTCTCTCAGCCACGGTGCTGGGGTAGAGGCTCTTGCTTGAATAGCCGACATTCCGCGAGCGCCCAATGCGTGGCAATGGGAACCCAGGATTCAGCCTCCGGTGGACTAGCCACGTTTCTTACTTGAATCCGGGGTCGACATCAGTACTCAAGCTAGCGCAGCAAGACATTTATTTGCTCCCGAAGGCTTGCATTGTCAGGTGGGAAAACTGAGCCTCAGCCTGGTTTCTGTGGGGTTTGCAGGTTGGAATCAGACCTGAAACCACCCCCTACTCCAAATACCCACTTTTTCTGTTTTTTTTTTTGGAAAACCGATCGTTTTTTCAAGGTAAATACCACCTTTTTTAGTAGAGGGTCCACATGATACCCTAAAAACAGTGGGTATTTGGAGTCGGGGGTATTCTGAACGGCGCGTTGGATTTCGTCCGCTACGAATGACCGAAGCTTTGATGAAAAGCAGCAAATGGCTGGATTGAACCTGGCGAGAATTGCCGGGCACAAGGGGTCAGATTCAAAACCCTTCCATTTCCTGAAATGAATATACCTGGAGTCCCATGACCCATGAGAAATGGGTCAATGACCTCATTATTTTGGGTAATGCCCATGTTTCAAGGGTCATGGAGACTCGAGGTATCTGTTATTTTCCTGTGTTGGTTTTTCATGGACTCTGTCACTACTGGAGATATGTTTGTTCTTTCCTGGAGACGTGTTCGCAAATGGAGGTAGCGCAAATGGTTGAGGATCTGCTCGACTCGCAGACGGCTGCTAAGCCATGTCCCGGAAAAAAAAAAAAAAAAAAACAAAAAACAAAAAAAAAAACCATACGTTCGGGAGCTTGGAATTAGGCTCATCTGTCCATAGCCCAGATGTTTACCTTTCAGGGCAGGACAAGCTCCCGCCTGACGACACCTGAGGTCTCCTTCAAAACTAGTAGTTGTATTTTGAGGTAGACAAACTAGGTAGACAAACTAGGTCCACCAGTGGTGCCCTTTTACCCTTTTTGGGAGCAGGGTTCCCCTACTACAATAGACTACAGAAAAAACAAGTTGGTACCCTTATTCTAACCTCTCTACTGGAGGAGCTAGCAAAATACTGTGGATGGACAAAATCCTACACCACTTTGAAGCCATGGGAATCCATTGTTCGTTGGCATTTACAGGGGAATCATCATTCCAGGGTTTCTTAGGTGGTGCGAAATGGATTTCGTCCATCCACAGTATGAAATATGAAGCAACATCGGAACAACCTTTATTCGTACCTTAGAGTTCGGCCAACTGGTGAGAGTCCAGAGGATCTGCGATGAGTTGGCGGCGTTTCACCCCCCCAAAACCAGCTTTGGATGGGTCATGTTCAGGTTTTCATTCCTTTCAAGGGTACTCTGTTGGGGTGGGTTTTGAAAGGGAAACCAAAAGGGGAAAGAACTGCCCATTTGGGGAGTCCCCTAGTTTGATGCATCAGGTCCTTGGTCCGCATTTTTGTCAAGGTCCCAAAAGCTTCACCTTTGATTTCTAGTTCCTTTGGGCACTTCAGAATTCGGCTCATTTGGACAGATACATAGGTGTCCTTTTTGGTTGATTTGGTTGAACAATTGAGGGCGATTCCTGGTTTAGCTGGTGGTTCAATCAGGACCATCTATTTTCCCAAAAAGGACACCTATGGCCATCTTTTCAATAACCAGCTGTTTGCCCAGGGTTGTTGGTGGTTTTCTGGAAAGATTCGGATCCCTGGGTTAAGAATAGAAATGGAAGCTACCCCTAGATCATTTGGACAGAAACCTTCTCACCCCTTGGCTTCCAGCCATCCGGTGCCTTAGCTCTTTGACCCACGAAGAGTTCGTCACTTTTCGCGGGGATCTGAAAACGGGCAGCCCAGCCTAGTTTCATACAGGTCCTTGGTCCCAAAAGCATCACCTATAATTTCTATGTTTGGGCTCTTCAGAATAGAATGGACATGGAAGGAAAGAATGGACATGGCTTTATTTCTACGTGGAAAGAATGGACATGGAAGCTACCCCTAGCTCATTTGGACAGAAGCCTTTCACCCCGTTTGGTTTTCATTTTCCACCCGACCCGACTCCGGAACTAAAGCGCGCAGGAGCTCTTTGCGGAGCAGGAAGAGGAGAAGGACGCGCCGGATGAACCGCGGGAGAATGCCGGATGAGCCGAAGCTGCCATTTGGTTAAGGATATGTTTTTATTTTCCCCTGTTGGTCTTAAAGGGAATCTATCACTACTGGAAATATGTTTTTTCCAGGGCGACTTAAGCAAATGGAGAAAAGGGTGAAAAAGCGGGAAGCATGTTATGGACAAATAGCATACTAAGGAAGCACATATATGTCAAGTACTAAATCTTTGGTGCATTTGCCAAGGGATGTTAGGACTTCAACTTTTTGCCAACTCATGGGTTTTCCATTAAACCACTAAAAGGTAAACGTTTAGCAGGGGGGCAGAAAGCAACCAAGAAATTGTATACTAAGGCAACAAATATATGTCAAGTGTTACCAGAAGTATTCATGATAGATGTTCATAATAGTATGATGATGTATGGCACAATGATGCATATTGTGTGTGTGTGTGTTGACCGCAGACATGTCAAGTAGCCATGTGAGCTAGGCTCCACATTCTTTGGCAAAGTAGCGTGGTTTGGTGTGTCAGAGGCTACCTTTTTCAGGGCTCCTTAAAGATACATTTTGCCCATTTGAAACATGGCTTTTTCCACCAAAATAGAGAAATGGAAACCACCATGTACAAGTTGCAATGTTCAGGTTTTATTCATGCATCCGGATCCCTGTTTTTAGAAGAACCCAACCGTTTAGCGCACGCCGCACGCCCTGAGTTGGACCTCACTTCTTTAAAAGGCCTTGACAGCGGCAGTCGTGCTTTTGGATCTTATGACCTGGCAGAAAAGGAGAATGCGCCAGTGGCCTTCGTGTTTCGTTGGACAAGACGCCCAAAAGTCATGCTTTCATTGACCCTTTCACATGGAGTTTCGGTAGAATTGGCAGATGGCCATGGGCAAATTCCTTTTTTGCCCTGAAGGTCTCTTGTATTAGGCAAGCTTCCCTGCACGTAAAGTTATTGAGCAGGTCTGTCTGGACATGGAAATAGGCTGATCTTCCCAATCACCGCTAAAACGAGGGCAGCTCTTCAGCAGAATTATTTACTGTTCTGCAAAGCGCCCGAGGATGAAGAAGGACGCCTTCACCATCGGAGCAGAGCAGCCAGAATGACTCCTGTCATGAAGTCAAGATCCCAAACCCAGAGCAAGAGGTCTGTCCAGCGAAGCATCTCGTTTTTTGGGTTCGTGGATGGCTTCGCGAAATCCATGCAACGCACCACCCAAGAAACCCTAGAAGGATCTAATTCCCCCTGTAACTACCAAGCAATGGTTGCAACCATTGGTTTCCAAGCGAAGTGGATTTCGATTTCAACCATCCACGGTATGTTTTGGCCCATGAAGAGGGAACCAGATAGCCCTTAACTGGTGCTTCGGATTGATGGCCCGCTACGTAGAGTTTTAAGATCCAAACCACTTAAAACCAAAGCGCCAACTGTAAGTTGCGACGATTTTTGAGGAACCGAAGGGTTTTGCTTTGCTCGGCAAAACAAAAAAAGAGGAGGCTTGGGCTTAGGGTACAGATCCTTCCAAAATGGAAACTCCGACCAACATGGTGTACCAATGACTAGGTCCCCCAGTGGTGCCCTTGGAGCGGCTTCCCCTACTGAAATAGAATACAGAAAAAATGGTTTACCCTTATTCCAACCTCTCTACTGGAGGACCTAGATGAGGAACTCCGTGTTTTTTGTTTCTCCACTTTCTGGCCGGCAGGAGCAAGAGCAGGAGGAAGAGGAAGAGGAGGAAGTGAACGAAGACTCCCCGCCCGGATCTTGGATTTTGCAATGTCCAGGGCCTTATCCCCATGCAAAAAAAAACTCACTGCCTAAGTTCCTGGTGGCTTGATACTTTTCGGACCACATCTAGTGGCAAACAACCCTCAGTCTGTGTTTCTTGCTTTTTTGGGGTTCCTGGTTGCTTGATACTTTTTGGACATTTGGTGGCGATCAACCAGTCTTTGTTAGTGGCAAAAACAAAAAGTGGGGCACGCTTTGTGCAATACCACATTTACTGGCAAACCACAAGTCTTGCCTTTGTTTGTTTGTGAGCAGCAATTCCACTCGATCTGAAGTTCTGAAGGCGATGTGAAAGAGGGAGCTGTTTGGCGGAGAGCGGCAACTCAGCGCCCTGCCAAGGCTGCCAAGCTTTGCATGCTGGCCTCCTCGGTCAACCTAGCTTTTGCTTACATGGCTGTTCTTGGTGTGATCGAATGGCTCCTTACCTGGAGTGTTGATGACCCTTTAAAAATGGTTGGTCATTACCCTAAATAATGGGGTCATGGACCAATTTTTAAAGGGTCATGGAGACTCCAGGCAGACCTTTTGGAAACAAACGGCTTTTCCATCTCACTCGTCCAAAGCGAGTCGACCTTTTCACCTTTAGGTTTTCCCACTTTGGTAGTGGCCCGAACATGTAATCACATTTAATTTCCAGGTCCAAACTGGGCAACTGCGCCATACCTTCGCAACATCTAGTTTCCTTTGAATGCTTTTGGAGTCCCGCAGCAAAAAGCTACTGAGCCATACCTCCAGAAAGTGATCCACTTTTTGCTCGGAACACTTCAGATGTCCGGCACGGACACTGTCTCTCTCCATGGAAGCCCCCAAACATGGTTCGACAAAAACCACACGCCGCCCATTACCCTCGGGCATCGTCTTGGCGCAACCACGACCCTGCCCGTGAAATCATGCCCTGAACATTGACAGACACTTTGAAAAGGGTTCAGAGGGAGAATTCATGGGTGCTTTTGTGTTGCACCTCGATTTTTGGAGGGGAACAGAGAGAAGCCAGGATATCAAAGAGCAACAGCCACCTTGGCGTCTCCCAGCCGTCCCCTTACTGGCCTTGACACCAAAATTGCCACAATAACCTGATGCGGCACAGTGGTCAGTACCCATGGTGAAATAACCCGCTGAACGGAGCTGTATCATGGCTTTGGGTGATTTCACCACGGCTACTAACCACGTACTAAGTACATAACTTTCTGCCTGAGCTCCTGGACTTTGAAGTTTTGAGGCCATATTGCTGGACAAACAGGTTAAGACACCTTTTTTTTCTAGGGGTAGTAGCTTCCTAAGGGAGATCACTCCAGATCCACAGGTGGGGCAGGGGTGCTTGGGGGTATCTTAATAGGTATCAACAAAAGGGGGGGAAGGGGGGGAAGGGGAGGGGAAGCGGGAGGGGGGGAGGGACCTTCCATTTGAATTCTTTCCAGGGATCCGAATCTTTCTAGAAAACCACCCAAAAAAACTGGGGACATGGCGATCGGTTTTTTAAAAGAACGATGGCTGAAAAGAATGGACAAGGAATCAACCCCTAGAATCATTCACATTTGGGCTTGTCGATGTTTGATTTTACCCGCAAAAATGAGTGGATGTCCTTGTGGGTCCCTTGAAAGCCGGCAACAAGAGGTACTCTCAAAGGAATTGATGGACCCATTTGGTGACAAATTTATGGCCCTCCGCGTCGGATTTGAGTTTTAACGCGAGAGATTCGTTGGCCGAGGCCGAGCCAAGGCGCGTTGCCGTGAAAGTAGCCGTCCGTGATGGGAAACCCCAAAATCTCACCTAGGTCCCCCAGCTGCCAGGGTCTCACCTAGGTCCCCCAGCTGGGTGCCATTTGTCACCAACTGTTTGGGGGTTCGGGTTCCCCTAAAGTAGACTACAGAAAAAAGTTGGTACCCCAATTATTCTATCCTCTCTACTGGAGGACCTAGTCACTTCCTGAGTTCATGGACTTGAGTCTCTGCTTGGGGGTTGGTGGCCATTTGAGTGGTAAATAACAAGTTGGTTACTTTTCGTTGGCCATCCACTCAGGAAGTGAGTTGTTGCCCTTGGGTACATGGACACGCACACACACACACACACTCTCACACACACACATGTGTGTGTGTGTGTGTGAGTGCTGGTGTTTTGTTTTTCTTCATTGTTTTTTTCCGAGTGTGCCCTTTTTGGGTTGGGCTTAATCGGAAACCAAAAAGAAACCAACACTTATCCCGATACCCCTCTTTGCAACAGCTGAGACTTCAATCGGGGCTTACGGACTTTTGGGTTGGTGAACCTGCCGTAGTCTTGCTTTGGGTTTTGTGTCTTGCTTGGATGGCTAGGAGAAATGAGCAAAGGAGCTGGGAACGACCGTTTTCACCACAAGCCGACGAGAAAATGAACACAATGAACATAAAAGAGAGTTTTCAACCCACCAACAAGTCCCATTCGAAGAAGAATGCCGAGCGTTGTTTGGAAAGGCACTTTGCCTCTTTCCGAATTGTATGCTCGGGTTATGTCTATTTTGAATCGGATATTTCCATCCAGAACACGCTGTTTGGCTGTGCAATGCAATCATTGCCACTGATATTTGTCTTCAGCTGTTCTAGAGCACATTTGCTTTGAGAGTATTAACCATTGATGTTTGCACAATTTGTGTTTTGCCCTTGGGAGAGTAGCATCTGTTTTTTGTAGGCATCTGCACCCAAGGTTTCATTCAGGCATTTTGGCGCTGTTCTGTTGCGTATGTGTGTGTGTGTGGGCGCGTGTGATTACTCTTGAAACGCGTTCGTTGCTTTCTGTTTCCATCAGACTAGCTTCGCAGGGCAAGCCCGGTGGGCGGCAGGCTTTTTGCAACACTAAGAAAAGCGAGCTAAGGCTCGAATCAACAGCAAGCCTTCTATATATTTGTGCTGACCAAAAAGTCGAGGAAAGCTGACAACCAACGAATACATTTCAATAAATAGTTCTCAAGTACACATGTTGGTATTCCTGTGTTTTGTTTCTCTTGTTTAGAGCATGTTTTTTCTTGTTGCGTCCTTCGTTTCATGGACTTATGTTGGTTTTCCCAGGAGCTCAGACTTTGCTGAAATGCGCCCATTCGGGCAGCAATCCTCTCGCTTTGGGTCACGCCGAACCGAACGTCTCGCAGGGTTCCCGCTGCTGTCTTCTAAGCCAGTTTGAACATCGCTTGTCATTTGCAGGGGCGTGACAAATACTAACCTTGTTTCTTAAACCACCAGTTGGTAGGTGGTTTATCGCAGTAGTGATAGGACTTGTTCCATTCCACCGCCACTTACTAACCACTTACAAGTCTCCGTTCAGTGGGTTGAAACCCACCATGGTTTCGATCACCACTCCCCCGACATACCCTTCATCGCTCGCCCCTTTAAGCTTCCCCAGAATTAGCTCCCCGCTCGATGTTTCGATGTTTTGCTTTTCTGCTTGGTCCTCCTTGTTTTCCACAAACCAAGCAAAAGAGATTCCTGGACCCTCAAACTACCACAACAGGGAATTCACCAACCATAGTTTTGTGGCAATGACCAACTTGCTAAGGAAAGTTTGAGGGTTCAGGTCGTTTTTGGCTGGGGTCCTAATCGTGCTGGTGCTCAGCAGGGAATGAGAAACGGAATGACCCCAACAATCCAACTGGTGGCTTCCTCTCTTTTTCTTCGTGAATCCCTATCCCTGTTGCCCAGTGGCGCCCTTTTTGCGCTTAAAAGGAAACTCACTCATCATTTCGGCAATCGCCAATTTTTGCTCCTTCTTGGAATTTTGAGAGCCACCAGGTGGTTTTTCTTTGGCTGGTCTGTTGATTCCAGCCTCCAGGCGGCTGGCAGAAGTTGGCCCGGGACCCGCCGCAGAGCCCCTGGTCCCTGGCGCTGCTGCGCGCGGAGCCTTCGGAGGCCACCTTCCGCCCGGCCAAGGCGCGCCGCGCGGTTTTGGGCGTCGGGCGGTTTTTGGTGGGGGGGCTCCAAATTTGGCTGTGGTGGTCAAAACCCTCAGTTGTTCAGTGGCCCCCTTTTCCCTTTTTTTTGGGGGTGGAAATGGTCGTCCCCAAAATTGGTTCCCTGTTTTTTTCAAGGGTCACTGAACAACTGAGAACCGCTTTGGATCGAGCCCATTTTGTTTGGTAGGTGAATTCACCACCCATGTTGGAAAATATATTTTTTGGTGGGGACGTGGGGGTACGGGATTTTGAACCATGGCCAAATGTCCCCAGGCTACTCGGGTCCCGAGTCCCGAGTTGTTGGGGGAGGGTGCCCCAACTAAAAGAGACTACGGAAAAAAGGGTACCTGAAGTCTCCATGACCCGAATCCAAAATAGGTCCATGACCATTTTCTTTAGGGTAATGACCAACCATGTTTACGGCTCATGGAGACTCTAGGGACCGATATTCTGACCTCTCTACTGGAGGACCCAGTCACGCCCCGAGTCCCCCAAAACTTGAGTCACTTCCTGGAGGTTTGGTGGGCAATTTTCTTTGACTAAATCGCAGGTTGGGTGACTTGTTGTTGGCCAGTCCACTCAGGAAGTGAGTTGGTCTTGGGTAAGTGGAGACGTTTTGGGTCTGGACCAAGTGGCAAAGAGAAAGAGTTTGGACTTTAGGCCAGGCCAGTCAGGAAGTGAGGGCACGTGGGTTTCTGTTTGGGGAATAGTTTTTCCATATAACATCAAGGAAAACAGGTGCAGACCTCATGGTTTTGCCCAGCTGGCTTCTGTTGGGTAGGCCAAATAGGAAACATCTGAAAATATGTTTTGCCAGCATCTTACCTTTGTCCAAGAGCTTCCAGAAGAATGGCACGCATGCAATCTTCTGCCGAACTTGTTCCGGGGTATAGCGAGCTCACCGTGATAAAGATCCTTTGCTTGAGGATCCCTATGAATTTTAGTAACCACATGCAGAATGTTTACTTGCTGGAGAGCATTTAATTTCTGAATAGCTCAAGGTGTGCAATGTGTACACGCTCATGGAGCAGGATCCCACAGAAAGCGGACAGCGATACTGACACGCGGACGAATATGGCCAAGACACCCAAGATGCCTTGAATCAAGGAGTATGCGCAACAAAAAGAGGCCCGAGCCGCGTCCAACACTTCCAGCGATTGGCTTCTACTGTGGATGGACGAAATCCTGCACCACCCAAGAAACCCTAGAATGATGATTCTCCTGTAAATACCAACAAACAATGGTTCCCCATGGTTTCCAAGTGGTGCGAAATGGATTTCGTCCATCCACAGTATGTTTGCTTGTGCGTTGTTTGCTTTTGATGTCTGATTTGAGTGAGTAGCTGAAAAGACTGAGATCCCGTCTCTGCAATGACCCATGTGGGCGCAGGCCCTTCTCGGGGTCGGTTTGCAGGGAAAGCACAAGGAAACGATGAGTTTCTCGATGCAGTTTTAGACCTCTGCATCATTTAGCGCAGGCGGGGTGGCTCACTACGCAGTAGTTTCCCATGTCCTCTTGGGCAATCGACCGCGGCTGATATGTATACATGTATATATATATATACATGTATGTTTCCACCCGATAGGTCCAACAATCGAGGACCCAGAGTTTGGGTTCTGGTGGTTCCCCAGAGATTCCAGTTGTAGTTCAGGGTTCCTGGAATGGCGCAAGCTGGAAGCGCTGGCGGTTTCCTTGTTTCCACTTCCTGAGTTCCTGAACTTCAAGCCTTTTTGCGTTTTGCCATCTTGGTGGTTTTTTTCCAGAAGTAACCAAGAAGTTTGGCGACTTTTGGTGTTTGCTTGGCATTTCGAGTGGTTCTAGCTCAACGGTTTGGTTCACTTTTTGTTGGCAAGTCCGCTGACATGAGTGCATCCAATGGGACAGACGGCAGGCCATGGCCCTGAACTCCAACCGGGGCTCGGAAGTGGCCTCGGGCTGAGATCCGGAGATCCGGAGATCGAGCCGAATCGAGCGAGCCGTGCTTCGCCTGGCCGGGCCGGGCCCAAAGGGTTTCCTTTTCTTCACTGTTCTTGGCATTTCTTTTAGTTTTTTAGTTTTTTGGTTCTGTTCATTTTTACTGGGGGTCTGCAAAAAACAAAAAGTTTTTTGCCAGCCCATACCAAGAGTAGAGATGTTTTGGAGGCCCTGAAAACCAGAAGCTGGCTGCGATACGAGGGAATGAGACATGGAATGAACTTGGGGATGCCCGCAGAAAGGAAACCATCAGTTGGATGGTTTGTTTGGGTCATTCCCTCATTTCCTGCTGAGCACCAGCAAGAAAAGGGGACTCCAACCGAGGGGTCAGAAGATGAGCAAAATGCCCTTGATCCGCCAATTTGTCAGAGCGAGCTCACCGATCCGGGAGTACAACGAGCGAATGCCATGATGCATCCTTTGCTCGGGGATTCCTTGTTCCAGGTTTTGGAATTATTGTCAAGCTTCATGATTACTTGAGTGTTGGGAAGTTGTTGCAATCTTTCTGTTATAGCCCACTTATAAGTCACCCGTTCTGTGGGGCTAGCCTTGTTATTCACCTGCTTATCTTGGCCGAACATCCAAGTACCGTTTGTTTCTTCCTGGTTGGTTCTCCATTGTCTTAGCATTGGCGCGACAAGTGGTTTGTCCTTTTTGACTTCCTTAAAAACCACCCCAAAGGGGTATCCTCAAAAACAGGCGTGAAGCGAAAGAAGCGGTGTCCGTGTATCAAGGGTCCAGGTGTCCATTTTAGGTCTCGGTCGAACATAATTAGATAGCATGGACGGCGCTGGTTTCCATTGGGGCGTATGTTTTGCCAGCTATTTCTCCAAAAGGACACCAAGGTTCTGTGGCCCCCTTCAACGATTTGTTTGACCACATTGGACCTTGTGCCAATTCTTGGCTGGTGACCACCCTTCATCTAAGATGCCGTTGCCAATGGCTACCCTTCCAATCGTGTCTAGAACATACTGTGGATGGACGAAATCCTGCACCGCCAAAGAAACCCTGGAATGATGATTCCCTGGTAAATACCAACACAAAAATCGTTTCCCATGGTTTCAAAGAGAAGCAGGACTTTGTCCATCCACAGTATGACATAGATAGGAATCAAAGAGATAGGCTTTTTGCTGCCCCCGGGACCACCTTCGGTGTCATTTGCATCCCGGGCAGAAGTGCTCACAAAGCCGGGTGAGGATGTTCAAGCCGTTGCGAAGCCGGTACTTGGCTTAGCCAAACCGCTGTTCATCATGCTCTTCTTTGAGGTGTGCCCATTCAAAAGAACTCAAAACTGGTGTTCCAAAAAATTGGCACCAACAAAATGGATCCAAAATTCGTGTTCCAAAAAAAAATGGCACCAACCGGCCCAACCACAACGGGCTTTCCAGAGGCATCATGTCTTGGTTCCCAGCCGTCTCCTTAGCTTCTTCGCCGTTTTTCTGTTTAGTGGGAGTTTCCGAATTTTTCGGCCACTAAGAGTGAGTCAAACTTTTGGGGGATCTGAAAACGGACAGCCCAGAGGCGTTTTTTTTTGGGGGGGGACCTGTGCCGAATCATTCAGTGCCCACTTTTGAAGCGATGGGAGCACGCCGAGGCGAACTTCCCAACAGAGCCAGCGCCCCAGAACCCGAGTCATCTCATCCGCCCCTGTCAGTGTTGTTTTGCTCACTGGGGCGTGGCTCGAAATTTAAGCGCTGGGGTTCCGCAGGTATTTGTCTTTGTTTTTCCATTTGAACTCCCACTTTCCCAGGGGGCCATTTTGGGTACGCTTTTTTTTGAGCCACAGCCACTTGTCCAAAGCGAATCGACCTTTTTCGACCTTTTGGTTTTTGCACTTTGGCCCATTCTTAGTCATGGCCCCAAAAGGTGAACCTTTTATTTCCAGGTCCTTTGGGCAACTGAGCTTGATTTCACTGTCAAAAGACGGTTGTTTCTCAAAAAGATGAGGCCCCTTCTTGGATTGTTTGACGAGCCAAGCTTGGCTCTCCACAGGTGCTCACTTTGTGTTGTAGTTGTTTTGCTTGTGCCACGACTTGTTTGATCTCTCGATGTTAGGACAAGTGGAGTTGCTTGGCATCCTTCTAGGGGTACCTTCCCCATACTTTCCAGGAATCCTTCTTTCTTGAAAACCTTCACAATCCCAGGAAAATGGCTGGCTTTTGAAAAGAAGGATGGTTGAACAGAATGGGACATCAACCCCTAGAATCCTTTTGTTTGTCCTGCTAGACCATCCTTTGGAGGGAACGCTCGGAGGGATCCGGGATTTCTCGGCGGGTTCGGTGTCGAAGGAACTCTGCCGGAGTTTGTTTTGCAGAAGGGCTTTCGAGAGCCCCAATGTCGGGCTTCCCTTGGGGCTCAAATGGTATGTGCCAGCCGTACTTTTGGGAACTGTGCCAAGTGTTTGGTGCAGATTTGATCTGTTCATTAAGAATCCATGTGCCCAGACTCGCTTTGGAAGAAGGTTCTGCGGCACCAAGCGATACTTGTCGGGATTCAAATGGGATTTGGGTTTGTGTTCTGTTTGAGAGCGCCCTTTAAAGGTGAGATTTCAATAGGTCAGCTACCATTTTGGGGGCCCCTCCATGTTTTGCAGATATTGGCGGTTTTTTGGGGGGTGCCCCCTTTTGTTTGGTTTGAAACGTCAGCAGGAAAACCGTTGCCCCAACTTTTGGGGATCTCATTGCCAAAGCCACATATGTATTGAGTCCCCAATTTGTTTGAAGACAACCAACGGGAAAATTGTGGCGCCTTTTTTTGGGGGTCCGACAAAAGACAAATATTTGGTCCCGGTTTGAAGACAGCTTGTATGGTCTGGGAGGTATCGCTCAATCGCTAGTAACCCTGCTTGTAACCCACCAAATCAATAGTTGTAAGTCCAACCTGTAACCAGGGCAAAGAGAATCGCCACTGAGCGATTCAACTCAAGGGAATCCCTTCCTCATTCCCAGCACCCTGGGTGATTCCCTACGGAGAGCAAGAAAACGGCGGACAACATAGGTGTCCTTTTTGGTTGTTTTTGCTCAAAACATAGACGGCCCTGCTTTACCTGGTGGTTCAATCATCTACCAGGGAAATCCATCTATTTTCCCAAAAGGACACCTATGGACAACCCCATCTTCTTTTCAAAAACCGATCGCTGTTTCTCCAGGGTTTTTGGTGGTGTTCTGGAAAGATTCGGATCCCTGGGTTAAGAATGGACATGGAAGCTACCCCTGGCTCATGGCGGGCGAGCGCCGAGCGCGCGCAAAGCGCTTCGCCAGGCTTTGGTTCACCCAAAACTTCTACCGGGGCGGGGAGAAGACGCGGCTGCGCTGGCCCGTGGCAGTCCTCGAGTGGATGCCGGCGCGAATCCGATCGATGGCCGAGTCGCCGAAGGGGCGGGGAGGGGCGTTTTTTTTTTTTGGTCGGGCGTTGGGGAATCCAACATTTGGTGGCCACAAAGGGAAGGGTTCCTGCGGTTTCTGGCCCCGAAGAAACTCAGACAAAATGGAATTCGCCAACCAGAATTTGGGGGCCACAACCCATTTATCAGGGGGCTGTTGAGGGGCGTTTTTCAGGGGTTTGGAGGCTTCGGTGACGAAGAAGCAATGTTCAACACTTTCCATTTGCGAGTCGGCTTCTGCCGAATCACTCATACTGTCTAGCATTTGGCCATCATGCCAGCGGCAAGTTTTCAATGGGACTTCAGGACTCATTGTCCAATTTTTCATCACGATCTCACCGATTCGGGGATACTTCACAAGCTTGCCATGACTCGCATGTCCTTTGCCTTGCGAATGTTCTTGAGATTCCCTTATTGGCTTTTGGAGTTCCATCTCAAATGCTGGGCCCCCAGGTCTCAGTTGTTCAGTGGCTCCCTTTTTCCTTTTTTTTGGTGGCTGCCCCACTAAAATGGTCTTGCCAAAAAAGGTTTCCCTTTTTTTCCTAGGGTCACTGAACAACTGAGAGGTTGTTTGCCTACCACATCCAAGAGGTGTTCCGGCTTTTTGGGTGGGGCATATCCTTGTAAACTTAATGGGGGATCTGCCGCTTTCGAGGTGGTTTCCTGTAAGTGGTTTTCCATGTCGTATCCATCTGGCGCAAGCCATTTGCAGATCGCGGGCTGCAGAGCAGACATGTGAAAGGTGATCTCTGGAAAGAGGTGTTTTTTTTTTTGTCGCTGCGATCTTGGCATGATGACAATAATGTTAACCCCGGATTAAAAAAACCCTGGTTGATTAATAAGGGGGCTTTTGCAGGGAACACCCCCTAATAATGGGACGGGCTTATTTCTCCTGGGTCAACATTAGTAAAATTAGGGGCCCGGGCGCTTGGCACAGACCCAGATAGTCCAGAGGATTCACGGAGGAAACTTACGACAAACCTTGTGGTGGATAGTAGATTTGGTGTTTGCCGTGATTCCCATCCTGAACGAATGGGAGTTTCCCAAAATGGTGGGCACCTGGTTTCTTAGTATTGAAAGGGAAACTAACAGGAAACCAACTTTTTTAGGGGAGCCCTATTTGGGAATTGGGGGGCAGCCCCCCCGCACTAATAGTCGTAAAACGCCACCGCCTCGTATTGTCATACCAAAAAACACACAATCATATTTGAGCTTACTGACTAGCCAGAGGTTCTCAGAAACACCCGTACTAGTGATTCTATTTCTTTCCTCTTCGCGCAAGGCGGAGTCCGGTTCTCAGAGCAAGTGGGAGGGACGGCCGATGGATCCCGCCCGAAGCAGCGAAGCATGCAGCACCCGTCAAGCGGTGCATCTTTTGAAAAAAGTACTCAGTTGCCCCAAGCGAACCTTTTGACCTTCTGGATTTCCCGTGTCTTCCATTATTAGGAATATGTGTTTTTCCCTGCTGGTTTTAAAGGGAATCTATAACTACTGGAAATATGTTTTTTCCTGTGGCCTTAAGCAAATGGAAGATGTTGGTCCAGTCTTAATGAAGGTGCCAAAAGGTTGACTAGGTCCCCCAGCTAGGTGCCCTTTCTCACCCTTTTTTTGGGGGAGGGTTCCGCTACTAAAATAGACAAAAACGAGAAAAAGAAGAATAACAAACCGACGGGTACCCTTCTGCTCTCCTCTCAAATCTAAAGGACCTACACAAGATAATAGGCCAACTTGGGTATGGGTCAAAATTAAACCACCAGACCTCAGGTTTTGGTCCATGTTTCCACTTACTAGGGCAAGCCATTTGGGGTACCTGAGGCCACGATTTGAAGGTTTGAGCTGCCTCCAATAGGAATATGTTTATTTTCCCGACAGTTGGTTTTAAAAGGAATTTATCATTACTGGAAATATATACAGTTTTCCTGGGGCCTTAAAATGGAAGATTGCCCCGTGCACCAAAATGGCACACCGCTACGAGGCGTGGTGACCGCACAGAGAAGGTCCTGTGACCTCTCGTTGGAAATCTGGTTTTGGAACCCTGATGTCAGGCAGACAGTCTGAACAAACGTGTGCGTTAGGTATACAGGCGAAACACATGTTTGGGGGACCGCAGGTTGAGACAACCCTACTTTGGTGCTTGGATGTTAGGACTTTCACTTTTTGCCAACTAATGATGGGTTTTCCATTAAGCCACTAAACGTTAAACTCTTAGCAGGGGAGCCGATTTCGCAACCGAGCCTATGTGTTGTTTCTGTGGTAGATGGTAGGGCAAGAACGCTGAAGGCCGCGGACCCCGAGAAATCCAACCCAGATCATCTGAAAGACGGGAACTGGACACCCTGGGGCCTTCGAAGCGACTTCCCTGAACCTGAGTGGAGTCTGACATCTTGACTAGGTCCCCCAGTAGTGCCCTTTCACCCACTTTTTTGGGGGAAGGTTCCCCTACTAAAATAGACGACAGAAAAAGAAGGGTACCCTTATTCTAACCTAGTTGATAATCAAGGGTGGCTGCGCACCAGGAAGACTTAAGGTCAGCGGCACTTGGGTGATAAGCCCCTTAAGGCGTTTCAGCTTGCGCCTGGGGTCGCAAGCAGGCGTTCACTGCTCGTTCTTGGCGAGTTTCACATGGAACCAGCTACCAATGAACAGGTACATGTTTGTGGCATGTACCGCATGGGCACGCAGCTAACACCCCTGATATGGATCTACCAGCTTGCGTTTCAATACAACACGTCGATGCGTTATCCACTTCCTGGAGAGGGGGCGTTTGCCTACTTAGATGGTCTGGGGGTTAGCTGCATGGTTAGTAACCCTAGTTGTAACCCACTTACAATGGTTGCAAGTCCCCTTTAACAGCAGGAAATATGCTCTTCCGACGTTCTGCGATTGCTCAGGCGAGATCCGGAGCCGCATGGTGGTAGCTTGGCCGCAAGAGGGGTGCAAAAGCGGACAGGACATTTGGCCATGAGTTTCAATAGGGAACCACCTCCAAAGTGGTTGGCATATGCTGCATATGTACACGTGCATATACATATGTATATATATATATAGGTTAGGGGCCCTGTAAGGGTACATGTTTGTGCATTTAGCACATAGGCACGTAGCTAACACCCCGGATATGGATCTACCAGCTTGCGTTTCAATACAACACGCCAATGCGTAATCCGCTTTCTGGAGAGAGAGTGTTTGCCCTGGTAGGATCATCGATGCGAGCTGACTGGAGCCCCCATCATACAAGTTCCGTTGGGATTTATCATGTCTGAATTGCAACTTGTGGCGACCCAGTTACCCATATATCCACTTGGAAAAGTCCCCAAACCGCAATTTCCTTGTTAGGATTCCACTGCGATATACCTACCTGTAGTCTCCATGACCCTTAAACAATGGGGTCATTACTCAAAATTAAGGGGTCAAAACCCAATTTTCTAAAGGGTCATGGAGACTACAGGTAGTCTTCTGCAAGTTAGCAAGGGTATGTCAAAATCGAGTTGGACTCCTCTATGGGTGAGCTGCTGTGTGTTTCAGTCCTGAAGCCCACGTGAAAAGGGCACCCTTGACAACACACACACGGACCCATTTTGCAATTTGACGAACTTGTGCCACGTTGCTGGTTGCTCCTTTCTTAGTACATTTCCAGGGCTTGAGGCTTTGAAGATCATGTTTCGCTTCCATTTGCTTAAGAATGTGTCTTAATTTCTCTGTTGGTCTTGAAGGCAATCTATCACTGCTGGAAGTATGTTGATCTTTGCCAGTGGACGCGAGCGCAAATGGGACGTGCTCCGTGGCGAACAAATGGGTTTTTGACTTTGGACGGACCACCCAGGGAGTGAGTGCAAGGCCGCGAGCACCGGCATGGCAACTTTTTGGCAAAGTCGCGAAGAAAGGACACGAAGGGCGCCAAGGCGCTTGTCAGGTGCCTTTCAAAGTGAATATATTTGTTTGTGTGTCTCTTCTTTTTTTTGCGCGCCCTTTTTGGGTTGGTTTAAAAGGAAAGCCAAAAGGAAACCAACCCCTTCTGGTTTGGGGGTCCCCTTATTTTGAAACAAACCCACTTTTCATTGTCTTAGGGGGAAATCCACAAATGCCAGCCTGCCGTTTCCCCCGCTTAATTGTACACCCATTGGCTCATTCCGGAAAAGGAGGGCCCTCTACAAATGCTCGCTCCCGGAGTTCCTGGACTTGAGTCACTTTTTGGGTCTAGACCATTTTAGTGGGTAGATACAAAAAAAGAAAGGTTCCGTTTGTTTGGGTTTTATTTTGTCCAATCCACGCAGGAAGTTTGAATGACGAGTTTTTGGTTTGGCTCCATGCAAATCCGGGCTTGGGTCAGCGTCGCCGGATTTCCTTGAAAGCATCGCGGAAGCGAGGTAGAGTGGTCCAGGAGAAAAGCCCGGGGCTGAGTGGCTGACGGGCAGGGTGGTCTCACTTTCCCAGTGCTATGATCAGTTGATCAACAGTTGCGTTGAATGATGGTCTTCGATTATCACTCGTTTCTTCAAGTATTTTAAGTTCTGCCAGGTGGCGGTAGTTTCCCTCGTGGAGTCCCACGCAATACGGATTAGGATAACTTGCAATTCGATCAACCCAGTAGGACCATTTTGCATGTCACTTTCAACTATGTTTTGACTTTCCATTTGCTGTTCGCTTTCACTGTGAGTTGAAACAACCGGAGTCTGATTTTTTGGGTGGTGGATCCAACCAAGAAAGCGTAAATGAGCTGATTGTCAAGTGGGTCCTCTACATTCACGCTGGTGCAGGCCCCGACACGACGCGGAACTATGCCGAGGGCCAATGAGTGTATTTAAATATCAGGAACCCCCACGAACATGCTTGCTTCCCTTCAAAACCACGCATTCGCTTCGCCACATCACTGGTTGGCAAAACGAAGGACCATGGAAATATGAGCGAGCCAAGAAATAAACTAATCAGCTACCGAACACAAACAACCAGCCCAATCAGCCAACCAAGCACTAGGCGGCTGGACAACCTGCAATTTTCATTGGTGATCAATTGGTTCTACTGCGACCCAGTTGGTTAAAATTTGGATCATAGCAAAACGTGTATTAACATACGTGTCCTTTTAAGGTTGGTTGTGTTGGAGATGGCCCTGGTTGACCTGGTTGTTCCATATTATCCGTTTGGGCCATCCATGTTCCTTGTTTAAACAGGTCAATTGTGTTAGACAGGTTAGTTGTGTCGGGCACGCTGGTTGACCAGGTTAGTTATGTTAGACAGGGTCTTCTTTTAGGCCATACATGTATGGTTCCGGTCGGCGAGCGGCCACCCCCCCCCCCCCGCAAATCCCCCCCCACCACGGCCTGGACCCTAAACCCTAAACCCTAAACCCTAAACCCTATTTAAGGCTACCATGACCATGGGGCGGGGGGTGCCAGACCACTACCATGTATACGCCTTGGTATTGGTAAAACCCGCGGCGCTCAGAGGACGCCACACTCTTCCAACGGACGGCGGACCAGTTTCGCAGGCGGCGGGAGCTCGCCCTCACGTCGCACGCGGCTGACGCTGGCCTGGGCCCCGGGGCTTTTTGATGGGGTGCTTGGATGCTTTTGGACTGAGCTCAATGGCTGGCTTCTTTGGTTACAGGGGACTTACAACCATTGTAAGTGGGTTACAACCACAGTTACTACAGCCATTTGGGCTCTGAGTGCATACAAACAGCTGACAAACAACCATAAGTGGGTTACAACCCCAGAGGGTTGCTTGGTACCTTCGGAGGTACGGAAGGACCCGTTTTTTTTACCCCCCCTTTTAAGCCATCCTCATGAGGTACCGTCCGGGACCCTCTGGGCACCAGGGTTACCAGAGCCCAAATTGGCGAGTGCAGCACTCCGAAGCGCTTTGTTGCGGCAGACTGGAAGCTCTTGCGGCTCTTCCGAAAGCTAAAGGCCGACGAGATAGCGTGGACATGCCTACAAATTTGAACCCTAAGCTGCCCCAACTGGTAAGGCAGCAAAAGAACGGGCCATTTGGGGATCCAGGTATGTCAAGCTTCCATTTGCTTAAGACTAGGTGTTTCCCTTGTTGGGTTTAAATAAGGAATTCAACACTACTGGAAATATGTCTTTATTTTTTCCTGGGCCTCCACCAACTGGAAGAATGGCGTGGCACTCTTCATCTTGGGTTTTACAGGATGGTTGTGGTCGTGACTGTTTGGGACCAAACTGAGAGCCTGGGTCACATCAGAGACTCTGGCTTGCAAGCAGAGTTCCTGATTTGCAAGTTCCCATTTCTGCTTCTTCTAGAACAAATCCCTGATATGGTTGCTTCCCCAGAGTTCGCTCCCGTGTTTGTTTGTTTCTTTTGCTTTTTTGGGGTTCCCTTTGTTTTCCACTAACCAGGCAAAACATATGTTTTTGCTGGGGTCCTAATTCCAGCCAAGATGGTTCGGCACATTGAACCGCAAGGAGAGTATTGAAGGCAAAGCTTAAACACACGATGCAACTTTCTGGCTTTCCTTCCCCAGATTTCCGTTGGCCTGCAAGGAATGACAACTATGGGAACCGGCCTTTAGAGGAACATGGCTGGTCGCCGGCGAAAGGTGGTATCTGGGATCCACGTCAGGGACGAGCTAGTGAGACCACTTCGGAAAGCTAGCAAACACGCAAATGATTGGTTTCCTGCCAGTTGCCCTTCAAATGGACACCGACATGGGTACCTGGACCCTCAAAGAACCCTTTTAAATTGGATATCGCCCCAAACCTATGTGGTGAATTCACTTGTCTTAAAGGGCAGTTTGAGGGTCCAGGTAGCCCTCAACCAAAAAGACACCCTTCAAGGGATGCGCTTTCGCAGGCCTTGGAGTTGCAGGGCCTTCTGGGCAAGGCACCGTGGACGGACGGAGCGGCTTCGCACTATCTGGCTGAGACCCGGGGAATGTGACAAACAAACTACCTGGATCTTCCAAATCATGGAAATTGCACGTAAAATCCGGAAACATGGAAATATCCGGGAGAACGGAAAAAAAAACAGAGAAGTAACCCGGAGACGGAGAACCCAGGTTTCCACTGGTTAAAATTTGGGCTCTTCAATGGCAATCCATAGGCGATCCTTCCTCCCTGGGTTACGAACGTGTTTGCCTCTAAACGACTGTATCCAAGGGTTTGGTGACAGGAAAGTCTGCAGGACATGACCCCAACACACCGTAAATCAGACGTTTTCCCCGTAGAACGTCCTGCCTAGATAGCCAAGTTGCTGCTTTGTTCCGTCACTGTTGTTGTTGTTTTTGGGTAAAGTGGATGGCAAAAGCAGCAACTGGCGATCCAGGCGTAATTTTTCAACCCTTTGATGCAAATTGCATTTCTTCCTTCACCACACTTCCGAAGCGGCTGCACCTGCGACCGTGCAGACGAATGCAGTCGATAGGGGTTTGGTTCCAAAATCCCGATGACACATTTCCGTGCAACAGGAGTGTCATGTCGGGGGGGAGCGAGGCAAATCAATACCCAGAAATTCCCTTATTGCCCTTTGAGCATGTCTTTTTTTTTGGGGGGGATCAAAAGGGGTAGGTGGAGGGACGCGTCCCGGGGCCTCCAAAATTGTTTTACATACAGTTTGGGTTCGGCCAAATACAGGTGGCTCGTCTTTTTCAGGAATCGGACACCCCAAACTTTCCTAGTTGGTTGCCATCCGTATGAAGTAGAATCAGTTTGAAACTTTTTGTGGACCGAGTTGGGCCAAGCTTTCGGCAAACAGATGCACATGTGGAAGGGACGCTCGTTCCGGTGCAGAGATTCCTAACGGAGGAAAAGGGTTTGTTTTGTTTTTGGAGTTGGTTCCCTTCTTGGCTAAACTTGACACCAAAAGCACATCAACCTTTTTGGAAGGTGCGATTCCAAACAAGAACCACCCAAAAGGGGGGCATCTGTCATTAGGATTCGGGACCGTGCCATGACCAAGTCCTCGCAACTTGGGCCGGGCGGGGGGCCGGTTTGTGCCAGGCCAGCATTTGTGCGCGTGAAGTGAAGGCTGGGAGCTGCAAAATGGCACCCTGAGGCTACCTTTGTTGGGTTGGTTTAAAGAGAAATCACGGGAAACCAACCGGAAAGTCTATCCACTGGTTGCGCCATTTCATGCCAAATCAGAAACCTTGTAAGGGGGCAGAGTCCAAGCTGGTCATGCTCCAATGCCCCAAGAGCGCGTGCGTTCGACTGAGCAGCAGGCGAGTGTTCGATGGCATCCAGAAGTTGCACACGTGATGGTGTCGACTCGTCGGATGATTACAGGGTGTTGTTTTTCCCAAGGTGAGCATTTGCCTTTAAGATGGGACACCGCCCTATGGCTATAGTCTATAGTCAAACTGAAATGGCATAGTCTAAACTGAAATGGCCTTGAAGATTCATCCTGAAATGGCATTGGCTATAGTCAAACTGTTCGGCCACGAGCAATTTGATGTGCCATGTTCAACAAATGTTGATGTTTCTTTGCAAGCCGTCCTCCTGACGGTTTAACTTGCAAGACCTTCATGGGCACAACCACGTGGTGGTTGAAAAGCATATGTCCCCTTCACCCCACAAATGAATCAGATGACCAATAAATTGCATGTAGCAGAGTATCAAGTTGCGAGTACAAGCATGCCCAGGTGAAAGTCATACTGAAGCTGGTCGCACCTCTCATCCGTTTGTGATGCTTGATAGTTCGAGTTGGCTAGCGGTTGATCTATTCCTTTTCAAGTCAGCACAATCAACGTGCTTTTTCACACAAATAGTGGTTGAACATCATGAACTGGAGGTCGTGCACTAATCAAAAGACGGCACAGAGACGCCTTTGCAGGGCCACAGCTGGCTTAGATGAAGCCTGATGTCCAGGAATGTGCCGCGCACCTTTGTTTAGAGATGCTTAAAAACCAGTGTTGTTGTTTGCATCCTGATCTAGGTTTGTTGTTAATTAAACATGAAGTTGGCCAAAGTCAAAAATGTTTTGTTTGAGTCGCAGTGTTTCAACTGCCTAAGCTGGGTCAACGGTTGGTGACATTTTACGTCTTTGCCCTTCTGAGTAAAACATTGGAAATATTTCTGATCCTCGGCTTGGGGTTGAACATTGCCCACGTTGGCTTGCTGCAAGATTGGGGGGATTCCTCATGTGGTTGATTTCCCTGACTTGGTCTTTCAAACCAACTCCAACAAGGGAATTCTCAAAGAACAAACATCCAACAAACATGAGGGGCCCTTGTGTCTGTCTGTGGATGGATTCAAAGGGAAGCCAAAAGGACACCAACCAGGGGTGCCTGTCTTTTGTTGGGGGAGCCCCCCAAATGGCTGGGTTTTCCTTTTCGTCCTCCTAAAACACTTGCTCCAAACCCGGGTAGATGAAGGTTAGCAAGGGACAATCCCAACCATAAATAGCTGCGGACATCCGCCTTCTTAACTCTTGAAGCATGGTTCTGGGATTACGACCTTTTTAATACCGGGTTTTGATTGTGACCACCTGGAGGACTGCGGACTGAGAAACGCTCCCTGCTCGGTCAGGCGCTGCTGGCCTCCCTTGGGGTTCCCAATGCCAAGTACGCAGCCCCAGGGCCGGGCCGGAGGCGGTTTTTCGGTTTATCTCGGTGCGAAGCATTTCGGGCTGGCGGTTGAAAGGCAAGGGTCGATACCTTTGTGGGGTCACCCAAAAAAATGGCCCTCCAAATTACCCGTAAACTGTGTTTTGTTTGCCATAAGAATGTGGGGTGAGGTCCTTTTTTTATTGGTAGTTTGGGGGTCCAGGAAGATTTTGTGTTTCCTGAGTCCGGAACATCGGTTCCCTTCAAACCGCGAGTCGCGTATTGGACGGCCATGTCATGTTGGCTTAGCACCATCGAGACAGCGAATTGAAAGGGCAGTCGGATTGTCATGACCCCTTATTAATCAACCCCAGTTTATTAACATGGGAGAGTTCCCCTCCAAAAGTGGTCTGATTCCACACTAAACCCAGGGACACCCTATTGCGGGGTCAACATTACGGCTTCGTTGAGGGAGATCATGCCCAGAAGAGGACAGGGAGCACTGGCAATCATGAGTTGCTGATTTGCATAGGGCAGGAACCGCAACCCAATAAAACCTAATTTACTTGGCTCAAGTACCAAGGATACCCAATCCACGGCCATATTTGAAGTTACTGGAGCCTTCCGTTGCACGGGCCATTGCTACTCAGGCATTGTTTCGCCCCTTTTTTTGCACCTCCTACAGCCTATGGAGCTGAAAGCACTGCCGCATGATACCCCCCCACCTTTTTTGAGAAAGTGACTCCTTCCCTGGGAAGCCTTCGGTTTTTGCAAGCCACTTGGTTTAATCACTGGGAGTTAAAACCATGACTCAACATGACTCAACATGAAGCAACGTAGCAACCAGAGCGGGGATCCTTAAAACGGGCCAAGGTTCAAAGGGGGGAGATTTAGTAGCCAAAGATATATAACGATCCTGTGCAATATGACCTTTGCTGCGTTTTGCTTGGATGTTAGGACTTTAACTTTTTGCCAACTAATGGGTTTTCCGTATTAAACCAGTAAAAGTTAGTCACTTTTAGCAGGGGAACAGATTTCGCAGCCGAGTGACTGTGGCACATCTGCCTTTGTTTTGTCCAAGTGCCCGCATTTAGGCCACATGAGGTGGACACGGTCCTGGAAGCCATCGTTGCCGGGCACCCAACGCTGGCTTGCGCGACATTGAGTGGCAGGCACGTTTTCAGGGAAACCCACTAGGGATACAGGGGGAACTTCCTGAGTTCATGAACTTTAAACTTTTTGGGTCTGGACCATTTTAGTGGTAAATAAAAAGTTCACACTTTTTTTTGGCCAACCCACTCGGGAGGATTCCCCCGTTTGATGCACCTTGACGTTTGACATGGGCAATGGCGCCAAGGGAATCCTCCCATATCGGGACCCGCTCCCTCCGTATCCCCGCGGAAGTTCGTTTGTCCATTGGTGGGGGTGGGGGTCCATTTCAGGCGGATGTTGCTCCAAAATGGAGGGCCCGGTTTTCAACCTAAAGAAAGCTCGAAAGACCCATCGATTTCCCGACAGCAATGGCTGTGGCTCAAAAAAACGGAATTCCAAAATAGAACCTTGGAAAGTGGAAACATGGACCACAACCTGCGTGACCCCTCCTGTTTAATGTTGAGCCACACCCCTATGAGGGCCTGTGTTGCACATTCCCATCGTTTGGTCCATGTTGCTCGGAGTTCCAGGTCGGTTCGCTTTGAGAGCCTGCGCGTCTGAGGAGCAAGCAGCGGATGACGCCTGTCACTACGATTGTGATGATGCTCAGCTGTATGGGCGTGAAAGTCTTAGCGATTTCATGGGGCTCTCATCATCGGTGTCCTTTTTGGTTGTTTTGCTAGAAAATTGGATGGCCCTGGTTTACCTGGTGGTTGAATCATCCACCAGGGCCATCTATTTCCCCTAAAAGGACACCTATGGCTCTCATGTTTTGCTGAAACCCAGGGGTGGTTCAGAAACAACTTGGTTCAACTATGGAGACCAAACATGGAACTGACATGCCCCGGTTGCACTCCTGATCGTGGCTTGCAGGTGTTTAGCAGCAACATATTTTTCACCAGAAAAAACATCTCTACCTAGAGTCTCCATGACCCTTTAAACATGGGGTCATTACCCTACATAATGGGGTCATGGACCATTTTTTTTTGGGGGTCATGGAGACAGGTAGTTTCAACTGGAAAGTGAACATGGCGCTTTGGTGTGAAACTAAGTCCCTGCAGGGACCTTTTCTAGGCTTTCCTAGTAGTGCCTTTTCTCACCAACTGTTTTTGGGGGAGGGTTCCCCTACTGAAGCAGACTACAGAAAAAAGGGTACCCGTATTCTAACCTCTCTGCTGGAGGAACCAGCACCTACAAAGGTCCTAAAGCCCGTTTGCTCGCTCGGCCGGAGGGATCAGTGGGCGTGAGGGTCGGAACTAACAAGGCACCTCTCTTTTCTAGCTGGGTATGCCTTTTGAGACGTGCGGAAGTTGGCATGGGAAACCCATCTTTTTGGTTGGTATTCTCAGGGGAATCGCTTCATTCCAGATCTGAACGCTGGTGCGAAATGGATTCGTCCCTCGTCCCCTGTCTGCATTTCGGGCTCCAAGCTCAACATGGTTTCTGAAAACCAATGTCCAGGGGTGCTTGTACATACCCCTTCTACATACCCCTTGGGCAAATGAACCCCTGAGAGGCCTGCCGATGTTCATAGCCCTCTCACCAAAAGGTTTATATGGCTGTGAGTCAATACCAACGGTATCATTTTGGGGTGGGTGCACCACTCATCTAGTCTACTTTAGTGGGGATTGGGATGTTCACTGGGGGTACGGATTTTTGACCCACAGCCATATACCCCTTATTAAAGTGGGCAAACCAGGGAAGCCAAGGGGCAGAGAAGCCAAGGGGGATGAACAAGGGGTATTTGTTTCCACCCTTAGACCATGGTTTCGATCGCTGATCAATTCTGAAAACATCCAAGGGTGTGCTTCCATGAAAGAGACCTTCGAGTGAGTTGGGGTTCGGTCGTCCCCCAGTAGTGACCCCAGTAGTGACCTGTTACCCTCTTTGGGGGGAGGGTTCCCCTACTAAAATAGGCTACAGAAAAAAGGGTACCCTTATTCTAACCTCTCTACTGGAGGACCTAGTTGTTGTCCTTTTGTTGGTCCCAAGACAAATATGTAAGGTGGGTCTTTGGTCAAATAAGGTGGAGGCTGTGGCTTCGGCAGGATGGTTTCGACTTCACCCCAGATCCGAGGTGTTTTTGTGAGGTGCCAGCCAGAATCCGGAAATTCTTTTCACGAATCCCTGGCAATCCAGATACCCTCCCACAGAGGTGCCATGGCAACGTGGGAAGGGTAGAAATCCAGGTTTGAGTGCGTGCCCTGCAGCCTTTCAGGACTATCCTTGCAGAACCAAAAAGCACAGCGCAAGCAAAAACAAGTGCTGCCCTTCTTGGTCATTCCCGCAAGGCTCTCCCAAATTTGTGTGGGGTCGAAGTGAATCCTTTGCGCGCTGTAGCCATGTTGGTGGCAACGTGTTGGCACTCACTCAAATGACATGTGAGGGGATCCTAGTGAAGTCCAGGGGCACAAAGTTGCGGCCAGTGGTCCAAACTTTAAAACCCGCAGCCGGACTTTTGGCAAAAGAGGGCCCCAGGAAGGCTTCAGACCTTTGGTCCTTGGCCTTTTTGCAAAAACTGTTGGTTTGGGGCCCGGTTGGATTGGGATTTGAACCGGCTTCCCCGGAAAAAAATATTAAAATATCCCACTGGGGAGCTGATTTGTGGTCCCGGACGCTTGGGGATCATAGGTGTGTTGTTTGGTTGTCTTGCTCGAAAAATAGGTGGTGATGCCTGGTTGAAACCTGGTGGTTGAATCAGCTACCAGGGAAATCCATCTATGTCCCCTAAAATTTGACACCTATGCTTGGGGCTTGGGGCCAAAAAAAGCCAAGGACTACGATCAGCATAGCCCTTCGAACACCCCCACCAGTGCTACCCGGATGCTGCCGGGAGCCTCAGCTTCACCTTCGAGAAGGCCCCTTAGGTTCTCGAAAACCACCGGGCTCTTCGACTTCACTGTGCTTGGCATGTTTTTGTTTGTTTGTTAGTTTTTTGGTTCTCTTGATTTTTACTGGGGGTTTGCAAAAAGGAAAGTGTTTTGCTACCATACCAAGAGTAGAGATATCGAGGGAAAACCCGGCTTATGAAAAGCGCACAAACCTACGGGTGTTATGGATTTTGTACGGTTTTGTATGGTTGTTGTACTGGGAAAAGAAACAGGTTTTGGTTGGAAAACCGTGTTTTTGGTGGGCAGCAGGCTCAAAACCAGCTTTTCTGCTTGCATCCCTTATTTTAGCGGTTCTTGGAGTGGAGGGGCTGCAGACGTCGGATCAAAAACGCCAAGGGCGACGTGCGCGAAATGCGATCCCTATCAGATTGCCGGGTTCTTGTGGCCCGGCAACAGTGACCACAATCAAAACTACGCAAAAAGCACGATCAAAACAGCAGGGAGACCTTCAAAGATTGCCTTGCCGCTTTAGATATTTCGACGCCCTCAAAAAGGGAATCCTGACGGGGTACTTGGACCCTTTGGGCTTGTGGTGGGGTCAAACCCTACAGTTTTCTTCTATTTTGCGGTGGACTAAATGTGAAAGAAGCTGAAGGAAAGTCCTTTTGGTGCACCCCAGAGGTGAGGCCAAGGCACATCCGAGCTAGGTTGCTTCTCGAATTGCAGAGGGTCGGACTTCTAAAGAGCCTAATGCTCTTGAGCCCGGGCCTTAACGGCTTAGCCGACTGTTCACCGCATGAGGCGAATGAGTGTGGGGGTGGTGTTCAGGGTACCATGTGTGGAGAGGTAGGGTACTGAAGGGAAATCAAAAGGACACCACCAGGTTTAGAGCCTCACCAAATTTGAGACATGCCCCCTACTCAAAAGACCCGCTGTTTTCAGGGTATTTTTTGGGAAAACCGATCGGTTTTCCATGGTAAATACCTCTTTTTTTAGTAGAGGGTCGACATGATACCCTGAAAAAAGATGGTATTTGGAGTAGGGGGTACACGATTCACATGTGTGACTGCTGAGGCGGAAAGCCTTATCTCCCACCACAGTGGCAGCTCGGCTGTCGCTTGAGCGGCGCAATTTTTCGGCCTGGTGCGTTTCGGGGGGACGAAATTCCTTCCGGACTGTGGATGGACGAAATTCCTTCGCACCACAAAGGGAAGGGTTGAAACCTTTCTTTGGTATTTTTGCCATGGAAATGGAATCATTCTAGGTTTTTTGGTTCCTTTTCTTGGTTTTTTGGTTTTTTGGTTTTTGGGTTTTTGGGTTTTTCTTTTTTGGTTTTTTTTTGGGGGTGCGCATTTCGTCCACAGTAGTGGGCCATTAAAGAAAGCCCGTCAAGCCTCATAAAGAAGACGGACCAGAGTGGAGACGTACCGCTATGGTTTGCTCTGCAAGCCTTGGCTCGAGAATGCAACGCCTCACCCATAGGGCAACTGGTCCCTTCTACTCCCAGGCAACATTTATTTGTAGCTGTCAGTGTCAGGGTTTAATCAGCCAAGTATCAATGGGTTGACGCCACTGCGGGCTTGTCGGGAATACGGGAATGAACCAATGCCAATGTATTCACTGTGTTTGAACTAGTTTGCACGTGCATGGGCTACTTGCCAATTGTGTTGAACAACTTGCTTGTGCTCAGTAGGGAATGACCCAGGGTGTTGGAAACGAAACTAGGGGTTCCCTTCAAGGAAACCAATGGGGATGGTATTTCTCGGGGTCACTCCCTCATTTTTTCTGAGCACCAGCAAGACAATATAGGGCTTTTGGGTCAGACCAGCCAGCCTTAAGCCCTACTGCGTGAAAAACTCCTTTGAGGCCAGGCATTGTCTTTGTTTCCTGTTCAGGGTGGGTATTTTTGCCACCTTTTGTGAGAGAATTGGCGACCCCCTCAAAAAGGAATCCTTCACTACGAGGGGGTCGATCAATTTTCCATAAAAGGTGGCAACCAACAAAAACTGTTCCTGTTGAACTGGCCCCTCATCAAGGGGAGCATGATGCAGACACAAGCAGCGAAATGGGCTGCCGCTATTCCACTCACTTCCTCCCATCCACTCAAACCTCCTGAGCTCCGTTTCTGACGTTCGTCATTCTTGGGTGTGGTTGCCATTTTTGTGCTACCTGGAGTCTCCATGACCCTTGAAAAATGGGGCATTACCCAAAATTATGGGGTCATTGACCCATTTCTCAAGGATCATGGAGACTCCAGGTAAAAAAAAACAGAAGCTCAGGTGATATCCCCAACAGCATGCAGTTCTGTTTTTAGTGCTCGCACCACCCCGCAGCCCTCGCAGAACCTCGTGCAACGCTGGCGGAACCCTGGTGGAACCCTGGTGGAACCCTGGTGGAATTCTGGTGGAACCCTTGGAACCTTACCACAGGGCCGCCCCGGACCAGCCCGGAGCCTATCTGGGCTCATCGACCCCAAAGGTTTCAGCTGGGGAAAAATGAGCTTGGCGACTTGTTTGGGCCAGCCACTGTAAGTGAGTCCAAGGGTGGGTGTGCTGGCACTGACTCTTTGCACGCTGCACGTCCCCGACCCGTTTGGCGCTCGAAACGCCTCGACTCCACTTTGGTGCAGGTTGCCAAGGGATGTTGGGACTTTAACTTTTTGCCAACTAATTGGTTTTCCATTAAACCACTAAAAGTTAAACTTTTAGCAGAGGAGCAGAAATCAACCGAGTCCAGATTCGAACTCGCGCATCCAAATGAAAAGGCATCGAGCTGATGAGTTTTGGCTTGCGACCCCGAGTCCCATGAAAGCTCTTGTTGTCTAGGTCCCCCAGCTAGGTGCCCTTACTCACCATTTTTTTGGGTTGGGAGGGTTTCCCTACTAAAATGGACTACAGAAAAAAGGGTACCCTTATTCCAACCTCTCTACTGGAGGACCTAGTTGTATTCTCCTGTGTTCCGTCGCGTTGAGCGTACTTGGCTAAAATCCGTTTGCACCACTTCGAAACTATGGTTGAAACCATTGTTCGTTGGTATTTACGGGGCATTCACCATTCCAGGGTTTCTTAGGTGGTGCAGGATTCTTTCCATCCACAGTAGGATTTAACTTGCAGTGAAGTTCAAGGGGTACCTATACTAGAATTGCTTATTTGATTCTGGTCGGTTGGTGAACAAAAGCAAATTTTGTGCCTTGGTTTGCGCGGGAGGGGGAGCCAGAAATGCAAACTACACTAGCACGACTGATCGACAAGGATGGTTCTGGCTCGGCGGAAGGTTGGTTGGATGGCCCGAAAGGTTGCAGGCGTGTGAATCACCAGATGCTAACCAGCAGCTTTGAAGTGGGCCCTTTTGGCAACCGCCATTTGTCCTCGTCATGTCTTCTTTCTCTCAGTCCCTGAGTTTCTGGAGATGATACTTTCTGGGTTTGTATCGGTTGCGTGGCACACAAACGGTCTGGACTTTGGAACAATCCTTCCGGGGGAGTACAAGGGCGCTTACTGGACTTTTAAAGGACCCATTCCTTTTCTCCGCCGCAGTGACCCACAAAGAAGTGACAAGTCGGCAAAAGGGGAACGGTTTTTTGGGGTCCAGGTGAATGTGTCTTTTTGTGAGGGCGCCCTTTTTGTTGTGGTATTAAAGGCAACAGAAAACCCACGACTTAGATGGTCTGGGAGGAATCGCTAAATGCTTAGTATCCCTGATTGTAACCTACGTATGGTCGGAAATCCGACCAGGTGGATGGTCCAGGTGGATGCATCTTTTTGTGAGGGTGCCCTATTTGTTGTGGATTTACAGGGAAGCCTCAAAAAGAAAACCACGTAACCCTGGTTGTAACCCACTTATGGTTCTAAGTCCCAGCTAGGGCAAAGCGAAATCGCCATTGAGCGATTCGACTGACCATCTAAGCAATATCAACCCCTGATTCTTACACCAGTCACCCCACTTGTAAGAGGGGCACTTTCTTTTTGTTGGTTGTAACCCTGGTTGTACCTAGACTCTCCATGACCCTTTCAAAATGGGTCCATGACAGTAATAACCCAATTTTCTAAAGGGTCATGGAGACTCCAGGTAGCCTATTTGTGGTGGTAAATCCAAAGGCGAGTCGCCATTGAGCGATGCCTCATTTTTCTTCAGGCAAAGGCGCTTCAGCGTTGCCATGCCGTCGAGGCGAGTTTGTCCTGTTCGGCCGACTTGCTCCGGAAGCGGACCCCGAAACGAACCGATGAAAAGAGATGGAATTCACCAAGGATTTTGGGTTGCTCTCCAAACCATTGATAAAGCGTTCAGCTTCAGCAAGAGCAAGGGTATCCTCGTTTCCAAGGTGAGGGTTCAAAGAATGGGCGTCCAGGCAATGCAAATCACCAATCAAGGGTAGCTTGAGGCCACCTCTTCTTGGTGAGTTGGCCTGAGCTTTCACCAAACTCCCTGGCACCCTTCATCTTGCTACCACTAGGTCCCCCAGCTAGGTGCCCTTTTACCGTTTCTTTTGTTGGGGGAGGCTTCCCCTAAAATCGACTGCAGAAAAAAAATACCACTACCCTTATTCTAGCCTCTCAGATCTGGAGGACCTAGACCAAGGTACGGCATCTGTTTTAAGGGGACCCAAAATGGGGAAGCTGAACCAGTCTCGGAGAAACAACAAAAAACACATCCATGGGCAAGAACAAAACCCGGCCCGGACGTCAAAGTCTCCGATGGAGTGGCCACTTCCCAAAATAAAGATAACAATAAAATACCATAACGATTAAACAACAAAAAAACATGTTGTCATTTTTGGCGCCTACAACCCCCCTGCTGTTTGTTTCTTTGTTTGTTTGTTTTTTTTGGGGGGGGAGACATAAATTCTTGGCCCATCTGACCCCTTGTGCAGAACAACCCCCCCCACCCCCATTTCCCAACCCACCCGCCCCCCCACCCGCCCCACCCCCGCCCCTCCCCCCCTGGAGGCGCAGCCGGGCCGCTTCTACGCGCTGCTCAGCTTGGGCGAGGCCGAGGGCCTCAGGGCCGGGGGCCTCAGTGAGGGATCGATCCACCCGGGAGGCGCCAGCCCGGAGGCGCCCAGAGCGAGCCGGAGGGCGGGGAAAACCAACATGTGGGACACCTTACGGCCTTACGGGAAGCTCACTTCCTGAGTTGGTGGACTTTAGAATTTTTGGGTCTGGACCATTTTAGTGGTAAATAAAAAGTTCAAACTCTTTTTGGCCAGTCAACTTGGGAAGTGAGGAAGAAGCGAGCCGGAGCCGGAGCCGGGCGGGGAAACCAAAATGTGGGAAGCCATGTATCAACTTAGTTTGGTTAGAAACATGGGGTTATAGCTTGCTTCACTGCTCTCGGCATGCATTTTTGTGGTGTTTGGTTTGGTTCGGCTCATTTTTGCTGGGGGCAAACAAAACAAGGTTTTCGCTACCATACCACGAGTAGAGATGTTTTGGGGTACTTAGATGGTCTGCCCTCCCACCCTTTTCACATGGAACCTGACCTTCGGGACCCAGTCCCTTCAAAAGGCCAATGGCCCAAACCAGGACTCCGTGTGAAAGCTGGGCTTAGGAGACATGTTTCTTACATCTTACCAGGGGCTCCAATGTGAAGCAGACAATCAATACAAAAAAAACTATGGGGTCCTAACTCCAGAGGTACTTAGATGGTCTGCGATAGAAACTGTTTGAAACTGTTCTTGTTGAACATGACCCTCGGGCAACTTGGCGTGTTGTTAACGTGCAATCAAGGCCGATGTGATACCACATTCGCTAGGTGCCAACAGTTCAAAGAGTTGAGGGGAGGCTCGTCATTACAAATCGTTAGATGACTCTTGGGATGATGCTCAAGGAAATCAAGAGGTTACATGGAGGTACTTACTTTTTTGCCAAGGAATGTTAAGACTTTAACTTTTTGCCAACTAATTAATGGGTTTCCGTATTAAGTCACTAAAGGTTAAACTTTGAGCAGGGGAGCAGAAAGCAACCGAGTGTAGATGGTCTTGGACGAATCGCTAAATGGCCTTGGCCCGGGTATTTTTTTCCTTTTTTTTTTTCCCCTCGTTGGTTTTAAAGGGGATTGCCCGTACTTAGTTGGGTTGCAGGAATTCGCTTTCCGAGTTCCGTGTCTGACTTGGAACTTTTTGGGTCCGGGCCACATGTTTGCACTAAATAGTTTGTGTGTTTTTGTTGTTTTTTTTTTTTTAATGACTGTTGTCGGGCCGGCGGCCATACACTCAGGAAGTGAAGATTTTTCCTGGGTACCCTGGTTGGCTTACACGAACACTAAAAGGACACATCTAGTGGAGGTACCCGTGACTGGCTTCCATTTGCGTTTCAGTTTTTCCCCCCCCAGCTGGCTTTAAGGGGAGTCGATGTCACTTCTGCACGTTGTTTTCTTATTTTTTCCGGGGGGCTTAAACAAATGGAAGCAGGGTACTGTAGTTGGCGATGTGTTTGAGGTCTCGACCATTTGAGTGGCAAACGAATTAGGTGAACACTTGCTCGCGGTGTTTTCTTGAGATTGGAGTCGCCCAAGAGCCTCCTCTTAGCTCCACAAAGCAAATGGGTGGACTGTTGGCTGAACTGGCCCTGGCCACCAAAGGGAGGTATCAGTTTGGGATGGTGCGATGGGTGTCGCTTGGTCCCCCCAGCGGTGCCGCTTTGTGGTGCTATGGGTTTAGCGCAGCTGCTGATGTCAGCAGCACAAATGCATCAAGCAAATCATGGAAATTCATATAGATTCAACATGACTCAAGTATCAACTTGGTCTTGGCATGGGGCTGGTGAACCAGAGGCGAACCACTCGCCCAATCCCAGAAGCGGTCACATGCAGAAGTCCTTGTCTTGATAGCTGTAAACTAAGTGACAACCAGACTCATTTCTGTGAGACCAACTCGACCAGGCTGGAGATTTCATGGAGGACAGACACAAGGGGAACAGAGTTGTTTCCACAGGGCTCCTTAAAAGATCTCCATTTTGCCACCATTTGACACATGTTGCTTTTTCAACACCAAAATAAATGGAAACTGAAGGTTAGTACGGGACACTCCCCTTGCCATAAATAGCTGCGGAGTTCCGCCTTCTTAATTCTTGAAGCATGGTTCTGGGATTACAACCATTTTAGTACCGGGTTGATAGATTTTGCCACCATTTGAAACATGGCTGGCTTTTTCAGCACCAACATAAATCTCCATTTTGCTGGCCCATTTGACACATGGCTGGCAATTTTTCCACACCCAAAGAAAGAAGGGAACCAGCTCCATTTACCAGTTGCAAGGTTCGATCGGTGTTTTTCCCAAGCATCCGGATTCCATTCCAAGCCGGTGGCTCTGGGCCCCCTTGAGGGGTAGAGAAACTCAGGCCATCATGCACCGGCGCAAGTTGCCGGGGCCTTACGGGAAGGAGCTGGAGCTGCCTGCTGGCTTGGGGGAGCTGCTGGTTCTGGTTGGGCCCTTGGATGTATCAACTTAGTTAGGTTAGAAACATGGGTTATGGCTTACCTCACTGTTCTTGGCATGTTGTTTGTTTGCTTTTTGTTGTTTGGTTCTGTTCATTTTTACTGGGGGTCTGCAAAAAACAAAGTTTTTCGCCACCATACCAAGAGTGGACATGCTTGGGAAGCTGAGGTTGGTGTCCTTATCATGGATAGAAGCCTACTTACTAAGTTGGTTGAACATCCAAGTTATACGGCTATGAATATGAATGTGGGTTACCCTCCCAAATGGTTGGTGGAAGTAAATCCCCATCTAAATGATGTCCACCAGAGGGCCCCCAATTAAAATTTACACCCACGTGAATAAAGTAACCGACCATTTCGCTGGGTTTCTCTATGTTGAGGCCCTTGTGGCCAAGCCTTGGTACGACCTTCGAGGATTTGGAGCTGTGGATCGTCAGCCCTCGTGGTTTCATCAGGTCACCAGCATTGACCTTTCAGCGCTCCTAAGCCTTGAGGATTTTTTGTTGGAAGGGGCGATGTAGTACTGGGCGTGGCCTACCTTGGGGTAACTATTTTTTTCCCCGCCCTTGTGACGCTTCAATAGGTTCGGTTGGCTCATGGTCTTGACTCATAGAAAGCGACAGGATTCAAATTTCAACAACCACGTGCTTCGGACATTGCGGCCAGAAGAACCAACCAGACAGCAACTGTTGTTGTTGAACATGACCGTCGGGCAACTTGGTGTGTTGCTAACGTGCAATCAAGGCCGTTCTGTTGTGATACCACATTCGTTAGGTTCGAACAGTTCAGAAGTTGAGGGGAGGCTAGTCTGGTTTGATGGGACTGATACAAGTCGTTAGATGACTCTTGGGATGATGCTCAACGAAATCAACAGGATACCGCTTAGCCCCCAGCTCGCCGGCTGATACCGGGTTATTGGCAGACCAATCTATTCCCATGCCGGGCCATGTACAGCACATGGTACCAATGGTCCTGCGGCCTTTATAGGGGTTCCCACGGGTTGCCGGAAATGAGCGATTGAAAGAAAGAAATCAAGAACCAACTCATTTGGAGGCCCAGCTTCGACACACTCCTGGCAGTGGCACGTCGGTTTTTTGTTTGTTTGTTTGAGTTGTTTCCCCAAAAGCTTGATTTTGCTAAAATACATATTCATTTTTTTGTGTTCCCTTGTTGGTTTTGAATGGAATCTATCACTATGTTTTTGGGCACCCCCTTTTTTAACCTTGTACGACTTAAAAAAAGAAGAAACACAAACTTACCCATGCTTTTTGTTCCAGTGGGCGCCTATCCGAAATGGAAGAAAGTAATCTAGGATCCGAGACGCCTTGCGGTTTTATCCGAATGTCCGTTCGCCAGCTTGGCCCAAAGACGGCTGGCAACACGTCGCTTGCAGTGACTCTGAAAGAGCCTGGCCGGAGAAACAACAAAAACAAACAGCTGTCAGAAACACGCCCCAGGAAAAGAGCAGCATAAGTTGCTTTGTTTGCCGGTGTTCCCTGCACAGAGGAAACCTACAACATATCATCCATTTCCTCGAACCCCTGTGTAGCATAGATTTCCCGGCCAGGAGCTTTGTTGGTAGTGGCCAACACTGGGGTCAATATTTCGACAAATTGTGGGGCTGATCAAAGTCAGAAACTGGTTGGTGGTGTCCCCTTAACCTACCACTTGGGTGACTTTGATGGGGCCAGCAACATAAAGTTTTGAGCTGGGTCAGTCCAGCGGTTGGTTCGCCGCGCTTTTCAACATGTCTGGAGTTCGCCCGAAGTCGGGTGAAACCGAGAAGCTGGCAAAGCCGATCATATGGATCCGGACCCCCTGAATTGGTGTTGTGTGTGTGTTTTTGTCTCTTGAATAGAAACCATGTCGGGGTGCATCTTTCTTTAGCCGCCCCCCCAAAGTTGTGTTTTCCTTTTGGTGTGCAATTGAAAAATCACCGGCCTCAAGCTTCAAAACAAGGCGAGCCACCCATGTAAACTTCAGCCACCCTGGGCCTATCAGCCTGGGGAAATGTGCCAAGAACATATCCGCTTTACTTTCCCAGTTGAAACGGGTAAGTAAACACAAAGTTTCACTGCTAGGAGACACACATGTTAGATTTGTTTTTCGCACCCGCCTCACCTTTTCCCTTGTATTTCCAAACCCCCGGAGGGAAAAAACAAAAACCGTCGTGAATCCTCGACAGAAACGTCACATGGGCGACTCTCGCCATGTGGCGCAAGCTGTTTTTGGCAGCTGGCCTGCCTCTCCTTGCCGCGGATCCCGTGCTCTTCGCCGACCTGCGGCCGAAGGCTTCGTGGGACGTGGGACGCGGGACGCGGGAAGTGCTGTTAGGTGCCCCAGCTAGGTGCCCTGTCTCACCCCTTTTTTGGTTGGGAAGGTTCCCCTACCAAAATAAACTACAGAAAAAAGGTACCCTTATTGTAAGCTCTCTACTGGAGGACCTAGGCTGTTAGCTGGTCGGCTGAAGGCACAACCAGCCCACAGGATGCCCATGATAATGTTGACCTCAAATGAGTCAACCCAGTCTATTTTTATCGGGGGGGGGTTGTCCAACTGGGTTTAGTGTTTGGAATCCGACCACTTTTCGATGGGGGGGCCTACTAGTAAACTGGGGTTGATTAACCTGGGGTGAACACTACTGGAACTTGAGCTGTTTGGTGGGCAATGTCGACCGTTGATTAATACAACCCCCGCCCCCATTATTGATCGGGGTCGCCCCTGAAAGAAAGAATCCCCACGAAATAATAGCTTTCTACCCGCTGCATTCCAGTCAATGGAGTAGCAAGCCAGTTCCCTTGCGGTCTTTAAAGGGGGGTTCCCTTGTACCTGCTCCACAGGGAGATGGACTCACTGAGGCCAAGGATCCTTTGGTACCTCAGGTACAAAAGGAACCCTTTCAATGGCTCCATCCTAGGGTACCAAGCGATCCTTTGGGACAAGGATTCTGTTCGATTCCTTGTGCTCACCCCCCCTCCCAAAGGAAAAAAGCACATAAAAAATAAAACAGAGAAACAATCAAACACAAATCGGAAGAAGCACCCAATACGATGTTGCGGTGCACCGTTGCGGTGTCTTCTGGCGAATTTGATTGCAAGCTTCCAGCCCTTCCAACGTGCCAATGGACAGCCATCGCAGGACCATTTTGTCTGAAGGACTCTGCCACCGTGGCAGATGTAGACCCATGGCCGACAACTTCGACAAGACTCCGTGGGTTTGACTGGATTTGTAGCGAAGTGGGTTAGACTACAGTTGGACCGATCCCTTCAGAGCCTTGTTTGAGTGTCTGGTGCAGATGGTGATACAAGTGACTGGCTTCCATTTGCTGAAGAATATTTTGTATGTGTCCTTGTTTGTTTTGAAGGGACCCTGCCTCTACTGGAAATATGCTCTTATTTCTTTTGCAGGGGCCCTCTGCGCAAATGGCTTGCCAAAAGAGTTCATGGTCAACTCTGCTCAAGTGAAGCTCGCGAGAAAGACTCAGGTGGCGGACTTACTGGGCAACATGCGCACCAAGCGCCCTGAAAGCCTGAAAGCTGGGCCCTGACAGTGCCACAGAAAAAGGGGTGATTGCCTCAAACTGGTGTTTGACAAGCAAGCCCCCCCCTCTTTTCAGAGGTACCCTAGAGTCTCCATGATTTCTAGAACAAGGGGTCATAACCCCTTAATTTTTGGCAATGACAGGGAGACTCCAGGTATCTTGTTTCAGGGTCCCGGAGGCTTGAAACGCCTGAAGTCTCTGCCGATGGCGACGGCAAAAACGTCAGGACTTGGAGCCCAAGGACAAGGACCGGAGCCAACTTCGCGGATGTGTTTGTTCCACCAACTAGGTCCCCCAGCTAGGTGCCCTTCTTGACCCCTTTTTTGGGGTTCGAGTTCCCCTACCAAAATAGACTACTGAGAAAAGTTGGGAAGGTTCACGAGTGTTCCGCCAGGGTTCCACCAGGCTGCGGGTGGTCTGGGTGGTTTGAGGTAAGGTTCCACGAGGGTTCCACCAGGGCTGCCAGGGTGGTCCGGGGTGGTTTGAGGTAAGGTTCCACAAGGGTTCCACCAGGGTTCCAGCAATTTCTTCGAGGGCTGGGGTGGTCTGGTTTGAGGAAGGTTCCACGAAAATTCCACCAGATTTCCACTAGAATTCTGCCAGGCTTTCACCAGGTTCTGCGAGGGCTGCAGGGTGGTCCGAGGTGGTTTGAGGTAAGGTTCCACAAGGGTTCCACCAGGTTTCCACCAGAGTTCCACCAGCCGTCGTGCTCCGGACGAGGGTTCCACCAGGGTTCCACCAATTTCTTCGAGGGTGCGGCGTGGTCCGGGGAAGGTTCCACGAGGGTTCCACCAGGTCTTCACCAGGGTTCCACCAGCGGTCCGGGCTGGTTTGAGGTAATGTTCCATGAGAGTTCCACCAGAATTCCACCAGGTTTTGCAAGGTAAGGTTCCATTCCAGCACGGTTCTCGCAGGGTCCCACGAGGTTCTGCGAGGGCTGCGGGGTGGTCCGGGGTGGTTTGAGGTAAGGTTGTATGAGGGTTTCAGGGTTCCACAAGATTCTGCGAGGGCTGTGGGCCCTGAGGTTTCACAGGGTTCCACAAAGCTCTGCAAGGATTCCACACTGGTTCCACAAGGCTCCACAATGCTCCACCAAGGGTGTGTCGTGCGCCCGTCGTCTGAAAAGCCATCGGATCAAGATCGCTTTGCTCATGGGCGGAACACTAAGCAAAACCGAAATCAATGTTTTTTAGCACACTTTCATTGTTTTGTGACTTGCTCACTTGCTCAGGCAAATGTTGGCTTTGTGGCAAATCAGATCACGTCGCTGCGGAACTCACGGTGCAGCAGAGTAAATGCTTGGCATTGCTGCTTGGTTCCAAGAATTCCACGAGGCTGCGACGGCTATGAGGTCAGAAGGTTTCCACCAAATTCTGCAAAAGCTATGGGGCAGCCCTGAGAAGTTTCACGCTGAGCTCAACTAGGTTCACCGGGCCTAGGTCGGGGCCCGATTACACTGTCGGCCAATTGCACCGTTTGGGCCCGATCGGCCCCGATTGCGCCACGCGCCCCGATCGGGGCCCGACTCAGTCGGGCCCCGTCAATTGTACCAAGCTGGCATCGCCTAGTTTTGCTATAGATACAGTTGCAATCCGCATACTAAAAAAAACCGGCGTTGAGCTACAATATGGGTGCGTGGGGTTGCACCACGGGACGATCGGGCCCCGATTGCACCGTCCCGATCGGGCCCCGATTGCGCCGTCGGGCCCCGATCGGGCCCCGATCGCGCCGTCGGTACCCCGATCGGAGCCCAACTCAGTCGGGCCCCGTCAATTGTACCAAGCTGGCGTCGCCTAGTTTTGCTTTGCCATCCGCATGCTAAGGAAAACCGGCGTTGAGCTATAATATGGGTGGCTGGGGTTGAACCCGGCCCGATCGGGCCCCGATTGCACCGTCGGGCCCCGATCGGGCCCCGATTGCACCGTCGGGCCCCGATCGGGCCCCGATTGCGCCGTCGGGCCCCGATCAGGGAGGATGGTCCCGGGGCGTTCCGCAAGGATTCTGGGAGGGTGTGGTGCTGTTGGGGATATCGCCCGAGCTTATTATTTTTTTTAAGAACAAGACAAAAACTGGGAGAAGCAGAGCTCATCTTTGCGCCTGCCCAAAGGCTCACGACTGGGGCCGAATCAAAATGGGTTGTCTCAGGGCCCGAGGGGCTGTCCCGAAAAATCGGAGCCTCCCGCAGGAGAGTCCATGAACGTTGTGGTTGTTTCTTTCTCAGGAAGTGTTTGTGGGAAGAATGGTCAAGCAGGATACCACAGATATCCCCCGAAGGTCTTGACAGGTGGTCAAAATATGTGAGATCTACCTAGACTCTCCATGACCCGAATCAAAAATGGGTCCATGACCAACCATGGTTTTGGGTAATGACCAACCATCTTTTAAAGGGTCAGAAGAGACTCCAGGTACATTTTAGATGCAAACTAACTGTGGCACTTCACTAGTTCTTGGCATCTTTCTGGGTTTTTCAGTTTTTTGGTTCTGTTCATGTTTTGACCGGGGGTCTGCAAAACAAGACTTTAGGTTTTTCGCCAGCCCATACCAAGAGTAGAGGTAGCAACAAACCTAATTGTTTTTTTTGCAGACCCCCAGTAAAAAATGAGAACAGAACCGGAACAAAAATGCCAAGAACAGTGAAGAAGGTACATGTATGGCCCAAAAGAAGACCCTGTCTAGCGCAACTAACCCGGTCAACCAGACGCGCCTTCGGTTTTTCGCACGGGGCTCCGTAGGACTGGTGCCTCGCGGAGCCCAGCACCACCTGCCTCGCGGAGCTGCACGTGGGCCGCTTCGACGGGGCGCAGCAGCACCGCGCGGCGGAGGAGCAGAAGTGCCACACTGCCAGGTGTTCGGGGGCACCAATTATTTTTGGTCCAACTTTTTTTTGGGTGGCCCACTAAAATGGTCCAAGCCCCAAAAAGGGTCCCCTTTTTTCTCAGTTTTTGGTGGCACCTTTGGACAGGGGGTGCACTTTCCCCAGTTTTTGGGGGTGCATGGAACCAAACCCTAGGGAGTTCAACCAATTCTCTTTCAGGGCGCCAAGACCTTTTTGCAGGACTTGGGCATTTTCTGGAGGTTTGGTGGGCCATTTTCTTGGACGAACTCGCGATTTTGGGTGACTTTTGGTCAAGGGGGTCCCTATGTGTCCCTTTTTAGGTGGTCTTAAACATCACCTTTCTGGTCCATGAAAGGTGAGTAGCCCTTGGTGGGGGTGATGTTTTAAGGGGGAATATAGGGAGCCCTGGTTTTCCAACAAAATTTTGGTGGCCCCACTAAAATGGTCCAAGCCCCAACAAGGGTCCCCTTTGATTTCCAGGGTCACTGAACAACTGAGTCCCCCCAGCCTCAATCTCAACGTTGGAGCGCTGCGGCAGCAACAACATGGACGTGGCTAATATTTTTCCGCTCTTGTTTGCCGCTCTCCGGAGGAGCAGCGCGCGGCCAATGCCTCGCCGCAGGCGGGCTCGGGCTGGCGGGTTCGGCGCCTCGGGGTGCGCTGGCTGCTGCGAGAGGTACTGTGGATGGACAAATCCTGCACTAGATTGAAGCCATGGGAAGCCATTTGTTGTTGGCATTTATATAGGAATCGTCATGCCAGGGTTGCTTAGATGGTGCGAAATGGATTTCGTCCCTCCGCAGGGAAGGAGGAGTTTGAACTCCCTTTAAGGAAACACCCAGTAGGGTGAAAAAGGGGTCATTCCCCCATTCCCTCGGCTTTGGTCCCAGTTGCTTTGGTGCCCGGTTTCGGCGGTTTCGGGCGGTTTCGGCGGGTTCGGAGTGGGTGCGCCTTCGGCTGCGTGAGAGGTGGGGAAGGAGGATGTTGGAACCCAGGCATTTACAGGAAAGAACCATATCTTAAAGGATTGAAATGACATTTGCGATAGGATTCCCGAAGAAAGCAAACAACCAGACAAATTTAAAGAAAACAACCAGTTGGAGGATGAAAAAGGGGGTCATTCCCTCATTCCCTGGGCTTTCGTTCCAGGCGGCTGGTTCGCTGGCTGCTTTGATATGTAGGGAAGGAGGAATGGATTCCCTTAAAGGAACCAACCAGTTGGATGGTTTCTGTTGTCATGACCCAAGGTGTCGGGAATGAACCCATTGGTCCATCGGTCTGAATAGAGGAAACCACCAGTTGGATGGAAAGGTTTCGGGGCGGCGCCTCGGGGTTCGCTTGCTGCGAGAGGTGGGGAATAGAGTCTCGATCCCTTCGAAGCTTTAAAAATGGTTGGTCATTACCCTACATATTGGGGTCATGCCTGGAGTCTCCATGACCCTGGAAAAATGTGGTCATCGCCCTAAATAATGGGGTCATGGACCTATTTTTTAAGGGTCATAGAGACTCCAGGTGGACCTATTTTTGATTCGGAATTCGGGTCATGGAGACTCTAGGTCCAGGGATTCCCTTTAAAGGAACCACCTATAGATAGCCAAGTTGCGATCGCTTTTTCAGTCACTGAAATGGGAAAAAAACAGGAGCAACTCGCGATCCAGGCAACCAGTTGGATGGTGAAAATGGGGGCATTGCCTCATTGCCTAGGCTTTGGTCCCAGGCTTTGGTCCACCACAAGGTGGATGCACAAGGGACGGTTTATTTTGAAGGTCAGCAGCCATTTCTCATTCAAGCACCAGAAAGTTCGGGCTTCGGGCTTCGGGGGGCGGTGGAGGGTGGAGGGTGTGTCTCGTGTATGGCCTTGGGTATTGGAATCGGTCCATTGGGGGGTCCAGGTTGCCCTTAGCAACTCAATTGCCGGAATGGGTTGCGGTTCATTCACGTGACTTGGGGTAGACTCCTTTAGTAGCATTCTTTTCCGCCAACGTTCTTTTCAACAACCCGCCATTCCCCCAGACCCTTCGGTGGTTTTCTAGAAAGAGGGATATCTGGAAAGAATGGAAATGGAAGTCACCCCTAGAGGTGTCCTCTAAAACATGACATACCCATTTACAACCAAGCCCACCAGGGCGACGCTTTGGATGGGCGGGTGCACTTGCGGCTACTGGCGCTGGTCACCACGGTCTGGCGGAACTTCGGGCGACGCCAGCGCGGGAGCCCGATTTTGGGTTTTTCACGCTCCCTACTTAAAGGGGCATTCTACTAAGGAAGTGGTTAGTAACGGTGACAGTGAAACAACCTACTTACCATGGTAAGGAGTCTCCCAAGTGGATTAGAACCATGTGTTGCTAACCACTTACTAAATTCCCAATCGCTCCTTCAAATAGTTGGCATGGGATGACCATTGGTTGGAAAGCCACTAAAAAGATGAGATTTCTCTCATGGGAAAAGTTACCTATGGTCATTTGGGGCCGGGAATATTGATCAACTCCCATAGAGTCCATTGTTAACTCACTCCCCTGAGTTCCTCTTTTGGGGATGCACCATTTTAGTGGTAAATGAACATTCTAGAGTGTTCTTTTGATCTCATCCACTCGGGAAGTGAGAAATTGTCAAGCACCATATTCCGTGTTTTCATTTGTTTGGACGTATATTCCATAAGTACGACGCTTATTTCCACACTTCTTTGTTTTTTGTTCATAGATCAACGTTCTCCCTTGGATGACATAGTGTTTGGATGGGTTTGATCCGAGCTTCCGTCCGAGAAGCGGGTGGACCTTTTGAGGGGCGGGGGGGTCAAGCTCGAAGTGTCCCATACATACCAGTGGACTTTCATTTTCCTCCCGGGTGGTTTAAGGAAAACTTATATTCTGACCGTGGCTATGACGAATGGAGATAAAACGTCCTGCTCGCATGGGGATGTCTCATTGCTTGGCCCTAGAGGACCGCAACCGAAGCAAAAAAAAGGACCTGACGCTTAGATGAGCCTGGAACCCAACAGCAAGCGCTTTGCGGAAGGTCCTCCCATAAATCAGCGCCGCTCCCACCTTCAACACAATGATCAAACCACAAGTGTCGACAACTGGGAGAGCTGTCGTTTTTCTTTTCCAGGGACCAATCTTCTGCGCTTGTGAAAGTGTCTTGGGAGCAACCCTGAAATAAGGGTCCTTGACTTGCGGATAATAAGTTTGTTCATTCAGGTCGGGAAGTTCCATGTGGGTGGATCCACGTGCCGATGGCCAGAGAGTTAGACCAGACCTTGCCCATCTTTTTTCTATAAAAAAACCTAGGACCCCCCCCACACTTTTAGCAACATTTTAAAACAGCACCTCAAACAGCACATTTTCAAAAATCAACATTTCAAAGCAGGCAATTTCCTAGTAAGTTCATCCATATTTTAAAATTTAAATTTTAAAAAATAAATTTTCAAAAAAATATAAATTTTAAAAAAATAAATTTTACAAAATTTTAAAAAATAAATTTTAAAAAAATAAATTTTAAAAAATAAATTTTAAAAAATAAATTTTACAAAATTTTACAAATAAATTTTACAAAAAAAAATAAAAAAATAAATTGTCAAAAACATGTTATTCCAAAAATTATGATAAATTATTATACAACACATTTTATCACAAATTTTGTAGACATATTATGGGCAAGGTCTGGTTCATTCGTTTTTTACGGGCACCATTCTTCCTTAATTCTTTCTATTATTTTATCACACGTTGTTTCATTATAAATATTACTTCCTATTTGTTTTCTAAACATTCCCATTATTCCAATTGCACGTGTTATTGTACATCTAAGTTCGTGAGTTTTATACTCATCATTTAAAAACTCATTTAAAAAATCAAACAATATAACATATTTTAAACGTTTAATCTTAAAAGAAACGTTATATAATTTTTTTACCATACTATAATACTTAAAAATAAAATCATTATTATATCCTTCGTCATCACACTCAGATAGTAAATTATCAAACCCTTCTATAGTTAAGAAATTATTCATTACAATAAACACAAATATTTCTAAATCATCATCAAGAGTTTCATTATTTATAATATCAATATCTTTGTTATTCATATCATCAATTTTGTTTATAATTCTATTGCAATTATTGCATATCATGTAATGACAAATATTATTACAAACGCCATTTGTAAAACCGCGTTCAATTGGTAATTTTAGCATTTCGCAGTCTTTGCATTTATAACTCATAAACTTTTTTCAATATATTTTTAGCATCATGGACTGTATCACTCATCAAACTATATAATAGTATTATAAAATATTTATTTAAATACTTTTTACAAGAATTTTAATTTTAAATTAAAATTAAATTAGTAAATTAAAATTATAATTAAATTATCATAATTAAATTAAAAATTATCATCATTTACAACTACAATTACATAGTTTACAAAATGGGATGATATTTTCTATTGTATGAGTTAATTCATTATCTTTTCGTTGTGCTGTTAGATTAGTCATTATATTACCATTTTTCATATCAATAGTAAAACCACATCCGCAGTAATTACATTGATTATTTATATTATCTAGAAACCATTGAGTATTTACATAACCTTCTCTAGGTATGCTTCTTTTTGCTTTCCTGTCTGGTTCCTTATAATTCAAAATGTTCCTTTCAAAATAACTCATAATACATTTTTGATTAAATACATCATCAACATCCTTTGTATATTTATAAAATTTGACTTTGTTTAAATCACGAGCACGTGTTACCGCTGTAAAAATCCATTCTGGATAATTCTTTACCAAAAAATGATTATAATCAAAAATTGTTATGGTGTCATCAATGCTACTACCTTGAGTAGAATGACATGTAGAGCAAGAAGAAAATATAAAATTGCTTCTTATTTTTGCAACTTCTACGGATTGTAAAATTTCGGTTTTTACATTTTTTAATGTAAATATTCCATCACTTCCAATATGAACTATTTTATATTTGAAATTTACATTAAAAACTGACGTTTTAGTTTTAGTATATTCTCTACAAATTAAAAATTCTCCTACTTCATATTCAGCCTTTCTATTTTCTATCTTTCTAATTTCATTTGATACATTTTTACAGGTTGTATTCAAAAATGCTATGTTGTTTTTGGAACTACTTATGTCTGTGGTGTATTCAAAATATTTTTCAATAATAGTTTTAATTGGTAATTTATTAATAAAAATATCATATTTTATATTCTTGAGTTTATCCTTATCTTCCTGTGTGTTAAGTCTCTTACATTCTTTCAATATTATATTATGTGTAAAAATATTATCTATAATATTGTCAGTGTATAATTCATAGTCTTGAGTATTTGTTATTTCTTGCACTGGTTTTAATTGCTTGGTGTCTCCTGTTGCTATTATAATTTTGTTGTGCTTATTCTGTTCTACAAATTGTTTTATTCTCCAGTATATATTTAAATTACTAAAATAGATTTCATCAAATACTATTACATCAAATTCTGTAAAATCAAATGGTTCTAATTTAGCATCTCCATAATTAATACCAAAGAATTTATTTATCGTCATTGCTTCTCCTTCAAATGCCTGTAATAGTTTATTAGTAGGACAAATAAAAATTACCTTATAATTTTTATCAACCATTTTTTGACATATATATGATTTTCCTGTGCCCGGTAGTTCACCTCTGATCATAATAGGATTATTCTGTTTAACAATCTCTATAATGTTATCAGTGTCGTATTCATCTTTAATATCAATAGTTTTACTTTCATAAACTGGTATTTTTATTAATTCATTATTTACAACGTTAAATTTTACCGTAGGTAAATTAATTTCGTCTCTCTGCTTTGAAACTTTCCAACCTCCTATATCATCATGAAATTCTAATAATTGCTTTGTTTTTTCTTCATTGCATGTATCAATTACAAAAGCATCTGTTTTTACACTATATACATTAATATTATTAGTTATTAATGTCTTAAAGTCTTGGTTCATTTTAAAATTGTGATGTTGTAAAAGTAATTCTTTAATATATCGATATCCGTTTCTTAATACTGCCTTATCCTTCAAATTCAATATATAATATGATGCCTTTACATCCCATTCATCCTCATCAAATCCATAATATGTTGTAGTTGCGCCTCCTTCGTCGTCATATTCGGTTATCATTTCGGGATATTCGCTTATAATATGCGATAACTTATTAATTTTACCTCCGTATTCTGTTTGATAATGGACTGCTTCATCAATACTTTTAAATAAAATACTTTGATGTGCTGTAGCGCCTCCTTTTTCTAATAATCCAAAATTTACATTTGCTATTAACTTTTTAATTAGTTTATCTAATGCTTCGTCATGTTCATCTATATTTGTTTGTAAAAGTTCATTAATAATATTTGTATATTCAACCTTATGAATAAATGAAGGTTGTTTATAATATAAAATATTGATTTTGTGTGTCTTATTCTCATTGATGAATTCCTTCAAAAACTTGCCATATACTAGATTATATTTTTTGTTGAAAAATAAGTTGTGATTACCACTTATTACAATGTTTCTAATTGCTTGTTTTAATTCATCAGGATTTAAAAACAAACTTAAATCATGTGTTTTACGAAATTCTATATAAGTAGCAACGTCAATACCTTTACTATATGCAATAGAATATATCATCTGCTTGGTGTGTTGATTTTTCTCTATTAGTTCCTTAATGCTGTCCATTGTTGTTTTTAACGGTCTTACATTTGCATCTATAGTTTCAACATAATATAAAGTTAATTCATGGAGTTCATCTATTTTAATTTCATCGTTGTATTTTTTCCAATGGTCAAACTGGTTAAATACTGGTATTTCCCTAATATTTGAAAAACCTTTAGTAAATGCTTTATTTACATCTATTTCTGTTTTATAAACTAAATTGATATTACTCAATAATAACCCCGAAGGTGCTATACTTATTGTTTCATTTAATATTTTAATATCAATGTCGTTATAAAAGGATTTATGCGATGACATGAATAAGGATTTATTGAAATTAAACATTGCTTTGTTCATATTGTTGTATGTAGTTTCATTGCTAACTGCAATCCATCCATCACCGGAAGATTTAATTAAATTTTGAGTTTTTATGATATATGTTATCTTGTTCAATCTTAATCTTATTTCATCAATAATACCTGTGTATTTAATTCTGGGTTCATATCCAATATTCAACAACTGGAATA